ATGGAAATATATCCTCAGGGGAAGATTAAAATAATAAAAAAATAAGTAAATGCAACTGCTATTCTGAATTTGGGGCTTATCCTTCCGACGAGCGTGCTCCCGCATCGCCGGCCGTGTTCTCCCCGCTGCTGCTCATAGCTGCCGTGTGTCTGTCTGTAAGCAGGACGGTCTGACGCTCTGCGCACCAGGAGGCTGAAGCAAGTCCCCACCCCAGGCTGCAAATCAGGCCCAGGCCATCACTGTCGTCCTCTCCAGAACTTCCCACCCTCCCAACTGAAACTGTCCCCCTTCAACGCGGAGTCCCATCCCAGCCCCAGGCACCTGCCACCGTCCTTCTGTCTCTGTGAGTTTGATGACTGTGAGCGGAGTCACACAGGGTCTGTCCTTCTGTGTCCGGCTTATTCACTCAGCACAACGCCCTAAGGTCCATCCCTGTTGTAGCAAGTGCCAGGGTGTCCTCCCTTTCCAAGGCTGCGGGATATTCTATTGTGTGGACTACAGGTCCGCACCAGTTCCAAAGTGTGGGTCCCCCACACCGAGCAGCTCCGTGACGCCAGCTGGGGGGTCTACAGTTCAGCTCAGACCCCACAGGTCAGGGGCTTGGCTCCACAGGACTGCCCCTCTGGAAGCCAGTCGCAAGTCCAGGGTCCCTCATGCTTCTCCCAAGCGCGTAGAGCGGAGGTTCCCATGACCGTCTCCCCAGCTTGGATTACTCTGCTAGAGCCGCTCACAGAACTTGGAAAACCAGTTTACTTACCAGGTTACTGATGTATTATGTTGGCTGGGAAGGACACCCCACACTCCCTCCGGCCTGGCTGGAAGGGCGCCCGCCAGGCGTCTGGACCCACCCTGGGCTGCTGAACTCCAGGGGGCAGACGCTCGAATGCACGTCACACCCCAAGGAGGCACCAGACCTCCATGGGAGCTGCCGCGGTCTGGGGACCCGAATCCACAGCAGTCACAAATGGAGGCCACCTCTGAGGAGGTGTGTTCCCCAGCGACCGGAACTGACCTGGACGGCCTTCTTCTCTACCATTAATTCTTATCTCGCTTCTCTCTTTTCCTTGGAAGGAGTGTGCCCTTTGCACGTCTCCTAATCTCTTGGGAAAGGGGGGACTTGTGGTTGCTGAATCTGTCATCAAGAACGTGAATCTAGCCCTGGCCAGTTTGGCTCAGCGGTTAGAGCGTTGACCTGCGGTCTGGAGAGACCCGGGTTTGGTTCCCGCTAAGGGCACGTACTTCGGTTGCAGTTTGTCCCCGGCCCTGGTTGGTCGTGCGGGTGGCAGCCACTCGATGTGTCCCTTCACATCGATGTTTCTCTCTCTCTCTCTCCCTTCCTCTCTCTCCCTCCCACTCTGTCTGTACAAAAAATGGAAAAATATCCTTGGGTGAGGAAAAAAAAAAAAAAAAAAAAAGAACGTGAATCTACGGAAGGTAAAAACGGCCTTGGTTTCATCGTCTGAGGTCTGAGTCTGGTGCACATTCATCACGTAGACCAGGAGGCTCCATTGGTCAAATTCTGGGTTGTTTTTGTTTCTTTACTGATTTTAGAGAGAGAGGAAGGGAGAGGGAGAGACAGACACTGATGAGAGAGAGCATCAGTTGGCCGCCTCCTGCACGCCCCCCATTGGGGATCACGCTACAACCCGGGCATGTGCCCTGACCGGGACTCGAACCTGCGACCTCTTGGTGCTGGGTCCATGCTCAACCACCGAGCCACACCGGCTGCACCTGCGACATGACCGTGCCCTCTGATCCCTCTGATGCGAGAGGACACCCAGGAGAGGTCCTTCCTGACATCGAGGGACAAAAAGGCTGAAGCCGGAAGACCTGACAGTTGATCAGCGACACTTTCAGGGAAAGATCGTCATCAAAAATGGGGGCTGGCCCTGGCTGGTGTGCTCGTTCAGTGGTTAGCGCGTCGGCCCATGAGCCACAGGGTTGTGGGTTCAATTCTCGATCAAGGGCACATACCTGGGTGGCAGGTTTGATCCCCAGTCAGGGCACATACAGGAGGAACCAATCGATGTTTCTCTCACATCGATGCTTTTTGCTCTCTCTCCTCCTTCCTCCCTTCGTCCCTCCCTTCCATTCTCTCTAAAAATCACTGGGAAAAATATCCTTGTGTGAAGATTTTTTTTTTTGGTCCAGAACCCGAGACTCTCTGGTGGGCAGGCCGATGCTCCAACCACTGAGCCAAACCGGCCAGGGCCTCGGGTGAGGATTAAAAAGGGGGGAGAGGGTGACGAAGACTGACTGAGACTTTATTTGATTTTTATTTATTTATTTATTTATTTATTTATTTATTTATTTATGTTTTATCCTCACCTGAGGACATTTTTCCATTTTTTTTGTTCAGATAGAGTGGGAAGGAGAGAGAGAGAGAGAGAAACATCGACGGGAAAGGGACACATCCAGTGGCTGCCACCCGCACGACCAACCAGGGCCGGGGACAAACTGCAACCAAGGTACATGCCCTTAGTGGGAACCGAACCCGGGTCTCTCTGGACCGCAGGCCGACGCTCTAACTGCTGAGCCAGACCGGCCAGGGCAAGACTTTATTTGATTTTTATGTGTGTGTGTGTATATATATATATATATATATATATATATATATATATATATTTTTTATCCTCACCCAAGGACATTTTTGCATCTACCTTCAGACAGACCAGGAGGGGGAGAGGGAGGAAAAGAGAGAGAAACATCGATGTGAGAGAGACACATCGACTGGCTGCCACCCACACGACCCCAACCGGGGCCAGAGAGAAACCGCAACCGAGGTACGTGCCCTTAGTGGAAACAGAACCCAGGACTCTCTGGTCCACGGGCTGACGCTCTAACCGCTGAGCCAAACTGGCCAGGGCTTAAATATGTTTTTATTTTTTCAGAGAGAGAGGAAGGGAGATAAAGAGAGAGAGAAACACTGGTTGCCTCCCCCACCGGGGATCAAACCTGCAACCTGGGTATGTGCTCTGACTGGAAACTGAACTTGTGACCTACCTGACAATGTTCAACCACCTGAGCCTGGGGAGCAGGGCCTGGCTGGGACTTGAAGCTCACGTGGTCTGTGGGAGGAGCTCAGGCAGTGGGTGGGGTTCCCACACTCAGCTCTTCACGCCCTTTGTCCTGTATGTACTTCTTCACCTGGCTCAACCCCCACCCTACACCTCCCCCCAGGGCCTATTATGCTAGCCCTGCTCAGCTCCCTTCCTCATTTTGATGGCCTCTGTCCAGTCACATTCTGAGGCCAAGCCCCAGCCCCTCTCTCACCCCCCCAGGCGCAGGAGGAACAGGTGGTTGAAACCACAAGCCACACCCAGGTTGGCCACATCTCACAGGCCCTCTCCTGGGTGCCAGCCTAATCCCTGCACCTCCTGCCCCCACTGCCCTCCTCCCCTCTCAGCTCCTGGACTTGCTTCCTTGGACCCCCCTGAAAAAGTGAAGTAGTCAGCAGAGCCCACCTGCCCCGTCTGTGCCTAGGTCTGCTGCTTGTCCCTCCCTTCACCCCTGACACCCTGGCCGGTGACAAAGACCACCCTTGCATGAGTGCCCTGGATCCCAGCCATTGTCCACCGGGGACCTGGCTGGGCACGCCCTTCTCTGCTACAGCCACAGATCCCTGATCCTTCCTCTCCACATAGTGGCCGACCCCCCAAAGTTCGGACAAGTTTGCACTGTCTCCACCCCCATCCTTGCCCCTCCCACCCACTGCAGCTGCCCTGGCAAGGTCAGCACTGAGGTCCACACCCAAGGCCCCACCCGGTTTGGTTCCCCCTCTCCCTGAGCTCCTCCCTGGCTCCAGGTCCAGACTCTCCTGGGCACCTGCCATACACACGTGTCTGACAGAGGCCTTGAGCCAGGAAGTAAAAAGAACTGCAGCCCGCACCGGTTTGGCTCAAAGCATCAGCGGGTGGACCAGAGAGTCTTGGGTTTGATTCCAGTCAAGGGCACGAACCTTGGTTGTGGTTGGGTCCCCGGCCCTGGTTGGGGTCATGCAGAAGGCAACCAATCGACGTGTGTGTGTGTCTCTCTCTCCATCCCACTCTGTCTGAAAATAAATGGAAAAATACCCTCGGGTGAGGATTTTAAATAAATAAATAAAATGAAATATCACTCCTTAAAAAAAAAAAAGCCCTGGCTGGTTTGGCTCAGCGGTTAGAGCATTGGCCAGAGGGACCTGGGTTTGTTCCCGTTAAGGGCAGGAACCTCGGTTGCAGTTTGTCCCCGGCCCCTGCGTGTGGGTGGCAACCAGTCGATGTGCCTCTCTGATCGATGTTTCTCTCTCTCTCTTCCTCCCTCTCTCCCTCCCCCACTCTATCTGAAGATAAGTGTAAAATTATCCTCGGGTGAGGATAAAAACAAAAACAAAAACGGCAAATGCAGTGACTGATTAGGTGCCGGCAGCCCCGGGACACCCTGTGCAGTTAGTGCTACTGAGCAGGTGCAGAAAGCGGAGTGGGGGGCGAGGAAGGACTGGCACATCCTTGAGGCTCTGGATCTGCAGGAGCCTCACCCCGGGCCCCTTCCCGGGCACCAGGCACGTCTGACCCCGGAGGGGGGCCAGGCCTGGGGGGCGCCCTGGACGCCTGCGGCCCCACGAGCGCCGGGGTGGGCAGGGATCAGACCCAGGCCCAGCTGCCCCACAGAGCAGCTGCCCAGTGGCCACAGGGCCTTTTCTCGTCTGGGGGTCGCGCTGCACAGCGCCCAGGCCGCGCCCAGGCGGGGCGCCGAAGCCTCCGGGCGGCCGGGAGCTCCTGCTCACTGTCAGCACAGCTCTGCGTTCCCAGGGCGGGCGGGGGCGGGGCGCGGCCCCGGGGTCCCGGCCGGCTGCAGGCTGCAGGCTGCAGGCTCCGTGCACAGCGGGGCCCGCCCTCCCCGCGCCGGCCGAGTCCCACCAACCAGCGTGTGGGCGGCCCGGGGGCGTGGCTTCCTCGCCTGGGCGGGGCCGCGCCGCCTGCCGCGCGGCTCCTGATTGGCCGGCGGCCGCGGGCTCGCGGGGCATTGTGGGCCGCCGCGCTGCCTGGGTGTCCTCGCCATGTCGGGCTCCCCGGTGAAGCGGCAAAGGATGGAGAGCGCGCTGGAGCAGCTGAAGCAGTTCACCACCGTGGTGGCCGACACGGGCGACTTCCACGGTGAGGCGCGCGGGCCCGGGGTGGACGCGGGCGGGGGCCAGCCGGGGGTTCGTGGAGGCGGAGACGGCCGCCCCGCTCGGGCCCCGCCGCCCCGCCGCCCCGCTGCCCCGCTGGCCCCGCTCGGGCCCCGCCGCCCCGCTCGGGGTCCGCTCGGGTCCCGCTCGGGGTCCGCTCGGGGTCCGCTCGGGGTCCGCTCGGGGTCCGCTCGGGGTCCGCTCGGGGTCCGCTCGGGGCGCTCGGGGTCCGCTCGGGGCACACGGGGCGCCGGGCGCGGCCGGCCGGGCGGGAGCGCGGGCGCCGGGAGCGGAGCGCACAGCCGAGCCCCGCCCCCGAGCCGAGGGCGCCTGCAGCGGGCGGACCGCCCGCGAGTCGGCGGGGTCGGGTGGCGGCGGCTCTGGGTTCGGGGTCCGAGGCACCGGAGCCCGCCCGCGGAGCCCGAGGTTGCACCGGGCGGTTTGGCTCAGCAGCGCCGAGCAGGACACGGCTGGGTGCCGGGCCCGAGGAGCGGACCTGCTCCGGCCCCGCCTGTTGCGCCCGCGGGCGGGACCGGGTGCGCCCGGCACCGCGGGTCGCGCTGGGGTCGTGATGCCCCCTGCGGGGCTGCGGGGGGTCGTTGCCCGGAGCCGGGGAGGCCCGGAAGTAGAGGGGGGCACGGCCGTCCGCGGCTCCCGGACCCCTGCGCAGGCGAGGGCAGCCTCCGCTCTGTTGCCGGAAAAATCCGACTTTCAGGAAAGTCAGGAAGTGGGTGTGCGCACGAGGAAGTGGCGTCCTCCCTTTTCTGCTTTCTCATGGTGACTTGAGAAACAGGGCTTCGTTCCTCTTGGGTAACAGTGAGTAAGACGGTTTCTTAAGTCAGGATTGTTTTTATCTAGCAGAAGAGCAGAGTGAGTAAGCACATTTGGGGGTGAGCTTGGGGCCAACCCCGGGCTGCCAGCAGTGTGTCAACTGTCTGACTAGCTGGGCTTCCACCTCGGGAGCCCAGGGCCCCTTCCCTTCCTGCCCTCGGCGGTCCAGACCTGCAGGCAGTGGCCGTCGTGGGCGGCTCAGGTCTGCCCGTGTCTGCTTTTCCCTCTTAGCTCTCAGTAATCTCACTTTGGCTCTGGTGACAGCCCTGGTCTGTGTCTCTGACACCTTCTGGGGAGTGCTTGCCTTTTTATTTTTTGTTAGAAATATCTAAACTCATGTACTGATATTTTTATTATTATTTTTAAAGCTTTTTTTCCTTCTTCTTCTTTTGTGAGGGAGGAAGATAGAAACATCGACGTGAAAGGGACACATGGATTGGTTGCCACCCACACGACCCAACCAGGGCCAGGGACAAACTGAAACCGAGGTACATGCCCTTAGCAGAACCGAACCCGGGACTTTCTGGTCTGTGGACTGACGCTCTAACTGCTGAGCCAAACCCGCCAGGGCATTATTTTTTAATGAATACAAACAACTTTATAAAAATACATTAGTTGAGCATCAACCCCGCACTAAGAGGTCATCAGTTCGACACCCAGTCAGGGCACATGCCCAAGTTGTGGGCCTGATCCCTAGTGGGGGGCCTGCAGGGGGCGGCCAGTTGATGTTTCTGTCTCTTTCTCCTTCTCACTTCCTCTCTCTTTAAAAAAATCAATAAAGAAAAAGATATATATACTAGTTGATAGTGTATGTCCATAAGTGTTAGTAGATAGGTAGTTGTGGGCCTCGGGTTCTGTGGTTGTTTTATGAAGTGAAGAGTCTCACCTTGGGGTTAGATCCTTACAGATTGTATCTGTAAATACAATCAAAGCCACGGTGCCCTGCCCAGCACAGTGCCCCTCCCGATTCTGCATTCACTTTAAGGGTTCCTGGCCCTGGCCAGTTTGGCTCGGCCGTTGGAGTCAACGGCCTGCGGTCTAGAGTCCCGGGTTCGGTTCCTGCTAGGGGCACGTACCCAAAAAAAAGGGGGCCCCTGGACCTGAAACCCATCTGTTGAATCTCAGGTGGGTCTGTTAACTTTGTTAAAAGTCAGCTCTAGCAGGGCTAATTTTCCACAACAAAAGGCACTGTCTTCATCGCATGGACTGTGGGTTTGCACACGTCTGTGTCCCACCCCAAAGCACTTTTTCTTAACCCGTTATTTTGAAATAGAGACACACAAGAAGTTGCAAAACTAGCCCGTAGAGTCCTATGAATCTTTAGCCCGGCGCCCTGCAGTGGTGACACCCTATGTGACCATAGCGTGAGGTCTGAACCAGGAACTCGGCATGGGCACTGATGACAGGCCGTTCTCCAGTGTTCACCATCCTCACCCTGCATGGGGCGGCCTTCTCTGCGGCAGGTGGATAGCGTGTAGGTTCTCGTGGGAAATCTCAGATTTTTCCCAGGACGTTTAGGACACAGCTGCCCCATGGCCACAGTGATCACCCTCGACTCCTGACAGCCACCCCCTCCCTGTCCCTGCCGGCCCCTAATCTGTTTCCTGTCTCTGTAGTTTTGTTGTCAGAGGGCACTTTGAAAATACTAATTTGGTCCAGCCGGTGTGGCTCAGTGGGTGAGTGTCAACCCTGCACCAAGAGGTCGCCGGTTTGATTCCCAGTCAGGGCACGTGCCCAGGTTGTGGGCCTGATCCCCAGGGGGGGGCATGCAGGAGGCGGCCAGTTGATGTTCTCTCTCATCGATATTTCTAGCGCGCTCTCATGCTCTCTCTCTCTCTCTCTCTCTCTCTCTCTCTCCCTCAGTCTCTAAAATCAATAAAGGGAAAAAAAAGAAAGAAAATATTAATTTGCCCAATAAACTTACTGAGGCAGCGAGTCCTCTGGCCACTCTATACTCCTCTGTCCTACTTAAACGGCTGGTCAGCGGGACCCCCAGTGGAGCTCCGCTGGCCTGGAATTCCTAGTGTGGTCCCCTCAGCAAGAACTGGCATGCCGAGGGTGTTTTGAAGAAAGCATCCGCCAGTCACCATGGCGTCGCTGTTGCTGGCGCTGTGGGGGCAGATGCGCCTGCTGCTGTTCTGAACCCCCAGCTGCCTCCCTCCCTCCCACGCACGTGAAGGGACCCCTGCAGGGCACTCTCCGCCTGGGGGCTAGTCTTGCTGGTGGCTTTAACACTGTGCACACGGTTGCTCCGTGGCCAGCCTTCCAGGACGGTGAGGGACGTGTGAAGTGGGGCTGTATCTCGGCTCGGAAAACGCCCTCGACTCTGTGCTTAGGGCTTGGAGGGGACCTGTCACAGGTCTCAGGGTGGAAGCAAGCCTCCACTTACTTTCCTTCTTTCCAAAACGACCTCTAGCCATCGACGAGTATAAGCCACAGGATGCCACCACCAACCCGTCCCTGATCCTGGCTGCTGCGCAGATGCCCGCCTACCAGGAGCTGGTGGAGGAGGCCATTGCCTACGGCAAGAGGCTGGGCGGGTGAGTGCGGGCAGGGACACCCCAAGCACGGCTGTGGGGCTGAGGGGCATCAGCAGGCCCGGACGGGCCCACTCATCTCCCTCACTGAGTTTCAGTTCTCAGATGTCTTATAATCAAGACAGCTGTGTTTTTTTAAATTCTCACCCAAGCCCTGGCCGGTTTTGCTCAGTGGTTAGAGCGTCAGCCTGAGGTCCAGGTTCCCACTAAGGGCACGTACCTCAGTTGCAGTTTGTCCCCGCCCCTGGTTGGGTCGTGCGGGTGGCAGCCACTTGATGTGTCCTTCACATTGATGTTTCTCTCTCTCTCTTCCTCTCTCTCCCTCCCACTCTGTCTGAACAAAAAATGGAAAAATGTCCTCGGGTGAGGATAAAAAATAAAAAAATTTTAAAAATAAAATAAAAACGTAAAGAAATAAATTCTCACCCAAGTCCTGGCTAGCTTAGCTCAGCGGTTAGAGCGTCGGCCTGTGAATCAAAGAGTCACAGTTTCGATTCTGGTCAGGAGCAAGTACCTTGGTTGCGGTTAATCCTTGGCCCTGGTTGGGGTTGTGCAGGAGGTGACTGGTCGATATGTCTCACATTAATGTTTCTCTCTGCGTGGATTTAAAATAAATTCTCACCTGAGGATATTTTTCTATGTATCTTCAGAGAGAGCAGAAGGGAGGGAGAGAGAGAAACACTGATGTGAGAAAGACACATCGACCAGTCACCTCCTGCAGGACCCCGACCAGGGCCAGGGACCAAACTGCAACCAAGGTACGTATCCTTGACCGGGATTGAACCCAAGACTCTTTGGTCCTCGGGCCACACTCCAACTGCTGAGCCAAACCGCGCCCGCGGACCCCGGCTTCCTTGTGTCGGGAATGGTCGGGTGCGGAGCGCCCGCGGACCCCAGCTCCCCTTTCATGTCAGATCCTCGCCCTGGCGGCCACTGTCCTGCTTTCTGTCACGTGGTGTCTTTTTTTTTTTTTTATCCTAACCCGAGGACATTTTTCCATTTTTTGTACAGATAGAGTGGGAGGGAGAGAGAGGAAGAGAGAGAGAGAGAGAAACATCGACGGGAAAGAGACACATCGAGTGGCTGCCATCCACATGACCAACCAGGGCCGGGGACAAACTGCAACCGAGGTACATGCCCCCAGCGGGAACCGAACCCGGGTCTCTCCAGACCACAGGTTGACGCTCTAACTGCTGAGCCAAACCGGCCAGGGCTGTCACGTGGTGTCTTTTAACAGCTTCATTGGAGTAAAATTCAGTCTTAGGGGCACAGCCCAGTTTGTTTGTTTGTTTATTGGGTTAGTCCTCACCCAGGCTATTTTTACACTAATTCTCAGACAGAGTGGGAGGGAAGAAGGGAGAGAGACCCATCAATTGGTTGCCTCCCACTTGTGCCCTGACCAGGACCGGGGATTGAACCTGCAACCCAGGTACATGACCTTGACCAGGAATTGAACCCATGACCCCTTGGTACACAGGCCAACACCTCTAACCACAGAACCACACCGGCCGGGACACAGCCTTTCTCGTGGTGAATTTACGCTGTGATGCAGCCTTTGCCGCAGCCCAGTTCCAGAACGTTGTCCCTGTGGCCGGTCCCTGCACCCTCCTCCTGGCCACCACACCAGTAGTGGCTTCCATTGGTTTACATTTTCTGGGTGTCATTTTACATTTCATCCGGGTGATCACACACAGCTGAGAACGTTGCCTTTGGGGAACAGTGGCTCTGGGCTGGGATGCTCAGGTGGCATGTGGGTGTCAGACCTGCTCTGAACCCCAAGTCTGCTCAGCCCCCCACCACACACACCTCCTCAGCTGGCTTTGCTGTCCCTTCCCTCACAGGTTGGGCTCTTGTCCCCATTGTATCCGCCCTCGTCAGCTGCCCCACGGTTCTGACCATGACACGCTACCTTCTGCGTGCAGGGGGCTGACAAGGACCCTCAGACAGCAGCCTGTCCCGGGGACAGCACTGGGCACTTCACTTGTCTGTGGGGCAGCTCCAAGGAGAGGACTGTTTTCACGTGTCCAGAGATGGAGGGGGGAGTGCTGCGTGCACTGATGTGTGCACTTGAAGATGGTCAGGGTGGGCCCTGGCCAGTCTGGCTCAGCGGTTAGAGCGTCGGCCTGCGGACCAGAGAGACCTGGTTTGGTTCCCACTAAGGGCACGCACCTCGGTTGCAATTTGTCCCCGGCCCTGGTTGGTTGTGCGGGTGGCAACCACTCGATGTGTCCCTTTCACATCGATGTTTCTCTGTCTTCCTCTCTCTCCCTCCCACTCTATCTGAGCAAAAAAATGGAGAAATGTCCTCGGGTGAGGAAAAAAAAAGATGGTCAAGGTGGGCCCAGCCTGTGCGGCTCAGTGGTTGAGTGTCAACCCAGCACCAAGAGGTCGCCAGTTCAATTCCCATCCAGGACATGCCCAAGTTGTGGGCCAGGTGCCCAATGGGGGGCATGCAGGAGGCAGCCAGTCAGTGTTCCCTCATCGATGTTTCTGTCTCTCTTCCTTCCTCTCTCTCTAAAATCAATAAAGAAAAAATAAATTTTTTAAAAAGATAGTTAAGGTAGTCAGTTTTCTGCTATGTGGGTTTTACTGTGACAAAAAGAATTTTTTATTTTTCATTCTCACCCAAGGACATTTTTGCATTTATCTTCAGATAGAGCGGGAGGGAGAGAAAGAGAAACATCTATGTGGGAGAGAGACATCGAGTGGCTGCCACCCACACGACCCCAACCAGGGCCGGGGACAGACGCAACTGAGGTACATGCCCTTAGTGGGAACCGAACCCGGGCCTCTCTGGTCCACGGGCTGATGCTTCAACTGCTGAGCCAAACTGGCCAGGGCACAAAAAGTATTTTTAAGAAAAAAGGAGTGAAAGGATTCTCTCAAAGGAGTAACAGAATTTGTTTTTTAGAATCCTGTGCACTCGACCCTAACAAATTGCAAACCCATTTTTACCCTTGAATTTCAGGTCACAGGAGGAACAGATTCAAAATGCCATTGATAAACTTTATGTGCTGTTTGGAGCAGAAATACTGAAGAAGATCCCAGGCCGTGTATCCACGGAAGTAGATGCGAGGTGAGGGCCGGGCCCACAGTCCCACCAGGCCAGGCGCCCCCGTGCAGCTCTCTGCCTCCCGCCGTGCTGGGTGGGCCCCTCGAAGGAAGGTGACCGGGAGCTGGGGCTTGTAGCTGCTCTGCGCTAGGGCACCCGCTGCCGGCTTGCTCTGTTTTTTGGGGGGCATCCTGGGGTGAGACTGCACTCACACGGGCCCCTGGCTCTTCCAGACTCTCCTTTGACAAGGACGCCATGGTGGCCCGAGCCAGGCACCTCATCGAGCTCTATAAGGACGCCGGGGTCAGCAAGGACCGGATCCTGATAAAGCTGTCGTCCACCTGGGAAGGGATCCAGGCTGGAAAGTGAGTGTCTCCCTGTCCAGAGGGGGAGCCCAAGGCCGAATCCCAAGATCCTGCTCAGTGACCCTCAGAAGCAAGTGCCCATGACACCCACAGGTGTGTCACCCCCGCCCTTGTTGGGCATGCTCACACCCACAGTTCACAGGCAGGTGGGTGTGCCAGGCACGCGCTCCGTGTGGAAGAGGAGGTGTGAGGAGTCCGACCCTCTGGTCTCGCTGGTGGCTGTGCGGGAATAGTTGTGTCTGGGGGGTCTTGTTTTTATTAATTTTAGAGAGAGAGAGAGAGACATCGATGAGAGAGAACATCGACTGGCTGCCTCCTGCATGCCCCCCACTGGGGATCGGGCCCGCAACCCGGGCATGTGCCCTGACTGCCCTGACTGGGAATTGAACCAGCGCCCCACACCGCCTGGGCCGCGGCAGCCTCTGTCCGCCTCGCACTGCACTGCACTGGGTCTCTGCCCACAGGGAGCTGGAGCAGCAGCACGGCATCCACTGCAACATGACGCTGCTCTTCTCCTTCGCCCAGGCCGTGGCCTGCGCTGAGGCGGGGGTGACGCTCATCTCCCCCTTCGTGGGGCGCATCCTGGATTGGCATGTGGCCAACACGGACAAGAAATCATACGAGCCCTCCGAGGACCCTGGTGAGTGGCCTTCAAGGTACCAGGTCAGGTCTGGGTGGGCAGGGCAGGGCAGGCCCAGTGGTGACTGCCTGGGCTGCCCTTCAGGTGTGAAGAGTGTCACCAAAATCTACAACTACTACAAGAAGTTCGGCTACAAGACCATCGTCATGGGCGCCTCTTTCCGGAACACGGGCGAGATCAAGGCGCTGGCAGGCTGCGACTTCCTCACCATCTCACCCAAGCTCCTCGGGGAGCTGCTCAAGGACAACAGCAAGCTGGTGCCTATGCTCTCGGCCAAAGCAGGTGAGGCCCAGCCCGAGGGAGTGGTGGCAGGGCTGGCCCAGACTCCACAGGTCCGCCTGCGCTGGACGGGCACAGGGCAGCGTGGCCTCGGGTGGGAGTTGTGGGTCTGGGCAGACGTGGAGGTCCCTGGCCTGTCCCCCCAGCCCAGGCCAGTGACCTGGAGAAGATCCACCTGGACGAGAAGGCCTTCCGCTGGCTGCACAACGAGGACCAGATGGCCGTGGAGAAGCTCTCGGACGGGATCCGCAAGTTCGCGGCTGACGCCGTGAAGCTGGAGCGGGTGCTGGCGGTGAGTGCCCCAGGGGGTAGGGCAGAGTTGCACCAGTGCATGGTGGGACCGCAGAGGGCAGCCTGACAAACACCTCCTGGCCCCTCCTGTCCTCTAGGACCAGATGTTCAGTGCTGAGAACGGGAAGTAGCCTGAGGCGGGCCACAGGGCGGTGCTGGCTTTGAACCTGGATCTAATCACACCTGCTAGTGGCCTCTTGCGTTTTTTTAACACTTGGAGGAGGAACCGTCTGTAGCTTTCTGATTTCACGTAAAACTGCCTGATCATTAAAGCAGCCTTGTTTCTGTGCTGGGCTTTGTTTCATGCTCTGTCCCCTAGCCTCCTGGCACTAGCTGTGCCAGCCGCTGCCCATCCTGGGCCCAGCCAAGACGGGGCTGGTCGAGGGCCCCGCTCACAGTGACATACCTTGGCACGAGCATCACGGTCCACTCGCCGCTGGGTGGGGACCCACTTGAGCTCGTGCCCAGATCCCTTGGATGGCCCCCAGGCCCATGTGGGCGGTGCTAGGGTTGGGGATGGGGATGGGGGGCCCCCTGGCTGCACACACGCCATTATCTGCTGCCTCCGGTGTAGACACTCAGGTGGAGGCACTGCCTGGAAGGCCTCCCTTCCACAGTCGGCCAGGCTCCTGTGGGTCAGTGGCGCCACCTGGTGGGCATAACAGGAGCACCAGCCACCCCAACCAGGGTGTTCTGGACACGCCCCGAGCCCTGTGCTGCTCTGTGAACAGATGCCTGTGGCACTGTGTGGACTTTGGGCACGATGCACAGGACTGGGAGGACTTGAGGTGGCCCCTCCCTTCCACAGGAACCAGCCTGTTCTTAGAATGGAGCAAGGCGGGGTGAGGACACTGGGTCTGGGTGACCGTGCCCAGGGGATCACAGGACTCTACCTGCCCAGCCTCCTGGTGTGAGGGCCGGGCTGGCCATTCCCTGTCTGTGGACAGAAACACGTGTCGGGGACTGGCCTGAGACACCGTCCTGGCCACGTTACACCTACGGGTCGGCAGGGGAGCTCCCTGAGCTGGCTGGCCTCCTTTCCCCACAGCTCTCAGGGACAGCGGGCACCATTTGCTCATCAAAGCAGCAGAGCCCAGGGCTGGCACTTCTGGAGTGGCCACCACCCTCCCCAGGGGCTCCAGGGACAGACCCAGCCCATCTAGGACACTAAGGGGGCTGCTGGGTGTCCAGGAGTGGTGGGCAGGGGCATTGCACCCACCCTGACCCCACCTCTACTGGGTGCCTCTTAGGAGTGTCTAGATGGTTCCAGCACTTAGGGGTGTGGCCACCAGCGTCCAGTTTTGGAAATTCCCCAAAAGGAGATATGTCCAGGTGCCTTGTTCCCACCACCAATGCACCGCTGGGCTTTCTGGGCATTCACACTCACACAGACACACACACGGCTGCTCTTTCATCTAGCATGTTTTCAAGGTCCACCCACACCCCCCGCGTTGTAGGATATTGTCAGGATTTCATTCTTTTAGGGCTAAATATCCCCTCAAGGTAGTGATGCTGCTAATGAGGCTCTGTTCACAGGGCTGCAGCTTTGTGCCCACTCATTCCCAAGAGGTGCCGCAGTGGATGTCATGGTCTTACACACCCCTGGGCACGTGGAGGGTCCCAGAAGGCACAGGTGGGGTCAAACCAAGCCCACCCCTGCCGCCTCCCAGCCCCTCACCTATGCCCCATACCTGGTGGGCTCAGGATAGAGCTGCCAAGGGGCAGTGCCTGCTGCAGAGCCCCAATCTGAGCAAGGAGACACGGCTGGTCAGAAGCCTTCAACAGATGTTATTCGACTCTTTATGGGTGATACAGGTAACGTCCCTAAGGGGACCTTTTAAGTGTGTGCAGACGGCCATCACCAGGTGGCAGCACCAGCAGACGCGAGGCTGGTAGCCAGGCCCAGTGGCTTTCCTGGGAAATTTCCTGAGGAGTGTGGAGTGTGAGCTGGGCCTAGGGACACGGTTTCTGTTCCCAGGGACTGGACACTTCAGACCCAGCAAGCCCAACTTGGGAGGGGGGCAAGGGAAGGTGGGGGACACAGAGGGCACCACCTGAAGGCCACAACCCCGTCAGGTACCCCAGGGAGGCTGAGGGTGGCCTGGGATGGCCACGTGGAGCCTCTGCAGGTGGCACTCCGTGTGATGTCCACCCCGCAGCCCTCAGCACAGCTGCAGACAGGGTGGGCAGTGTGGTCTAAGGAGCCCGTGCTTGAAGGTCAGTAGAGTCTCCCCCCATGTTAGGGAGGCAGCGCCACGGCCACATCTGCCCTGAGAGCCCCCATCTGGCACGGGGTCGCACCACACAAGCCATGCACAGGGCAAGGGTAAAGATCAGGGCAAGTTGGGGGCCAGGAGCTGTGACCATGGTTAAGATTCATTCCCCTTCACCTCTGACCCAAGTCAAAAGCACTGAGCAAGCTCCAGCCAGCTGGCCCCTCCCCACACAGCCCACCACCACCCGAGGGGCTGGGGGCAGCAGACCAGCCTGGGCTCAGCCCTCCCCACACAGGAACAGATTCTGCTACCTTGCCTGTCACTGCCCAACCAGCACCATCATCCTGGCTCCTGGGGAGGCTCGGCCTCTGCTCCCAGAGCTGGGTGCACAGGGACTGGCAGAGGGAGGCCCAGTGCTGGTCCGGGACCACAGAGGGGCCACAACCGCGCCCTGGAACACCCATGGCTGACTGCCAGCTCTAGTGGACTGCTCAACATGGAAACAGCCCCACCTGGTGGCCAATGCAGCACCCTCAGCTTCACACTCCCCAAGACCTGACACCCCTTGGGGCTGACCCCTGGAGGCTCCACAATCACACAGGTAAGAAGTCTCGCAGCAGCTGTCACAGAGGCAGGGTCCCCGGAGGCCTGAGGAGTCCAGCTGCCTCTGGGGACCCCTGGGCTGTCTGGAGGTGATGGCATCCACTGGCTGGCAGGCTCCGCGGGGACCATGTCACTTCCTGCAGTATGGACACCAGGCCGAGGCTCAGGCACCGGCACCAGCCTTCACAGGAGCCGGTCCCAAGCCAGAAACCCAGCCACTGCCTGCCCCTCACCCAGCCGCCCCCGCAGCCCTCTGCCCCTCACCGAGCACCGCAGAGGAAGAGCAGGGTCTGCACCGCAGGTGCCGTGGAGCGGGCGTTCTGACCCGTGACGAGGTGGCGGTCCAGCACGACATGTACTGCGCCTGGCTCGCTGGCTGCAGGAGACCCGGGCACAGGCCTCAGCCAGGCCACAGAGGGCACACCCCAGACCCACCCACACCCAGCTTGTTGGGGCTCTGAGCTCCAAGCACTCTGTGGTCAGCAGGCAGGTCCACCTGCCCAGGTCTCAGAGCCACTGGCAGAGGTCTGCTGACTTCTCAGCTCCAGGGAGTTGGCCTGGCCAGTGTGGCCCCCACCGGCACCTGCCAGCACCCGCCCAGCTCACCACTAAAGCAGGCGCCTGCATCCTTCACAAAGTCCTCCACGATCAGAGGCAGGTGGGCGAAGCCAGGTGCCCTGACGAGCTCGTACACAGAGGGCTGCAGGGACGGGGTTCGGAGTCAACAGACAGGTCCAAACCAGGCTGGGGCCGTGCCCTCCACGTGGGACTGGGGTGTATATCACTGCTCCATGACTCAACCTCAGGTGAGGCCCTCCCGCTGTGGGGCTCCCGGGGGCGACAAGCACTGGGGCACATGGGCAGCCAGGATGAGCTGAACCCTGAAGTGAGTGAAAGGCCTGCAGGTGGAACAGAGCCACGTGGCGTGGGGTGTGGGGGTCGGCTGAAGGGCGCTGCGCCACCCATGCTCACCTCCTGGCCAGTCCTCACCTGGACCCGAGCCGGGGACCAGGCCAGTGGCACCCAGCCCCCAGCAGCCAAGGATCAGTCATCGCCACAGGGGTCCTCCCCCGGGTCTGCTCCCTGCTGGCTGCAGCTCCCAGCCTGTCCTGGCTCCCCCAGCCAGCCAGGCCCTCTCCCTAACTCCAGGTCCCCCACCCAAGTGGAGCCCACCTCCTGGTCAGGTGCAGAAGCAAACTCACCCGACCCCACCCCACTCTTGCCCACATCCACAGCCAGCTCTGCAGACCTGGGCTTCGGGGTCTGGCGAGGCAGAGCCTCGCCCAGAGCCTGATGAGCCTGCCAGGATGTCAGCAGGGAGGGGAGGGAGGAAACAGCAGGTAACAGACAACTGCAGGCCTGGTGCCGTCGGGACAAGGGACTGTCGCCCCTGCCTGGGGTGGCCGTGGGCCTCTGCAGGGCCCAGCCATCGCTGTGCCTTCCGCCTGACTCCTGCCGGGCCCTGAGCTGCACTCACCCCCGTCACGCTGTAGCCTTGGAACACCCAGGGCCTATCCTCGCTGGCAGCGCAGCACAGGGCAGCAACACCGTGGCCGACAGCGCAGACGGGCTCTGAAAGCAGCAGGCAGGGGCTGAGGCCTGGTCCAGCCTGGCCCCTCTCCCAACACCCCCCGCAGCAGACCTCCCGGAGGCCGCTGTGCCCACTCCCGGGAAACAAACAGGGTTTCTAGCTCAGACCTCAAGTTCTGGCGGCTGAGAAACAAGCACAAGGTCGCAAGGGCGCAGCAGGGCTATTGGCCAGCTCAGGAGCACCTGGCACTCGCTGCCCCACCACCCTGCTCAGAAGGGCCTGCACCGCACTAGGCTCTCACGGCACCGAGTGGCTGCCCACCTAGAAACCCCCTCCTCCTGACTGCCCACCTAGAAACCCCCTCCTCCTGACTGCGGTGGGAAGGGCGCCCAGCCCTCCTGCCCCTCAGGGCCCCCGGGGGCGGTGCTCTAGGCCTGCTGAGCCCTTGCCTTGGCTCCAGGCCTCCCACCCAGAGGTTGCCTGGCACAAATGCGTTCCCACGGCTGAGGTGGCCAGGAACAATCGCTGCCTATCCGGTGGTGCTGGGGACAGGAGGCCCCGTTCTCACTGACAAAGAACACTGTGTGGAGCCTGGGTTTTTGTTTGCTGGCCCCTAATGGGCGTCCCACCCCCAGGCTGACCAGGGCAGCAGGCCAGGTCTCCAGAGTGGCCTTCCTCCCAGCCCCCTGCTGGCCTCGGTCCCAAGCCTGGACACTGTGCTTTCCCACCAGGAACAAAGCCAACATCCTGCCCGCTCACCTCTGAGGGGCCCAGGGCGCATAGCCCCAGCCCCAGAGGACAGGCAGAGGGCCCACAGGGGTGCTGACCAAAAGGGCGGGGGAGTGCCCACCCTCGTGTGTGTGTGTGTGTGTGTGTGTGTGTGTGTGTGTGATAGTGGAGTAAACTTGACCCTCACTGATCAGAATCACTGGGCTCTCGACATCTGAAGTGACCCAACTTTTCCAGCTCCAAGACCTAAATCCCGCACTCCAGTTACCTCCAACCACACCCCAGGACAGGCATCTTCCTGCCTCCCCTCCCTGCTGGTGGAGCCCTCACACACACTCCCAGGCCCAGGGGTCACCTACTGCTCTCGGAGCGGAAGTGCTGCAGGATCCGGGCCAGGGATCCACTACTGGCCAGGTCAGCCAGGGCCCCGGGACAGCTGGGAATCAGGAGGGCGTGGTACCTTGCACCTAGAGGAGAGCACAGGCAGTCATTCCTCTCTGCTCCAGCCACCAGACACCGTCCTCTGTCACCTTCTCCACACCAGCTAAGGCTCCCAAAGTTCCCAAAGCCCACGCATCATTCCTGCCTCCTCCCAGAGGGAGCTGGAGACTCTGGGCCCAGGAGGCAGGAATGGAGGTGACCAGGGTACTCCAGGAACAGTGAGGGAGTGCTGTGGAGGCCACAAACCCACCAGGAACCCCACATGCCTGCCCCTCCAAGGTCTGGGGCCCTCACCGTCAATAGACTCGAGCTTGGCGGGGTTGGCGTAGGCCTTGAGGCGGAAGTCCTGCACCCAGCGTGCATTGCTCTCGTCCACGTCCACGAAGTCCATGGCCTTGCCCTGCCCGAGCCCCAAGGCCAAAGGTCAGCCCAGGTCACCCCCTGCTGCTTCACAGGGATGCTCAGAAACGCTGACAGGACTGAGGACCAATGGCAGCCCCTCGAGGGCAAAGGTACCCAACCAGCTCATCCCCCTCATTAGAGCTCCACACACCAGCAGCTGATCTCAACCTGACCTGCCCCTCATGGGTGCTCAGGCTCCTGCCTATAAAGCAGCAGCATCCGTCCCGCCCACCAGGGGTGACACTGGAAACGTGGAAAGTGACAGACATCACATCACTGCTGTGACCCCAGGTCTCCTGCCTTCAGAGGGTTGCACACCCTCCTGGTGGAAGGTCTGCGCCATCCTTGATCCGTACAGACACTGACCCATAAAAACCAGGTCTCCCTGCCATGGGTGGCGCCAGAGCTCGATGGGGCCCTGGCCCCTCGGCCCAGGCCAGGTCCTCGGGGTCACAGCAGCCTTGGGCTCGCCACTTCTTCCAGGAGCAACAGCACTCCCCTGGCCTCCCCCCAGAAAGAGATGTGGGAGAGGCGGCTGGACTCACCCCAGGGGTGGCCACCTGCAGGTTAAAGGCAGCACTGGCCATCGTGAAGCAGTGGAGGAAGGACTGGGCCGACACTCCTGCAAGGGCACGTGGGGTGAGCGGGGGGCAACACAGCCCCCCCGCCCAAGGAGGCTGCCCAGACACCCCAGGGCTTCTCCTGGTGCCAGAACCACCCCGAGGAGCAGCCCCTCATCTCCCCTGGTGGGCTCTCCCCCCAGCCTGGCCCTGGCGGCCTTTCCAGGAGGCAAAGCACGTGTGTGGGTCCCTGGCACTCGGCTCATCGCTCACTGACCCAACAGGGACTGAGTTCCCCTGAGTTAGGCCAGGGAGGGCGGCAGGGAGCAAAGCTCCTGTCACAGGAAGGTGGGTGCATTCCGACCCTCATGGGCTGGGGCACCGTCTCAGCCTTTCCTCACAAGGGCTCCTGAATCCCAACAGCTCCCGGCCCTCTCCTGCCCACACCCAGTCTGGAAGGCTCCTGGCAGTGAGGGGCTGCGGACCCACCAGGGACGTCTACTTCTAAAGAGGCTTGACTCACATCCTTCCCCCTTTATTTTAATCCTGGGACCCAACCCCTAAACCTCATGTTCACCTTTATTTACACTTACAAATACACGTTCACTGAAAAAGCCCACACATTGAGCAAAAAGTCTTTTCAAATCACCCGCCTCTCCTTGCCTTCCCTGTTCCTCAAACCCTTGTTCTCCTGCCCCACCAACCTCATCCCAGGGCCCCTGAAGGGACCATGCAGGGCCCACTGGTCCTGCCCACCGAGCCTAGTGGCCTTTTCAGAGCTGTGCCCCCGCCCCATGGCTTCAAAATCTCCTCGTGGCGGCCAAGCCCGTGCGACCCCTCCTCCTTATTGCGCTCCAACCAGCCACCTATGGAAGTAACTCCCAACCTGTCCCCCCAGGGCTGAACCCCACTCTCAATGGCTCCTCGCACCTTTGAACTCCCCGCGAAGGCAGGAGTAGGACCCCAGCTCCTCCTGCCCTGTTCTAGGCACTCACCCTGTGACCCCATGACCCGCAGCTACACAAGAGCAGGCCAGGCTCCCCAGACTGACCCCAGGTCCCAACCCTGCTCCACCTGCCGGCGACGTGGCCCGGGGCTCATCACTTCCCTCTGCGACAAGGGAAGAGGACCCGGGAAGTGCTCAGCACGTCACCAGGTGCCCGTCTCGGCTCATTTCCCCCCTCTGCACCCCCAGGCCCCAGGGAGCGCTGGCAACATCGGAGCCACGGGCCCCCGCCCGCCGCCCCTGCGCCCCCCGCCCGGGCAGGCCCCCTGCGCCCCCCGTCCTCCCGGGTGTGTGCCAGGCCGGCCGGCACGGTGTGGGTGGGCACGGAAGGCAGGCCGGGCCCAAGGCCGCGCTGTCCGACCCCAGCCTGTCGGAGCGCCGCTGAGGACACCCGCTGCCCCACCACGGCCTCCGCGGGGACAGCGACGCCGGCCCAGGGCGCAGGGCGCCGCCCAGAACCCCGCCACGGACAGAAGCGCCCCGGAGCCCCGGCGCCGCAGCAGACGCCCCCCGGCGGCGCCCCAAACACGGCGCCCGGAGTGTGGCTGAACCGCTCGGGGCGGACGGGCCTCCCGCCGAGGGCGCGCTGGACACGCTGGACGCGGCCGGAGCGCTCGCCTCGCCCCCCGCGCGGCCCCCGGCGCCCGCCGTCCCCTTCGCGCGCCTCACCCTCCGCGGCGCCGCTGGCCACGAGGAGGCAGGCGGGCCGGCTCTGCAGCCGCTCGGACGCCATGGGCTCCACGGCCGTCGGCGCGGGCTGCGCGTGCGCGGAGCGTGCGTGCGTGCGTGCGTGCGTGCCCAGCCGGGAGACGCCGGTCACGCGCCGCGGCGGACAGGGGGCGGGGCCTGCAGCGCTGCTGGCGCACGCGCCGTCCGTCCTTCCGCCCCGCTGCGCGGTGTCCCGGCTCCTTGCCCGGCGCCCGCAGCGCGGTGGCCCGGGGCCCGCGGGAGCGAGTCTGGGGGTTGGCACGCTTCCTGTCTCCTCCCTCGTCCTTGCTCAGGCGCCGGGCGAGGGCAGAGTTGGGGGAGGAAGGAGAACCCGGAGGGAGACGCGTGCCCGCTGGACGAGGGGCCCCCGCCCTGTGCTTCCAGGCGTGGGGCGCGCGGTCCCCGAGAGCCCCGGTCCGCCCGGGATGCGGGCGACGAGCGGACCCAGGGGCTCCGTCTGGGGTGGGGGCTGGGCCGTGGGCTCAGGGGAGGAAACCGCACAGTGGTTCCGACGGCGAGGCAGCGGTGGGCGGGTGACAGGCCCGGCGGAGGCTGGACGCTCCGAGCGAGCGGAGCGCTTAGCAGAGACCAGGGCGGGGTCTGCAGGTGTCCCTGGAGGCCAGGTGCATGGGTGCCCCTCACCAGGATGCTTAGGGGAAGACCGAGCATCCAGGGTCACTGGGGTTCAGCTACGCCCCTGGAAGATGGGGGTGCTGACAGGTGAGGGAGGTCAGCAGTGCTCCTGGGCCACGCTGCAGTTTTACCACAGACTGTCCAGAGGCAGCTGCGTGGGCACCTACACGCGGGTCGTCGGTGGATGGCGGGTTCTCTTTAAGGCCTGGGCTGCAGCTTGGGCCTGAGCTGGGTTAGGAGGGTGGCCCTGCCCCTTGGCCCTTACAGTTCCCCTGAAGGGCCCCCCTGCTGCCAGTGTCGAGGGCGGCAGCAGGGTTCCCTGGAGGTCCCGCCAGCCTCTGCTGACCAGGCAACCCTTTGTCATGGGTGGGAACTGCCGAAGTGGGCGCGTCTAGGCCCCTGCACGGAACGCCCCTGCCTGCGCACACTGGCTCGCCCTCTGCCCAGTCCGGCGCACACTCCCTCAGGCCCTGACCACACCCCCCAACACAGCAGCACCTTGCCTCACCCACCATGCCAATCCATGGGTGTCAGACCCCGGAGCTGGAGGGGAGCCACAGCGTCCCCGGGTTGGTTCAGCCCCGCCTGCACTGCCCCAGGGTGCCCCTCAGGCACCAGAGCAGATCCTGGTGCGGAAGCCTGAGTCTCCAGGAGCCGCGTCTTCCCACCTGGGGACTCGTTAAGTCGTTAAGTCAAGTCCTTTCTCTGTCTCTAAGGAAGAGGGTGTCGGAGGAAGCCAGGCCGGCAGTAACCCTGGGGAGCCTGATGTGTGTTCTGCACCTGTGCTCACGGGCTGTGCACCCTCCTGTACACCTGGGATCTGGCAGGATGCCTGGTGGGTGGGTCTCACATCTGAGCAGGGGGAGCAGGCACCCAGACACCGAGTCCAGTCTCCTATGTGGGCATCATCTTTGGTCGATGTCTCGGCACATGATCCCCATCCAGGTCGGCATGTTTGGGTTGCCACTGGCCCCAGCGTGGCCAGGCCTGTGAAGGTGTGTTCCCATGGGGCATTCTGAGTGCTGCTGGACCTCCAGTGTCTTGGTCACCCCTGTTCCCCCTCGGCGACGCCCTCCTTTCCGGAACACACCTGGGCCATAGATAACCAGATACACCATGAGAGTCACTGGGATGCAGGGAGCCTCTATCTGCCCTGTCCCGGGGCCAAGTGTGAGGTTGGGGAGATAGGTGGGTGGAGGATGGCTGAAGACCTGGGAGTCACCGAGGTCTGGCCTAACATCCAGGGTGAGGATCTGGAGCAGTGAGTCACCACCTCTGCCCTGATGGAAGAAGAGGGGTTCTGACACCACCCCCAGCCCATGTCCATATCTGGGAGAGGATGGAGTCTCAAAGCATTAGCCAGCCCTGCTCCCCAGACATACTACAAGTGCATTCATGGGTGAGGTCTCCAAAGGAGTTGCACACTCTTGGGGGTTGGAGGGGTGCTAGAGAGGAAAACAAAAGTGACCCCCACACATGTGCCTTCTTCATCCCTGCACATGATGCCTGTGCCCTGTGGAGCCCACCTGTGACGTGATGCATCAACACAGGGATGGGGGGCCTAAGATGCTGGTGCTCAGAACACAAAGGCTGAGAGTGGAGGTCTCCAGGGAGTCCACCTGGAGCCCCGGTGGGAGCAGGGCTGCCTTGGACATGTCCCCGGAGACTGCTGCAAACCTGAGCTCCCGTTCCCCAGATGTCCTTGTCAGTCTGGTTTGTATTTATAGTGTGCATTTTTTTTTCCTGTTTTTTTTTGTTTTTTTTAATCCTCACCCAAGGACATTCTTCCAGTTATCTTCAGATAGAGTGGGAGGGAGAGAGAGATAGGAAAATATAACTGTCACAGAGACACATGGACTCTGCCTCCTGCATGACTCCGACCAGGGCCAGGGACAAACCACAACCAAGATACGTGCCCTTGACCAGAATCCAACCCGTGAGACCTTGGGCGACGCTCTAACCACTGAACCAAACCAGCAGGGCTATAGTGGGCATTTTATTTATTTATTCTAGAGAGAGAGGAAGGGGAAAGGAGAGATAGAAACATCAATGAAAGAGAACATCGATTGGCTGCCCCCTGCATGTTCCCCACTGGGGATTTGGCCTACAATGTGGGCATGTGCCGTGACCGGGAATCAAACCGGCAACCTCTTGGTGCATCGGTCTACGCTCATCCACTGAGCTACACCGGCTGGGCTATAGTGTGCATTTTTTATGCCCTGAGTCCTTTTTGTGTCGGGTATTTTGTTTAGACCTTAAAAGTAGTCTGTAGCCTCGCTGGGTGGCTCGGTTGGTTGGAGCATCCTTGCCGTACCCCAAAGGTTGTGGGTTTGATTACTGGTCAGGGCACATACCTAGGTTTTGGGTGCAATCCCTAGCCGGGGTGTGTAGAGGAGGAAACCAATCAATGTTTCATCTCACACTGATGTTCCTCTCTCTCTCTCTCTCTCTCTCTCTCTCTCTGCCTTCCTCTCCCTCTAACAAAAATAAAGGTTCCTGGGCATCCCTGAGAGCATTTTTCTTTTTTAAAAATATTTTTATTGATTTTTAGCGAGAAAGGAATGGAGAGGGAGAGCGAGCGAAACATAGATGTGAGAGCAGAACATTGGCTGCCTCCTGCATGCCCTGACCGGGGATTGAACCAGCAACCTTTTGGTGCACAGGGTGATGCCCAACCAACTAAGCCACACTGGCCAGGGCATGAGAGTGTTTTTCATGTCAGAAGGATCCCTACTCTATTCAGGTTGAGGGAATCACTGGAACAGGCTGAGCATCAGAGCCACACACACAGGGCCCAGGGCCTCAGCTCACAGATTCTAATGTGCCCGGGAGGAGACACCAGTAACAGTAATCGGGGAATTTAAAAGAAATGATGAAACAGGAGGTCATTACAGAACAATATCACAGCCCTGGCCAGTTTGACTCAGCGGTTAGAGCGTCAGCCTGCGGTCCGGAGAGACCCGGGTTCGGTTCCCGCTAAGGGGACGTACTTCGGTTGCAGTTCGTCCCCGGCCCTGGTTGGTCGTGTGGGTGGCAGCCACTCGATGTGTCCCTTCACGTCGATGTTTCTCTCTCTCTCTCCCTTCCTCTCTCTCCCTCCCACTCTATCTGTACAAAAAATGGAAAAATATCCTCCGGTGAGGATAAAAAAAAAAAGAACAATATCACAAAGCTGCAGGCATTAACGCAGTGTGGTCTTGACGCCATTTGCAATGTGTCAAAGGCTCACTGTGCAAAACACACACAGCAAGCCTACCGGTAAGTGCGAAGGAGCCATTCCACCGGAGAAAAATGGGCAAATATCACCCAAACGGCCCAGAATTTTGTGCAAAGGGGCGGGTCAAGTCAACGCCAGGGAAAACCAGGAGAGGACGCCGGCGCTGGCGCCATCCAAGACGCTCCGCCCCACTTGGTGTGACCAGGGTGAAGGCAGCGGCGCCCTCACGGCTGAGCCCCGGGCACGAGGCGGGCCGCACAGCGAGACACACCCCGCGTGGCCTGGCGGTGTCACCAGCAGGTGCACACCGAGACCTGTGAAAGCAGGATCTTGAGCAGACAGGTCCACAGTGTCACCTGGTACTAGTCACCACGGTGAAAAGGTGGCAGCAGCCCACGCGTCCGTGGATGGAGGGTGGACACACACTGTGGTCCATCCACACCGTGGAGGATTACTCAGCCTTGAAAAGGAAGCAAGTCCTGCCCTGGCCAGTTTGGCCCAGCGGTTGAGCGTCCGCCTGAGGACCAGAGACTCCCGGGTTCGGTTCCCGCTAGAGGCACGTACCACCAAACAAAAAAAAAGGAAGGAAATCCTGACACAGGCTCCAACGTGAAGAAAACCTGAGGCCATTGTGCTGGCTGAATTAAGACTGTGGCAAAAGGCACTGGCTGGTGAGGCTCAGTGGGTAGCGTGTCCACCGGAGCATCAGAGAGTCTCGGGTTCAATTCTCCATCAGGGTACATACCTGGGTTGCAGGTTCGATCCCAGGTTTTAGTCAGGGTGCGTATGGGAGGCAACCAATCCATGTGTCTCTCTCTCTCACACATCAGCGTTTCTCGCTCTCTCCCACTCCCTTCCACTCTCTAAAAAAATTAATCAGAAGAATATCCTCAGGTGAGGATTAACAACAACAACAAAAAAACTGTCACAGAGGGACACATTCTGTGTGGTTCCACTCATGAGGTCCCTAGAAGAGTCAGACCCATAGAGGCAGAAAGTAGGACCATGTGTGTCATGGTCTGGGGGAGGGGGTGGGACATTTGGGGACAGAAGTCAGTTTGGTAAAATGAAGAGTTCTGGAGATGATAGTCACACAACAATGTGAATGTCACTGAGCTGTGCACTTAAAAAATTAAAATAAAATGCCCAGCCAGTGTGGCTCAGTGGATTGAGTGTCGTCCCATGGACTGAGAGGTCCCGGTTCAATTCTTGGTCAGGGCACATGCCCGGGTTGTGGGCTCGATCCCTGGTGGGGGGGGGCGGGTGTAGGAGGCAGCCGAACAATGTTCCTCACATTGATGTTTGTCTCTCCCCCTTCCTCTCTCTAAAAACAAAAAAGAAAACAAATGCTTCTATTTTTTTCCCCTTTATTAATTTTAGAGAGAGAGGAAGTGAGAGGGAGAGAAACACTGATGAGAGGGAACACTGATTGGCCGCCTCCTGCATGCCCCCCCCTGGGGATCGGGCCCACAACCTGGGCATGTGCCCTGACCAGGAATCGAACCGATGACCTCTTGGTGCAGGGGTCCATGCTCAACCACTGACCGGCCAGGCAAGAATGCTTCTATTTAAGAAAAAAAAAAAAAGTTAAAATAAAATGGTAAATTTTATGTTCTGTGAATTTTACCACAATTTTAAAAAGGTGTGTGCAGGACCCAGCCCTGAGACACGGGGCGCAAAGGGCATCCCCAGGACTGTCATTACTGCTGTGTCTATAAAGTGGTAAAACACTGGAAACCGCCTCAACACCCCTTCGCAGGGAATCCACACACAGAAGGAGGCGGCGCCGTGGGTGGAATGTCGCAGCGTCCACAGGACCAGCCAGTCACGCCCACGAAGCCCAGCCTCACCTCTGCTCCCTCCCCAGGCTCCCAGAATGCCAGAGGGTTTCTGTTTGTTTTAGGGCGCCAGCCACAGAACAGAGAATGGGAGAGGGGCCTGGTGCAGGCAGAGAGCAGTGACTCCGGCCTGGCCAGCCGGCCGGGCTGAGTGGCCGCCTGGCTCCTGGGGGCGGGTGGGCGGTGCCAGGCCCACGTGGTCAGGCTCGGGCCAGGTGGCTCAGCGCAGCAGGAGTGGGCGAGCACAGCTGGTCAGGTGGAGGCTGCTGCACGGTGGCCTGGGCCAGGGTGCCCTGGCCGTTTGGGATGTCCACAAGGAACTTACCTGGACCTGAGATGTGGGTGCACTGGCAGGGTATGCCGCCCCGGGAGGGTGGGTACAGGGAGGAAAGATGTGCTCCGCTGGTCAGAAGGCTGGGGGTAGAGGGCCAGGGTGATAAAGCCAGCCGCATGCTTCTGGGGTCCAGCGGCCTTGCTCCCCCGCCTGGGCCTGACAGCCTGCCTGCAGCTGGGGACCCAGGCAGGCCTGGCCAGAGTGGGCACAGAGAGCTGTGGGTGGGAGGTGAAAATCCCCTGTGCCCAGCAGCCTCCTCTGTGCTGCCCCCCGCAGGGATGGGGAGCTCACTGCAAAGAGGGGTTTAGAAAAAGGGCCCCCCTGGCTGGAGAGGCCAGCCTGAGGAACAAGGCCCCGTTCCCCACCCCATGTCCTCGCTCTGCCCTGTGCGGCATGGCCAGCAGCCTGGGCCTGGCCGTGGCTGCCTGGGATGGGGCAGGCTAGAAGGGGCTGTGAGCAGAGCCCCTGGAATCAGGGCACAAAGGTAACAAGGGAGGGCCAGGGAGAACCCTGCTCTGGAAAGCTGAGGGGTGTGGACATGACCCTCACCCTGAGGGAGGCCTTTGACTCCCAGCCACGTGCAGGGGCAGAGGACACCAGCCCAACCTTCAGACAATAGTTTATTGTAGACTCAGGCCCAGGGTTCCAGTGGCCGGCCGGCCTGGGAAGGGCATGTCAGGTTCCCACAGTGCCCACCGCCACCCTCCAAGGCCTGCCCACTGCCACCTCGCCATGGGCTGGGCTGGGACCAGGTGTGCTAGGGAGGGGCCACACTGCTTGGTCTCCCTGCGGGCACAGCGGGGCAGTGGGCGCAGGTGACAGCCACCCACCAAGTGGTTCTACTCTACCTGTGTTATTGCATTTATACGCTTGTTAGACTCAAAGGACACTGGGTGAGGCAGGAGGGGCCGTCTCCAGGGGCATCTTTGGGGGCGAGGCAGACACAGCTGCAGGGCAGGTCCTGATATCCACCCCTCCCTGCCCCACCCCAGCTGCCCCCAGGACAACTGCCGGAGGATGGGGAGGGGCTCGGGACAGGAAGTGAGGTGGCTCCAGTCTCAGGAGCTCCCCTGGGGCCACGCTGGGTGGACTGTGGGAGCCCCTCCAAAGACTGGCCTTTGGGCTGTCTACCCAGCTAGGGTGTGGGCACAGGCAGAGGCGGCAAGGAGTCTCAGGGCAGCCCCGCGGCAGTGGCCCACCTGGGCAGACACCCCACCCCTCCGGCTGCAAGCAAAGAGCAGAAGAGGGGAAAGTGAAACAGCCACACCCTTTAATGTCCCCACACAGCTGGGCACAGTCAGAGGCCATCCTGGGCCCCTATCAGCCTTGGGGTTCCTTCCAGGACCACTGGGGCTCCCCGGGACAGTCTGGCACACTCAGGGTCCACCCCATCCACTACCCCCAGGTACCTTGACACTGAGCCCTCTGCCCACTGCCACAGCTCCAACCCATGCTGCTCAGAAACCCTGGGGCCCAGGCTCCTTCTGCCCAGAGCTTGGGAGGGGGGAAGTGCTGGGGGCCAGTGAAGGGGGCTTGGCTTCTACTGTCCGGGGCCTGTCCATCTCTCCCTCCGTGTATCTGTGGGGTGCTCGTATATATATTTCCTATGTATGTATGGATAGATAGTCGTGTGTGAATTCGCATGCGCAAGATCCCAAGTCTGTACGGGGAGTGGCTGGTCCCCCACTTGGGTACCAGCCATCATTTTTTCCGGGCCAGGAGGACCACACCAAGAATCAGGGCTGCAGCTGCCACAGCCATCCCCCCAGCCAGCAGCAGGGGGGTCAAGTTCTCAAAGGGGCAGGGACCTCGGCCCCCTGGACCCCCACTAGGGGCCTGGTCCTCCTCAGCCCCATCTCCAGGGCCCTTGGGCTCAGGGGTTGCATTGGGGCTGCTGGGGGCCACAGGGGCTGGCTTCAGGTTGCTGTGGTTGTTGAGAAGGGCAGGGTCTGCCTTGGCCGCGGTCTTCTTGGCAGGTGGCGGAGTGGGGGCCACTGGCAGCTCCGGCTTCTCCACTTGGGCCTCCTTCTTCCCAGGTTTGACTGAGGGGGCTTTTCCGTCCACAGCTGGGGTGCCTCTGACCTCTGCACCAGCCTGGGGCACCTTGGTGTCGGGCTTGGGGCTGCTGGCTGACTTCCCTCTGGACTCCATGATGACGGTGGTGGTGGGCTGTGTGGACAGGCAGGTGACCAGACCACAGTGGTTCAGGACAGCTCACCTCTGGGCATTACATGGGCCTGAAGGGAGACAGGAAGAGGCATTCCTGTCCAGCCCCTGCCGCCATGTCCCCATAGAGACACCACTCAGTCCCCTGCCCCCCCACTCCCCCCATCGCCCAAAAACCCCAGCACAGAATCCTCTTCCAGGACCCAGCCTCCACCTGTCCGTCTCCAGCCACTCCATGAGCAACCCTCCAATCACACAGGAAGGGGCTGTGGGCCCCGTCTGGGTTGGGGGCAGGGGAAAGAGACCAGCCAGAGGCCACAGTGTCCTTGTCTATAAAATGGTCTTGCCTACACATGTGCTGTGTCCATGACACGGGCCCCTTGTAGGGCGGCCCTGACAGGGGAGAGAGAGTCCACCCAGCCAGGAGGAGGTGTTCGGTCAGGGGAGATGGACAGCAGCCAGGGTGGGTCTGGGCAGAGAGGACCATGTATCCATCTCAGAAAGGGACTAGGTCCAAGTGGAGGTGGGCAGGGCAGGGTGCAAACCTGGAACTCGGTTCTCTGGTGCCAGCAGGGTGGGAGTGGGCCCAAGGCCACCAGGACCTGGATTTTAAAAACCTGAAGTATCTCCCAGGAGGGCAGTGACCGGCCTGTGCGTCCTGGCAGACCATCTGCCCTGGAGCCCACCCCCAACACTGGCCTCACCTGCTCCAGCTCAAGGGCACGATGTCCTTCCTGAGCCAGGGGCTGCACCTCTCTCGGGGGACAGAGGGGATCCCTGGAGTTAGCCTAGGGTGGGCACATGCCCTGTCAATCAGCCTCAGCATCTAGGCCAGGCGGAGGACGGGGTTCTAGGAAAAGCCTGGCCCCATCCTTGAGGTACAGGGTGGGGTGAAAGGGGCAGGACTGGGCACCTAGCCACCCACCTAGCCACCCTGGGCCTGAGTCGTCCCTCCCTGCAGACCTTGACACCACCTGTCTGCCTGGGAGGATGAGCAACCTCCACCTCGACCCCCGGGAGAGGGACCCTGGCAGCCCAAGTTCCTCACCCAGGCCAGGGGCACTAACCACACGGAAAGTCGCCTGAAGGTCACAGCATGACGGGGGTGTCCCAGAGAGGGCCCAAGGAGCCCCAGCAGCCCCTCACCCCCTGCCGTCCTGGAGCGCACGCAGCTGCCGGGAGTCAAGTGTGCAAAGGGCAGGTGGTCTGCTCCTCCCACCTACCCTCGGTTATTCTTAGTTCACACTGACGTCACCCAGCTGCCCCCTCCCCCTCCCCGGGGCTGCAGAGCCCGGGAGTGATGACCTTCAAGGCAGGGAACCGCCGCGAGCCCCGCGCCCCCATCGCGCCCCCATCGCGCCCCGGCCCCGGCCCGCGGAGCCCCCGCCACCTTACGCCGCTGCTCCCGGCGCTGCCACCTCGGCGCTGGGCGCTCTCCGCGGGGCCACGGCGGGCGGCGGGCAGCGGCTGCGGCTGCGGATGAGGACCGGAGTTTCCCACAATGCAGCGCTGCGGCGCAGGAGGTGGGGCGGGGGCGGGGCGGGGCCGAGTCCGCGCAGGCTCCGCCCTCCCTCCCCGCGCCGGGCCGACCCGGGGCGCTCTGGGGCCCGAACCCAGCTGCGCTTTAATCCCAACGGTGGTTTAGGGGCAGGCAGCGAGGGGCTCAGGCTGCCCTTCCCGCACCCCCAAATCCCCAGCGCGGGAGCCAGGGGGCGGCCCCCCACAGGAGCCCTCCAGGCCGGGGCGCCCTCAGCGGCGGGCACGCACGGGGCTGCAGGGGGAGCCAGTTAGCAGAGATGTGCCCTTCCCGCCCCTAACAGAGTCTCAGAGAGGAGGCTTCTACTTAGAATATTTATTTATCTCCTTACATGACAAGACAGAAAAAGTCACTTCTTAAAACTCCTCAAAAGAAAAAATATATAAATCTGTAAGCAGCAGCAGCAGCTTCCAAGGTACAGGTGTGACGGGTACAACCGTGAACTGGGGGCCAGACCTCAGCCCCAGGTAGTGTTGCTGGGAAAGGGCCTCCTGGGGGGGCCTGGGTGGTGGGGGACACAGCACCAGCACCAATCACCAACACGATCACGTAGCAGGGGGGCAGGCGACGGGAGCCTGCCTAATTCACAACGTGGGTGGGTCTGGACATCGAGAGGGCAGAGCTGTACAGCGAGGTCAGGGGCTTCGGGCAGAGGTCGGGAGCAGGGTGGGCCCTGAAGGGGCAGCTCTTGGCCCCCACCCCTGCGAACAGAGCAGGTGCCCCCAGGCTCCATATTGGTCTTCATGCTTGCTCTTCCCACTGGCCAATGTCAGACCTGGGGTGCAGGTCTCAGAAGAGGGGTCAGCTGCAGGTGCAGCAATAGGGGGCGTAGGGTGTGCACACACACACACACACACACACACACACACACACTCTGCCTGGCCATGTGGGAAGGGCAGCAGCACCCCCACAGCCCCATTCCAGAGGAGCCAGGCCAGCTTAAGGCTGGTGGGCACAACCAGTTACCCCCAGCATTGCCACGTGCACACAGACCTCACATACTCTGAGCCCCCCAGCTGGGGTAGGGCAGAGGGGCCCACCAGGAGGATTGCTGGGTCCCGCAGTTAGGAGGGTTTCCTGGGAATCAGACCTCAGCATGACCCCCCCACCTGGGATTCCTGGCTCAATATGGGGGGCAGGAGACCCTGATTCTCCTGCAAGGCTGGCCGAGGTGAGAACAGCAGCATGGGGGCTGGACCAATGGACGGAGGGTTGCTCAGAGCCACCGATGCTCAGTAAGTTAATAAATAGGTTTGCGCAGGGTCCCCTTTGTGGGCTAGGGGCTGCGCCTCAGGGATGGGCGGAGAGCCTGGAGGGGAGGGTCCATCGTGCCCAGGCCACACCTGGGAGCCCCCAGCTAGAGACCAGCTCTGTCCCTGGGGGTGTTCAGGCCAGGTTGCAGCTGGGACAAGGCTGGCTCCAGGAATGTAAAGATTTCTGTGATTTCTACATAAATAACACATTGATCCCACTGCTTGTGCAGGCAGGACCCCTCGGGGTCCACGTGTGTGGGCCCTGCACCCCTTCCTCTGCCTCCCCTAGCCACGTGGGGAGGAGTGGGAGAGACTTTCCCTTGCTCAGTCCTGGGTGTGCTGCCCAGCTCCAGTTCCACTCGAGTCCTGCTTGGTGTGGGCACGGGGGGCCCAGGCTCAGGGCTGGGGTTGCTGCAGGAGCCCCAGCAGGGTCTCTGCGATGCCCAGGAAGTAGACCACCTGAGCAATGCCAAACAGCGGAGCGATGACCAGGGCGCGGCAGTAGGCACCCTTTAGGAAGGCTGAGGGACCCTCATTCCGCAAGATCTTCCTGTGGACAAAGAGGGGTCAGAGCTGGTGCCAGCCTCCCCTGTCCCCCTTCTCCCGAGGGGCCTCACCCACCTGGCACAGTCCAGAAACCCTGAATAGGTGTCTTCATTGACCCCACGCTGCAGGGACTGGAGCCTCGTCTTCACCACTGCAGGGAGGTGTGGGGGTCAGTGTGGGGTCTGCTCACCTCCATCCCCACCCCCAGCCTGAGGCCCAGGCCCTCATACTGACCATCACAGGGGTTGACAGCCACGGCGGCCATACTCCCAGCCACACAGCCAGCCAGGAAAGACACGTAGAAGGGAGACTTCTCCCCAGATGCCGGCTGGCCCAGCTGGTTCAGGTTGGCAAAGAGGGGGAAGTAGACGATGGAGAAGGGTACGTCCCTGCAGGGGTGGTGGTGGTGACTGGGAGGTGGGGGACAGGTGGGCCTCCCCCTTCCCTCCTCCTACCCTCCTGCCCCTCCCACCTGAGCAGTGTGGCCCCCAGTCCCTTGTAGAGGCCAGCAATGCCACGGCTCCGGAGCAGGTCACGGGTCAGCTGGGTGGCTGTGGGCCTGGGGACGGCCGGAGCCTCCACTGAGGGCTGGGCGCCCCCCTGTGTTGAGAGCTGGGCCTGGGCAGCCAGTATCTTCTTCTGGGCGGCTGAGGAGAAAGGACAGGACCGCTGGCTCTCCCTCCAAGTGCAAGGTGAGGGCAGGGCGCTGGGGCCAGCCTGCGGCACCACCTGGCTCTCCACCCCCCTCACCGATGCGGCCGGCATCCTGAAGCTGGATCTTCAGCATCTCCATGGGGGTGGTCACGATGACCTGGCAGGTGCCGGCTCCGCACCCTGCCAGCATCTCCTTCAACAGCGTCAGCCTCTGCCTGTCACGGAGGGAGTGAGGCCACGGTCAAGAGTCAGAGGCCCCTCTGCCCAGGCAGCTGCCCACTGCCCGCTGTGAAGGGAGATGGGAGCAGTGGACGCAGACACAGCCCTGTGGGGGTACAGCACCCCCAGCCTCAGGTACCCCTCCAGGCCCGCCAGCAAGGGCCCTGAGCCCGGCAGACAGATGGCCCCAGTGACAGGAAAGCTGGGCACTGCCCCAAATCCCGGCCTACTAGGGGTGGCAGGCCCAGAGCCAAGGACCACTGTCGGGAGCCCCAGACACAGCATCTGCCTCAGTCCCCCCAGTGTGCGGCCGGGGGGAGGCAGGAGCACAGGACAGAGGAGTAAGAGGAGCAGCAGCAGGAACAGGAGGCCTGGCAAGGTCAAGGTGAGGGGCAGCAGGAGAGCAAGCCTTTGTCCTTGGTCTGGAGGCACAGACCTCTCCTCCTCACCCGTCCTTGGAGAGCTGATATCGGAAGAAGTCATTGGCTGCCAGCTTAATGGCCTTCTCGGGGGTGACAAGGGTCAGGTTCACAGCGGCTCCTGTGGGGAACAGAGGGTGGGGAGGCTCTCAGCCAGCACGGCTTCCCAGCTGGCAGAGCCCTACCCCAGCCAGTCCTTGGCACCTCTCTTGCCCTCTCACCCACATTGGTTCCAGGCGGGGGCGGGGACCAGGCAGGGACAGGGCAGAGCCTCTCCCTCCAGGCACTCTGCTCCTCTCCTCCAGTGACCCCCATCCCAGCCCGGTGGGCCTCCCTAGGAACACCGCCCGCGGGACAGAGGCGCTCACAGGGGCGGGGGGCACTGGGCGAGAAGGCACAAACGGACGAGGCTGCGTCGAGCCTGGGGGGCCGGAGCCAGGGGACCACAGCAAGCCCCTCTCGGCAGTCAGGGCTCAGGGCTGCACAGTATCCGGGTAAATCCGGGCTTGGGGGTTGTCTAAGCTGCTTTGCAGCAATGCCCCACCCCCTCCCAGTTTCCCAGCCAGGGTCCTGCCCGTCTCCTGAGGCAGAGGAGGAGGCTGCAGCCACTGTGGTAGAGACAGTGTCCTGCCATGCTCCCTGCTGGCAGTAGGTGGGGGTGGGGGGATGCCCAGCAAGACTGGGGTGCTGAGAACTGCCCCTCTCAGAAATCCCACCCTTGTCATCCAACTCCCCCAACACCAGCACCCAGGGCCCAGCTGATGCCCCCAGGGCAGGTACAGCCAGCCCGCGGGACATGTCCACACTCACACCAAACCCAGGCCTGCCGCCCCACACTATGGTGAGAGGGGGCTGCCAGGCCTGCCCCTTCCAGAGCCTCACCACGGTACATGCCGAAGTAGCCCTCAGAGCGGATGGTCTTGATGAGGCAGTCAGACCTGCAGCCAAGGGTGGGGTGAGATGGGGCAAGCCTGGGGCCCAGCAGGGGCTCCAATCCTGCTCCCAAGGAGCCGCTGCCCCCCGCCTGTCCTCTCCGTCCCCCCTTGTGTTAAACAGGGCGAGGGGCCACAGGAGTGGAGCTCAGGAGCCTGAGGCTCATCCCACCCCACCACAGGGCCCCAGCCCAGGCCGGCGGGCACTCACATGCTGGTGTACATGCGCTGGCCATTCTGCTGGTTCTGCAGCCTCGTCTTGGCCAGGTCGATGGGGAACACGCAGGTGACCCCGATCAGCCCGGCGATGCCGCCATTGATGAGCTTGGCTGGCAGACTGCAGGCAGAGGGGGGGTCAGGACCTGTGGCCACCGGGCAGGGGCAAGGGCAGGGTGGGGCCAGGATGAAGGCGGGGTGGCATTCCGACCTGATCTGCTTCTCAGCCATTTAACCGAGTTCGCCCAGGTAGGAGAGGCGGAGGGCAGAGCTGAGGTGGTGGAGGAGCAGCTGGGTGGGATGGCGTGGGGAGCGCTGTCCGCCGCTTGCTGGGAATTTCAGAACCACCTTCTGTCCTGGAAGGAAGAGCAGCCGAATCAGCGGGGGCGGGGCAAACCACTCAGGCACAGCAGAGGAGTAAGCTCCCGTGAAGGCCCCTCCCCACCACCCACGCGGGACAGCAACGCGTCCTGGGGATGCAGCGTGGGGGCGGCGCGGCCCCACGGGTTCCCCTCGAGGCCCCCACCGGCGGCGTCCTCCCAGCACCTCGCTCACGTTCCCGCTCACGTGCACACAGAGTGCCGTCTTTAAAGGGCCAGGCGCCTGGGGGGAGGCAGCAGCAGAGGCTGGAAGGAAGGGGACAGGGTGCCGGCTGGGTCAGTCACCTCGACCCAGGACTGGGCTGCAGCTACCCCCGCCCCCATCCTTGAGCCGAGGAAGGGGCTGGAGTCTCCTCACAGGCGGCTCCTCCACACTGGACCCCCAAGACACCCCTTTCCCTAGGACAAGCACCATTCCAACCCACGCTGTCCTGCCGCCACCCTCCTCTCCACCCCTCCCAGGGATTTCATTCCCAGGCAGACACACAAGAGGACAGGCCCACCAGGACCTCTGGAAGGTCCAGGGGTGTGTGGGGTAAAGGGGAGGGGCAGCGGGGAGGCAGACAGCAGACCTTCTGAGGCTCCTGTGGTAAATCCCCAGTAGGGGCAGGGCTCAGAGCCAGAGCCAACCCCAGGGGCCTCCCATGGGGGGCACAGCCAATAAAACTGAGCTGTGGGGGCCGCCCAGAATCCGCCTGTTACCAGCCCTTAGCACTGCCACCGAGACTCACCCAGCTGGCTCACACCCGGGGTCCCTCGGAGGACTGGTGACCTTCATCTTAGCTTTCCCAGGTCAGGCCCTCCCTTCCCACACAGCAAGACCCCCCCGCCCCCCATGCATGCCCTTGCAGCCTCAGCCTCCTTCCTGCTCTGGGTCTGCTGGGCCCGCTCACCGGGTCTGCTTGGCGTGCTCCGGGAGGTGCAGAACTCTCCTCTGAGACCACAGCCTCTGGGCTCAGAGATCTAGCCGCGGAGGGAGGTGCCAGCCACAGGGATTGGCCTCTGGGCGGGGAGGGGCGGGAGGGGCAGGAGGGGCGGGAGGGGGGCCACTTTCTCTTTCACTTTGGGCGTGTGAGGCTCCCTGCAGTTGTGGGAGAAGGGATGAAGACTGGCAGTTTCTGGGAGGCAGGACCAGGCCTCAGTGCCGCCTCAACCCACAGGACAGTGGGTCTGACTCAGGCTGACCAGGCCACCTATCCACAGGGATGCCAGCCCCTGGCCGCTGCGTCCCCAGCTGCCCTGTGGGTCCGCAGCTTGCAGGCTGGGTCTGTCTAGACCCCGGTTCCTTGAGGAAGGGGCCCCCTGTGCTCAGGCCCCCTGTGGGCCTCTGCTGAGGAATGGGTGCCGTGGGGTGGAGATGGGTCTGGGCCAGCTCGTGTCTGTGGGACCTGTGTGTCCACGGGAAAGGACAGGGAAGGAGTGGCTGTGTCTCAGAGGCCACTGGCTGCCAACACAGGCTGCTCCCCCGCAGGTCCAGAGGTCATGAGAACTGGCACTCCCAGAGCCCTCTGCCCTGCCAAGCACCCCACACCCCCTGCCAGCACACACACCAGGGCTCCAGTGCCTGGGATCTGCTTCTCTGCACCCCAACCTACAAAGAAGAGTCTGCCCTCTGAACTTCACCCCGAGCTCGCCCTCCCCACCCACACCACCCCACCCTCCAGGTGTACGCAGACCACAGCCATCTCTCTCTGCTGCCCCCCAACCCTAGAGGGGCAGGGACTGTATCCTAGCACCGAGGTCTAGCCCTGCCCTCTGGGGACTGAGTGCACCCTGACTCTTGAGCATCACCAGACCCCACCTCCTACCTGAGGTTAGGGGCACCTAGATGATGGGGGTCCCGGAAATCAGACGATCTATCTCAGGTGGGGGAGGCAGGCTCAGAGGCCTGGAGACCCCAAGCCTGAGAAGGCAGCTCTGGGGCCCCCTGTCCCCACAGGGTGAGCAGGGAAGACAGACAACGTGAGAGTGAGCTGGCTCTGTCTGGGGAAAACTGGAGAAGGATCTTCTACACCCTGAAACCCCCTTTTCCTGTCCTCATTCCGTGGTTCCCAACCAATGCTTATGCTTATGAGACAGCTGTAGAAGGCCCTGCCCTATACCCCGTGTTGCCATAGCAACCTGGCAGTTGTCCGGCGGTGTGGCTCAGTGGTTGAGCATGACCCGTGCACCAAGAGGTCGCCAGTTTGATTCCACGTCAGGATACATGCCCCGGTTGTGGGCCAGATTCCCAGTCGGGGGCATGCAGGAGGCAGCCAATCGATGTCCTCTCATTGATGTTTCTCTCTCCTCTCCCTCTAAAATCAATAAAGGATCAAAAGAAACTGGGCAGCCCCAGCCAGGCCCAGAACGAGGCCCTGGGCTGGCAATCTTGACTGTCCAAGCCAAGTACACCGATAGGCAGGCAAACAGACCTTCTTGTTTCCAGACCCTCGAAGTGAAATCTCCCACAAGCGAAGCCGCTGCACTCCTGAGTGTCAGGGTCTGGAACTGGCCGCTCGCTCCCCATTCCAGTTCCCCGTCGCTGCCCCTGAGGAGACGCTTTCTGCCCCGCCAGCGAGAGTAGCCCCACCCCGCGGCCAGAGGAGGCGGAGGTGGGGGCTGCGGCTCGGCTCAGGGGCCGGCTCAGCTCCCAGTCCTGCTAGACAGGTCGGAACCGGGGCCCAGCCAGCCAAGCTGTCCCCAGCTAGGCGATGGCGACGCCAGCCGCGCACGTGTCCACAGACGTCCGGCGGATTCCCACGTGTGCCCCCCCCCCCCCACGGCCTGGCCTCTGCACCCAGGGCTCTGGTCCCAAGCAACCACCCCGCGGGGACACGTGTGCGCGTGGAGCACGCCCGCCACCGCCGGGGCCGAGCACGGCCTCCCACACCCGGCAGGAGCGGATCCGAGCATCCGCCGGCCAGGGCCCCACCAGAGCCGCCTTCTCTGGGCAGTTGTCACCTCCCCGGGCCAGTTTCGGCGCCCCTCGCCCCCGCAGCCGCACGGCACTCGCGTGGGCTCCGTGCCAGGGAGCGGCCGGCGGGCACTCACCGAGCTCCGCCGCCTCCGCCGCGCTCACCTCCCTGTTGTGCCCGCCGCGCTCCCAGCAGCAAAAGTGCGTCCGCTCCGCACGGCGCCGCGCTCCGCCCCCGGCCCTCCGCAGCGCGCGGGCTCCGGCTCCCCCTCCCGGCCGGCGTGGCCACTGCTCCCGGGTGGGCCACAGCCCCGCGCCAGCCCGCACCCCGGCCCCCGGCCCGGCAGACCCCCGGTCTCTTCACATGGCGCCCCTGCACGGGCAGGACCCAGGGATTAGCCCTGTCGGGCCAGCAGGTGGCCGGCAGCGCTGGGACAAGGGTGTCCTACAGGAAGAGCGATCTGGCCACACAGTGCTGGAGGGGGCTGGACTGGGCCAGCCAAACAGGCTGCCGCACAACCCTGCACACAGGTGACTTTGTATCCAAGGTGCTGCAGACATTACTTTGTAGCCGTGGTTCCTCTACCTCCCAGGAAGATCAGGACCAACAAGAGGTGTTGGGCACATGCAAGGGCACAGAGGGTGGCACAGGGGCTCCCCCCACGTCCCCTGCACCCCCTCCCCTCCAGGGGCCAGGCCTCTGATCTCCACCCAGTAAACAAACCAAGCTCTGAAATAGCAGCCAGACAGTCATGTTTGTTACACTCTGGAGGTCACTGTACCCGTACACAGGGAAGACTTGAAAGTGGGGGCCTCTGAGCACTGGCCAAAGCACACATGGCACCAGCCCAGAGTCAGTGGTGTCTGTCTAGGCCTGGGCAGGCTCTGGTGACTGTGAAGTGGAAGGCCCAGGGGGGGCAAGGTCCCTGGAGGCCAAGCTTGTGCGACGGATGCCATCCTGATACTTGTGGCGGCCGAGCTCCAAGACAGCCCGCACTTCTTCGGCCACATCCCGCCGGTCACTCTGCTCCAGGGCCTGCACTAGGAGCCCCACAGCCCCGGGCTGCCCAGCCTGGCGCTCAGCCCAAGAGAACAGCATATGGCGGATCTGCCCATCTAGGTCGTCCCTGGGGAGATGGGGGCTCAGTGACTGAGGAGCCCCGCCCAGGACCACCCACCACACCCAGGGTCCAGCTCACCCTCCCAAGGTGAGTTTCCTGCTCCCTGGGCCAGGTGTGGCCAGACCATCCCTTTCCTGCCTGTCTGCACTGCCCCCACCTGGCCTGGAGGAACCTCAGCCAGCCTCAGCAGGGCCTTGCAGGCAGTAGGGGCCCAGGCCTGAGGCGGGCCCAGAGAGCAGCCAGCAGCTCCAAGGAACCCACCGGAACTCATGGCGGATGCGCTGCAGCTCCTGGTAGGACAGGCCCAGGTGCAGGGCCACAGCAGGCCAGTCAGGGCCCAGGCGCCCGGCCACATTCAGCAGGTTGCTCTGGGTCAGGAAGCCGGTCTCAGCATCACCCAGGTTCAGAGGTGCCAGGGAGGGGCTAGGCCCCCACGCTGGGCCCAGCCTCTCAAACCTCCGCAGTTTCTGTGGGGAGGAGATTGGGCAGTGAGCTCCGGCCTCTGTCCCCAGGTTCCAACCGGCCCTTCGCCTCCACCCCCCACCCCAGGTCACACCGGCAGCTTGATGGGCAGAGTGGCCATCCACAGGGTGTCCGCGCCCTTCCTCTGCCGGGCCGCCTCTGCCTCCTCAGGGACCTCCTCAGGCACGGCTCCTCGATAGAAGGACACCTGGGGCAGGAGGAGGCGTTTCAGCGCCCTGGCGCTGGCCCAGGCAGCCTGGGGGCCCTACCCCTTCAGCCCACCTGGCCCCTCACGGCCTGAGCCCGCCGGTCCAGGGTGGTGGTCACGTACACCTCCTTCACGTTCTTCAGGTGTGAGTAGAACACGAAGCACACTCTGCCCTGCACGCAGTCTGGGCGGTCTGGGGGTGGGGAGGGCTCAGCAGGGAGGCGGGGTGGACCCAGGGCCCACCTCCGGAGGCAGGGGCCTACCAGCGTCCACGTCGATGCCCCTCTCGAAGGCAGCAAAGAACTTCTCGCCCTCGAACATCTCCACCGTGTCTGAGGGCTCAGGGCCACGGTATCGCTCCAGCAGCCGCCGCAGGGTGGCATCCACCTGGGGGGCACTCGCGGGCTCAGAGCCCAACACCCGGCACCTCCACCCCACCCGGCCCCCCAGCTCCAGGTCCCCACCTTGTTCCGGGGCAGGCACTGCAGGAGGACCTGCTCGGGGTCCCGGCGCCTCTGCAGTGCTATGAGGTTCACGCGGTGCAGCCGCAGCCGCTCCCAGGCCTTCCTCGCCAGGCCCCCCACGCAGCTCTTGGTGGTGTACCAGAGCCAGTACCTGGGAGGGCTGGGGGTGAGGTGGGCTCTGCATGCGGGGAGGGTTGGGGAGCAGGCTGAGGAGGCTGGAGGGGACACTGACCAGGAGAAGTGTGTGACCTGGAAGCGAGCATACAGGTGGGTGAGCTCCAGTGCCACCTGAGCCGTGATGTCATCCCAGGTGGCTGCAGGAGGGGCCCGGTACAGCAGGTGCAGGCGGGAGCGGTCCAGACTCAGGCCTGGAGAAGGGTGGGGGCCACAGGCTGAGGCCTCCCCATTGGGGCTCCCCTTCTGACAACTGCCCTCACCTTCTGGCCACAAGTCCACGCATGCCACGTGGCTGCCTCTCACCTGTGATACCAGGGGGCAGAGGCAGCTGCACAGTGACTGGCCGGAGGAAGCTGGAGGGGCCGCTCTGGGTGAGGCACAGCAGGGGACTCACGGCCGCCTCGGGCTCCTCCAGCAGGGCCCGGAGCTCTCTGCCCGCCATCCGCACCACCTGGGGCAGACAGGCCACCGGAACGCTCACCTGTGCGCTGAGGCACCGCCCGCCACCCTGGGGGACTGCCCTGTCTGTACCTGCATTCGGACTTGGCGAGGCTCCTCGGTGGCTCCAGGGGGGAATGTGACCTTGACCCCAGGATGCCCCGAGGACCATAGCAATGTCCCCTCTGGAGGCACCAGGCAGGCATTGGACACAGGGCGTGAAACCACAAGGAACCATGAAAAGTGGGGAACCTGGCAGTGAGCCCAGAGCCGCTGGGCGTGGGGACAGGGTCAGAGGGAACAGGGTCAGAGGGCGTCGGGGTGAGGACGGAGCCCCGCGCCCCTCCCCAGGCCTAACGGGCCCTCACCTTCGGAGCTGCTTCTTCCAGGTGGGTTTCCAGGTCGCTCCAGCTGTCGTCACTCAGGGTCCTCACCACCACCTCACGGCAGCGTCGGGCCCGCGGGGGCACAAAGAGCAGCCACAGGCCCACCTCCTGCCAGGCAAGGGTGGTGTGAGCACGAAGGCCGTGCCTGGGCCCTCCATACCTGCCGCCACCCACTCTGGCCGTGCCTGCTGGAAGGCCACCCCATGGGGCTGCAGCTCCAGGACACCACTGAGCAGGGAGTCGTGGGGCCCCAGGGGGACGAGGCGCGGCTCGGGCAGCCACAGGCGGTAGTGGACGGTGAGAGAGGAGGCGGTGGCCCCAGCGGGAAACTGCAGGCGGACGCCACAGGCCAGGGTCACAGAGCAGCCTTGGGGGGTCACGAGGAAGCTGAGTGAGGACAGGGTGGGCATCAGGTCAGACACAGAGGCCTGTCTGTCTGAGCCTGGCACCCTGGAAGACCCTAGAGCACGGGTAAGGTGTCCGGCGTGGATAGGGTGGCAAGGTGGACAGCTGCTCCTCTAGCCCTACCCCTCACCTGTCCAAATCTGACGTCAGGAACAGTCTGGGCATTTCCAGGACCACGGGTATCCCTGTGGAAGGGCAGACAAGTTGTTAGGGTGGTGACGGTTCCTGTGTCCTCTCTGCGGTCTGCCCCTCCCCAGCAATCAGCTCACCTGGGGGACTGTGGGAGTCTGGCAGGGTCTCGCCCAAGGGGTTCCCCTGCAGGCGCACAAAGGGGGCGTCCAGCAGCTCGGGGGGCACTTCCCGGAGCTGGTTGTCCCTCAGGTCCAGCCGGATGAGCAGCGGGAGGCGGGCCAGGCCAGTGGGCACCGAGGCCAGGAGGTTGCTGTGCAGTACAAGGAGCCGCAGGGAACGCAGCCCCGCTGTGGGCAGGGCCGGCTTAGGACCAGCAGAGGACCACTCATGGCCACCCTGCCCTGGAGCACCAGGTCAGGCCGGGATGCTCGTGCCACGGCCCTCCAAGAAGCCCTTCCAGGCACTACCCATGGCTGCTCAGAGAGCCCAAGCAGTCTGAGCAGGGAGCCTTGAAGGCCAGGGAAGTGGGGGCCAACCAGGGCCACCTCGGAGGAGCCCAGGCTCAAAGGCAGGCCAAGCCTGTGCGTGCAGGGTCCTGGCGGAGGATGAGAGGGGCTGGCATGAGTGGAGGTTCAGCAGTGGCCGAGGGGCACTCTCCAGCTGTGCCCGTGAGCCACGGAGGGCATGGCTGGTACTCACCAAGGGAGGCCGGGAGGTTCTGCAGCCGGTTGGAGGCCAGATTGAGCTCCTCCAGGCTGCTCAGGCCTCCAATCTCAAGGGGCAGAGCGGTCAGGAGATTCTCAGAGAGATCAAGGCGCTGCAGGGTGGACAGGGCTCCCAGCGCCGTGGGCAGCGTTTGTAGGCGGTTGTGGGTCACGGAAAGGAAGGTGAGGGCGGAGAGGGCCCCCAGAGCCTCAGGCAGCTCTGAGAGGTGGTTGTGAGAGAGCAGGAGGGCACTCAGGCCGCACATCTGTGGGATGCAGGCTGGCAGTGTCTCCAGGCTGTTGAAGCTCAGATCCAGGTGGACCAAGCGAGCCAGGCCTCCCAGGCTGGCAGGGAGCGTGGTCAGGGAGCCGTGGAGGCAGGCACCCAGCGCATCCCAGCGCTGCCCACCTGGGAAGGTGAAAGGCAACTGTGGCTCTCAGTCCCAAGTCCCAGTGTGCCCTGCCTGGCAGGGAAGGAGCTGCATGCAGGGAGGCACAGACCTCCAGTTCTACCCCACGCGGACAAGGACATGCAGATGGAGATACTGGACAGACAGCAGCAGATGGAGGGAGGCAGGGACCTCATCTCAGCTGACAGCCATTACCCATGACCTGCCCCAGGAAAAACATGCACACTGGAGTCTGCTGGGGGACCCCACCGGGCAGCTCCAAGGTCCAGGAGCTGGGGCTCAGCCAGGGTCACACTGGGGGAAGAGAGTTGGGTACAGCTGTTCGGAGAATAGTGATGGGGGCTGGGACCAGGATTTGCCTTTGAGGACGAAGAGGCAGACGCAGGAGCTAGAGATGGGGGTGGGACAGAGCTGGGACCAGGTAGGGCTCACCTTTGAGGACCAGGGAGCGGAGGTGCGGCAGGCTCTTTGGCACCTGAGCCAGGGTGGCCTCCAGCAGCCGAGGGTCTTCGTGGCCACTCAGCTGCAGGAACTCCACCTCCAGCAGCTGAGGGGTCTGCTGGGCACACAGGTGCAGCAGCCTGTGGCAGCCCCCAGGGTACAGGTCCAAGCTCAGCCGATTTCCAGCCAGAAGTGGTGGCCTGGGATGCGCATCCACGGTATCTGTAGCATCCTCTGCAACACCTTCTGCAGCAGCCACCTGGGGCTCCTCCTCTGCTGCAGCCATCACCCACCGGCAGGCCTCGGGGGCCAGACATGTCCCAGCTTGCCAGGCAGGCCTGCTCAGGCAGGGCCCAGAGAGGCTGCAGAATCAGGGTGAGGAGAGGGTAGGAGTGAGGATGGACCCTCCTCCCAGTCAGGGGAACAGGGACTCTGGCTATAGGGAGCCCCTGCGCCAGGCCAGCTGGCCCACAGATCCCAGAGCCTAGGCTGGACAATCATTGATTAAATGGGGCTAGAGAATGGGACCCCAGGGCTGGAAGGGCAGCAAGCAGTGTGAGCCGTGTGTGCAGCAGAGCCTGGGAACCCGCTTGGGGGGGGGGAAGTGGGGGAGTTAGCATCCTAAAGCTGGAAATTTGGACAAGGGACTATAGTGGGGCAGGTCATCCTGGCTGTTCCCCCTCTTGTCCCACCCCCAACCTTCACACGCAACAGCTTTGACAGGAGGTCCCGGATGCTCATCTACCACGTGGGGGCGGTGTCCCAGGCAGTGGGTAACCGTGCCCAAGTTTGTCGGAGAAGTGAATGTGAGAGGGGAGACCTGGGGTCTGAGCTACTGCACCCCACTTCCTGACCCCTGGAGGAGGGCTCTTTCCGCGTCGTGTAGTTCATACCTCGGTCGCCAGCGGAGAGCGGCGCACGGCGCAGTCGGGGCTCAGCCGGCCTTAGGGCCGGTCCCGGCCCGGAGAGTGCATACTCCCCGCACCCCGCCGTCCCCGCTGCGCGTACCTGCGCTCCCTCCCGGCCGGCGCAGGTTCGGGTGCCGGCTCAGTGGGCGCTAAGCGGCCGAGCTCCCGCCGGCGCGCTTCCGGGCGGGCTGGGGATCCGGGCCCGCCCCCTCCGGGCCCCGCCCCTGGGGTCCGCAGGCCCAGGCCCCAGGGTCCCGCCCCGCCCCGCCCCGCCCCGTCTGCCCGCGGCTGGTCTGCAGCCCTGGAGACGGGGACGCCGGCCCCATCTGCTTCGCCCGGCGCCCAGCTCTCCCCAGCTTCCCGAGTGCGCGTCAGGCTGTGCGTCCTGCTTCCCCCACCGGGAAGCCCACGTTGCGCGCCACGAAACCCGCCCTTTCAGAGGTCTTGGCTCCAGGCTCTCTGTGCTCTGGGGCTATGCGTTCCAATCTCAGGCTCAGGCGGCCGGGGATTGGGGACTGACCACATCTGCTGCCTAACACCCACCCCTTGCCAGAAGTCAGCTCTGAGAGTGTGTCTGTCCTTCCCCAGCCAGCCCCAATGGTGTGCTCTCTGGCCTTGCAGGGACTGGACCCCAGCTCCAATGATCCTACTACAAGGGTGATCACTCTGGGCCAGGTGCTCCAGCAGTGGGCTTCCCACATGCTGCCACCTTCAACCTGTGTCTGCATCTCACAAGGGAAAGGTGGCTCCCAGAGACCACCTATCTGGTGGGTGCCCAAGCCAAGACCCTCAAACCAGGAAGCCTCCCCACCTGTGCTCATTCACCCCACTTCTTTCACCCGAGTAGGTGCTCTGTAAAGGGACAGAGGAACATGGAGTTCCGCCCGTCCTGCCTCATACCACATTGTGTGTGCCCTCTTTCTTCCTCCTCCCCAGCTACCGCCATCCCTCCCACCAGGATAGGCAGTTCCCATCATCGGATATTCAGCCTTAAAAGGAAGGAAATTCTGACACAGGCTCCATCATGGATAAACCTTGAGGACATTATGCTGAGTGATATGAGAGACACAGAGGGACAAATGCCATATGATTTCACTCACAGGAGGTCCCTAGAGGAGTCAGATTCAGAGACAAAGTAAAATACTGAGCCCCGCCCTGGCCGCTTTGGCTCAGCAGTTGGAGCATGTGAGCAAAGACCAAAGGGTTGTGGGTTCAATTTCCCCATCAAGGACACTACCCTGGGTCCACCAGGAGGCAACTAAATAGATGTGTTTCTCTCACGTCAATGTTTCTCTCTCCCTCCCTCCTTCCCTTCTTCGCTATCTAAAAATCAACGGGAAAATATCCTCTGGTGAGGATTAACAAAATAAATAAATAAATAAACATAAAAAATAAAAAAAGAACCCCATGAACTGTGGGAGGGGGAAATCGGGAGTTATTGTTTAACATAGTTCAATTTGGGAAGATAAAAAAAGTTTTGGAGCCTGGCCGGTTTGGCTCAGCAGTTGGAGCGTCGGCCTGCGGACCAGAGTCCCAGGTTCGGTTCCCGCTAGGGGCACGTACCAAAAAAACAAAACAAAAAGGTTCTGGAGATGATGGTGGTGATGGTTTTACAACAATGTAAACATACTAAATACCACTGAATTGGATAATTAAAGTGGTGAATTTTATGTATTGTTTTCCACTTAAAAAAAAAAAATCCGTCATCACACCTTGCCACTTCCCTATTGATTATAATGAAGTGCCATCCTTGCCAGGAGGGTTTCCCCTCTCTATCCCAGTTGTGTGACCTCGAGCAAGAAAACCTTACTGTGCCTGCCCCCATCTGTAGACCGGGAATGGCAGCGCGACTGTGTGGTCTGCCGTGTGGTTCGCGCACCAGCTCTGGGCGCACTGCAGCCGGCTGCTCAGCCCCTGGACTCATCTCGGCGGGGCCTTTGCATGTGCTCCCTCTGCCTGGTGCTCGCCCCGGGTTTTAGCAAGACGGGCTGGGCTCCTTTCCCTCTCTCAGCTATGCGTCCCTGCCCCTCCCTTCAGGGACTATCTCGGCCAGGGACAGCCTCGTTTTATTTGCTTTGCGGGTCGCCTCACTAAAACCTAAGTTGCGCGGAAGCAGGGCCGGGTCTATTCGCTCTCAGGACGCAGGTCTGCAGCAGCGTCCGGCCCGGAGCAGTGCATGAGTGACATGAGCTGACGTCCGCGTGCACGCTGAGGTCTGTTTCAGGCCGACAGTCAAGGGTCTGCACAGGAGCAGCCACTGGACCCAGACGGCTCGGCTCCGAGGCGTCGGTGCAGCTGGGCAAGGACGCCAACGACTACACCAGACACAACGTCTCTGCCCCGGAGGCCAGGACCTGGGGCCCACGTGTCGCCCCCGCAGGGAGCAGCGCACCCGCGCTTCCGGCAGCTGTTCTCCCGCGCTTCCGGCCGCTGTGCACCATGGGACTTGTAGTTTGCCAGCTGAGCGTTGGCCGCTCTCGCGAAGGGCTGTGTTCCGGGCGTGGCGGCCGCGAGGCATGTTGGGAGTTTGTAGGCCCCGCCCCGCCCCGCCTGGCATGCAGGGAACCCTGGAGGGAGAAACAGTCCGCTAGGGCTCGCGCACCGCTTCGTTCCTCTGCCCCAGGGGTTTCGGAGGACATTCGCCCCACAGTGCATAGGAAGGCGGCCGCAGAACTGCCCTTCGCCTTTGCTGGGGCGGCTGCTGGACGGCACGACGGCGTCCCTAGCGTCATCATTGACCGCCCTCTTCGTGACGTCACTCGCAGGCGCCCTCGCGGGGCCCGGCGCGTAGGTCCCGGAGGCTTCTGGGTAGCGGATTACCCCCGCCCCCCGCGCCTGCGCCTTCCTTTCCCTGCCTGACGCCGCCGAGGTCGCACGCGCGAGGTGTCTCCGCCGCCGCCGAGTGAGTGGAGCGACCCGGCTGGGCCGCTGGCCGGGCGGGGGCCTTAGGGGCCGGCAGGGCGCGGGGCGGGGCGCTGGGCGGCCTCGGGGGTTCCCCCGGGTCGGTCCACGCGCGGCCGCTCTCGGGCTGGGTGGGGGCGGGCGGCCTCCGGAGAACGCCACGGTTCTCCTCCTCGCTCAGGATGCGCTACGTTGCCTCCTACCTGCTGGCCGCCCTCGGGGGCAACGCCTCCCCCAGCGCCAAGGACATCAAGAAGATCCTGGACAGCGTGGGCATCGAGGCGGACGACGACCGGCTCAACAAGGTAGCCGCCCGCCGGCCCAGGCCGGTCCGGAACCGCGCACCCGGGTCTGCGCCCGACCATTCTCTTCCGGAAAGTGTGGTTGGGCGGGGGGCTCTCCTTTTGGGGGTCCTCATACAGCCCCAAGGAAGCAAAAGCCGCAGTGAGGCCAAGCCCCGACCAGCGTGGTTTAGAAGGACAATGCGAGTCTCGTGTCATCAGAAACCCCGCAGTGACCGCCTTTTCCTAAGAAACGTAGGGGGAAAGTGCCGTAAAGCCAAGTTGTAAAGAAACTGTTGTAAAGTGTTCGCCCAAGTTGCTCAAAACGTTGTTTTGACACGTGTTGGGTATAAACTCGGGTAAATTGCATCCGCTTCAGAAGTGTGTAAGTTAGCATTTGTAGCGGGTCTCGCTTCAGAGAACCCACGTGGAGGTGATAAGCGGGGCGCTGCGCCTCGGGGCCTGGGCGGTCCCTCCTGTCCCGTTCCCAGGCCGGCCCTGCGGGGGCCTCAGAAGGTGAGGTTCAGGCAGGGTCTCGCTAACTGCTGGCTGTGGTTTTCTACTCCAGGTCATCAGTGAGCTCAATGGAAAAAACATCGAAGATGTCATCGCTCAGGGTGAGAACGCGCAGGGGGCCTTCGTTTCCATGGTCCATCCTAATTCCTGTGGGTCAGTCTGTGGCCTGCCAGGTTTCGCTTGTGGACCAGAGCACCCCAGAAGTCTCCCCGCGCATGAGCACAGCTTCAGTGGGCTGGTGCCAGGGGCACTTCTGGACACTCTGAGGGATGGCGCTAGGGGGCGCCCGTGCTCTCCCTGGGCCTGGCTGCCCTGCCCACAGCGTGTAGGGAACTGGGCCTTTGTAAACAAGTTTTCCGTGTGCTCTCTGTAAGGGGGGTTGGTGTGAGGGATGACCACAGGCCCCTACTCCCTTTTGCTGGGCGGGTTGTTTTTTGGTGACATCAGGTTGGAGGTGATGGGAATTGTTTGGAAGTTGAACTGTTGGGGCAGCCATTCCTGTCCCTGGACACATGACAGGCCAGGGACAGAGCCAGCTCAGCAAAAAGCCTCATCTGAGCTCACTGCTGGGAATGAGTATCTGGAATCTGGGGCAGCAGGTTAGGTCCCTGCCTGGTTATAAACATGTTTGTTCAACTTGACCCCAGGGGGGGGGATGCCAAGGTCCAACTTCTTGTGCACCGATTCCTAGAAGCCAAGTTCCCAGATAAAGAGTTTCTGGTGAGGAGTGTGGCAGAGCCTCTTTTCTGGGACAGCAGGGGAGCCTGTCACCCTGGCACTCAGGGACAGGCCCCAGCACAGTCATTGGGCAGCAGGCTGAGCAGCTGTTCTGGTCTCACCTCCTTCTCTGGTTCCTAGGTATTGGCAAGCTGGCCAGCGTTCCAGCTGGCGGGGCTGTGGCTGTCTCAGCCGCCCCGGGGTCTGCAGCTCCTGCCGCTGGTTCTGCCCCAGCTGCAGGTGAGTGGAGGCTCAGGCAGCTGTGGCTGGGGGTGCCTGGGGGCATCTGGGAGCCTGGCCTGCATGGCTTCCTCACTCATCCTGGTCTTTCCCCCACAGCAGAGGAGAAGAAAGACGAGAAGAAGGAGGAGTCCGAGGAGTCGGATGACGACATGGGATTTGGCTTGTTTGATTAGAGTCTCATTGCCTACAAATAAAACCCTTTTTATGTAACTCTCGAGGGGCCCGTGAGCTTTTGTCAGAGCTTGGCCTTTGCACTTCCGCCTCAATGCAAAGCAGCTGTGGGGCTCCCGGGCGGAGGAGCTCCTGGTGTTGGGGGTTTGACGAGGAAGGGGTCTGGTGCAAAGGAGCACCTGGGGGGCACTTCCTGTGGGTCTTTGGTGTTGCCAAGCCTTGAGCAGGCTCAGGAAGGGACACAAGCCCTTTTGAGTATGGTCCTGGCTCTGGAGCCGCCACCCTTTCGCACAGTTCCTCATGTTGTGGTGACTCCCAACCATAAGATTATTTTCGTTGCTACTTCGTCACTGTAATTTTGCTACTGTTATGAATCCCTATGTTTTCTGATGGTCTTAGGCGACCCCTGTGAAAGGGTCATTTGACCCCCAAAGGGGTCGTGGACCACAGGTTGAGAGCTGCTGCTCTGGAGGATTTCTCAGGGAGACACCTTCAGGGGACATTTAGGGAAGGTTCAAGAACAACAGTGGGACAACCCTGGCCAAGTAGGTCAGCTGGTTAGAGCGTTGTCCCGAATCACCAGGGCAGTGGGCTTGATCCCACCATCGCACACACAAAAACCAACCAATGAATGCGCAAGTAAGTGGAGCAACAAATCCACGTTTCTCTTTCCTCCCGCCCTTCTTCCTCTCTAAAATCAACAAATACGTTTTTATATTAAATCTTCACCTGAGGATATTTTTCCGTTGATTTTTAGATAAAGTGGAAGGGAGAGGAAGAGAGAAACATTGGTTGCCTCCCACAGGACCCCAACTGGGGCCGGGGATCAAACCCAGATATGTGCCCTTGATGAACTAGAACCAACAACCCTTCAGTCCAAGTGCTGACGCCCTAACCGCTGAGCCAAACCAGCCAGGGCAATAAATATATATGTATATTTTTTGGTGGTATATGCCCCTAGCGGGAACCAAACCCAGGACTCTGGTCTGCAGGCTGACACTCATCTACTGAGCCTAACTGGCCAGGGCAATACATACATTTTTAAGCAACAGTGGTTAGTCTCCATTGCTCTGAGGTGGGCAGAGACCAGCCGTTTCCCTAAGACTGGCAGCATTCTTATTTTTTTAGCCTCATCCTCACCCGAGGACATTTTTGCATTTATGTTCAGATAGAGCAGGGAGGGAGGGAGAAACATCGATGTGAGGGACACATCGAGTGGCTGCTACCCACGACCTCAACCAGAGCTGAGGACAAACTGCAACCGAGGTACATGCCCTTAGCTGGAACCGAACCTGGGATTCTTCGGTCTGCGGGCTGACGCTCTAACCGCTGAGCCTAACTGGCCAGGGCTAGCATTCTTATTACACAGAAGAGGCCTGGGTGTGTGGTCCCTGGGTTCCCCAGTAGGGCCGGGGGTCCAGGTCCAGTGTTTGTTCAAGCAGTGCCCCTGGTCCACCTTAACCCCTGAGCAACTTGAGCAGTCAGATCCTGAGCCTCAGCTTCCCGTCTGATGAACCATCCCCTGCCTTGCTGGGCAGATGTGGAAGAAGTGCTTGTGGGTAGATGCGCTCACTTGGGCCATGTGCTCCCCAAAGTTTTGGGGTGGGCCTGTCTGTGGCCCCTCCCATTGCCCACCCAGGTCCTGTCCCTGGGCCTTCAGCCTCTGCCCTCAGTAGACACTCCCCTTCCCCACTCCAGTGGCCCTGGGTCAGCAACTGGCTGGGTTGTGTGCATCTCCTGGGTGAAGGACCGTCCCCAGTGGCCTGGAGTTCTATGGGGAAAGTAATACAGCCAGCCCTCGTTTCTCACAATTCATCAGTTCCAGACTCTACCGCGATAACCGAATCTCCACAGAGCAGATTCTTTCCATACAGTCGTCCCTCGCCACTCCGCGCTTCGACTTTCGCAGCCTCACTCTATCGTGGGTTTTTCGAATATAGTCTAGTATTTCGAAGCGTGAAATGGCAAGAGATGACTGTAAGTAGAACATAAGCCCTGGCTGGTTTGGCTTAATAGTCAGAGCATCAGCCCGCAGATCAGAGTCCTGGGTTTGATTCTAGCCAAGGGCACACACCTTGGTTGCAGTTTGTCCCCGGCCCCTGTTGGGTTTGGGGTCGTGCTGGGGGCAACCAAATCCATGTTTCTCTCTCTTCTTCCCTCCCTCGTGTTTTATCTGAAGATAAAAGAAAAATATCCTGGGGTAAGGATTTTTTAAAAAGTGGAACATAAGGCAGGTGGGGCCTCCCTCAGGTAGGGAGCCAGGACCTGAAGAGACCCCAGGGCAGGAATGAGCAAGGGGGTAAGGGAAGGAAGGCCAGAGGAGCAGGGATTAGGGTGGGACCTGGGCCTTGGTGGAGGGTGTAGAAGCCAAGCTGCTGGGTGGGTGGGACATGGGGCCATGAGAAGTGAGGACCACTTGCAGAGGTCCTAGCTGCAGGTGCCGAGGGGCAAGTTGCATGTGGGATGGGGACCTCTTGCCCCAGGCTGGGGTAGAAGGCCCCACAGAGAAGTGGACCCAGGGTCCAGGACAGAGGTCACAATGCTACCTTCAAACCCTGAAGAGTGGGGCCCTATGTAGGCCAGAGGACACCATGGGAGTAGTGGGTTGACAGCCGCCTGGCACAGTATCCGCACACCCGACACCAGGGGTTCTTCCACCCCAGCCAGGATTCCAGGAAGGGCCGCCCTGTCCCTGGCTGCAGAGCTGCTGTCCCAGAGGCCTGGAGGGAGGGACATGTACCCAAAACAGCTCCACTCTGGTGTGGAAATGGGGCAGAGGTCCCACTGCACTGGGCAGTGCCACCTCCAAGGTCCCACAGAAGCAGGCAGGACTAGAACCCCAGTCTTTCTTTGGAGCTGGTTGGGGGAGGACCTTTTTAAAAAAAAAAATTTTTTTTCTTTATTGATTTTTAGAGCGAGAGGAAGGGAGGAGAGAGAGAGAGAGAGAGAGAGAGAGAGAGAGAAACATCAATGAGCGAGAACACTGACTGGCTGCTTCCTACATGCCCCCCACAGGGGATTGGGCCCACAACCTGGCATATGCCCTGGTGGGGAATTGAACCGGTGACCCCGGGAGGACCTTCTTTAGCCCCTGGCTCAGCCTGCCCAGCCCAGCTTCCCTCTTTGTCACCCTGGTGAACCTCTGGACTTTCCAGGCTGGACTTATCTCCACTGTGCTACACTCGGCCCCAATGACTCAGTCACCAGGTGCCCTGATCATCCTGATGGGCCATACCCTCTGCACTGTGCCTGCATCTCTGCCCAGGCCCGGGTCCCACCCTAATTCATTCAGTGAGACCCCCTGCTTCTTTCCCAGTGCCCAGGCTCCCCTCCTCTCAAACCCACCCAGCCACCCAGGGCCTTTGCACATGCTGTTGGGCCGTCCTTTCTGAGTTAACTGTACCCACACGCTCGGTCACCTTGTTTCCTCCTTGTTTTGAGTTTATGTAAACATCCCCCCCCCTTCCTTCCCCAGTAGGACTAGGGCTGGGTTGACTGCTCTGCCCTGTGCTGGTCCCCCTTCCTGTCAGGCACACTGTTGATGCCAAGTATGGGTGCCTGGGAGCAGTGGCTGAGGACTGGACAGCATGACCCCAGACGGCTGGCCATGTCCTGGGGAGGCCCTGCTCCTACTTCTGGGCCTGGTGCTGGGCTGCCTGGTTTCTGAGCCAAGCTCCTGCCTGGGAAAGGACTCCATGAGCAAACAGATGCCCACTACTTCCCCACCAGCCCAGGGCCGAGGTGCAGGTCCAGTTCCAGCATCCCAACCAGGGTAAAAATGCGGAACAGGGGTGGGGCATGACATCACCCAGTGCTCCACCTGCTGGGACGATGGGTGGGGGCGGGGCAGGGTCTGAGTCATACCCCAGTAGACCTCGCAGCTTGAGGAGCTGGGGTGGGACGCAGGTAGAACCCATGTTAGTGCCCAGGTGCAGGGGCCTCGCTGGGACAGGGCTGGGGCATGGCCGTCAGGTGTGGTCCACCGTGCTCGTGTGAGCTCTTTTAAGTTGTTTGTGATTCACATCCAGCCCTGGAGATTTCTGGGTCAGTCTGTGGATGAGTGGGGGGTCCCTGGGGGTCCCTGGCTTGGGCAGTAGGTGTTGTAGACGGGCCTCAAGGGAGGAGGAGTGGGCTGCCCAGACACCAACGACCTCTCCTCGCCAATGTCCCGATTTGTACGAGGCTCCCAGGCCCACCGACTCCGGGCGGCCTGGGCCTGAGCTCACTCCCCCCCCCACACCCAAGCCACTGTGCACCCCCTCGCGCCGCCCAGGACGGGGGACAGGGAAGGCGGCGGTGCGCCGGGGGCCTGAGCGCCGTTGCTGCTGGGCCGAGGTGTCCGCAGCTCCGGGCCCAGGGCCCCGACAGCCGCGGAGGAAGGCGGCCGAGGGAGGCCTCGGAGCGGGGGGCGGGGCTTCAGGGAGGGGACGGGACTCCGGGGCCCCGAGGGCGCGGCCGTTCCCCGCGCGCCCAGATTGGGCCGCATGCGCCGGCCCACCCCGCTCCGGCTCCACCCACCGACCCCTAAAAACACCGTCTTGCCGCCGCCTGGCACAGCGTCGCCGCCGTCACTGGCGGTGACCCCGAGCGACGACGACCGCGGCCGAGCGGCCGGCAGAGCGAGCGGCGACCCCACGGCGCACGACCAGGCGGCCTCCGGGCGCCCGGACCGGCGGGCCGCCGCGATGTTCCCCAAGGAGGCCACGTTCCCCCGGGAGACGACGTGGAACATCTCGTTCGCGGGCTGCGGCTTCCTGGGCGTCTACCACGTCGGCGTGGCCTCCTGCCTGCGCGAGCACGCGCCCTTCCTGGTGGCCAACGCCACGCACATCTACGGCGCCTCGGCCGGGGCGCTCACGGCCACGGCGCTGGTCACCGGGGCCTGCCTGGGTGAGCGGCCGCCGCGGGCGCCGGGGCGGGGCCTGGCTGCCGGTGCTCGCGGGGACCCGGGCCGGCGCTGCCGGGCCCGGGCCGCGATCCGGACGCCGCGGGGCAGACGTTGGGGGCGGGCAGGTGCCACAGAATCGATTCCATTGGAAAGAGAAACTCACTCTTGGGCGGGGCCGTGAGAGTAGGGGGAGGGGCCTGAGCTGGCCTCCTGCCCCGGGCTTGGTGGCGGGCAAGGTGCTAGCGGTCACTGTGTCCTGGGGCTGCCGTGCCCGGGGCCTGCGAGGGGGTTGTCTCCGAAGAACACGCCTGGGCACTGCGGCTCGACGCTTCCCGAGGGCCCCGGGGCCTGGGCACAGCCAGCTCTCTCCCACCCTCTTCCTCCTGGCACCCCGCGCGCTGTGGGCCTGGGCCCTCGGCTGTGGCCCACTGTGTTGGCCCCTTCCAGGGGGGGCTGGGGTGTCTGAGGTCTGAGTGTACCGGGAAGACTCCTCCACTCGCATACTTCCTGCTGGTGCCTGCAAGTGGTGTTTACAGCTGGGTAGGTATTTCAGGAGTCCTGGGAATGCTGCCCAGCGCCCAGCCTGCTTGGGCAGCCAAGGTGACAGAGGGGTCACCCATGCCCCGCCCACCAGGAGCCTGTGCCGGGTTCTCCCCTGCCTCCTTCCTGTGACCTTTGCCCTGAGGAGGTGGGGAAGGAGCATGCCTCTGCATTCTTAGGACGGGGGACACACCACTGTGGCCCTGACCCCTCCCTCTCATGGAAGTCCAGACCAGTGCCCTCAGTCCCCAGGCTGGCCTCAGGACATACCTCGATCCCTGGTACCCAATTTCCAACATGGCTCCACAGCACCTCCCCGCTCCGCTCCCCAGGAGCCTTTCTCACTTGTGGTCTCAGGCAGCTGGAGCCCCCAGTGTGGCAGGTGCCAACCCCGCACTGCTCACCCCTGACCTGGGGTGGTCCTGGAGGAGGACATGGTCCTGGGCTCCTCAAGAAGGCCCTCCTGGCCCTGGCCGGTTTGGCTCAGCGGTTAGATCGTCCGCCTGCGGTCCGGAGAGACCCGGGTTCGGTTCCTGCTAGGGGCATGTACCTCGGTTGCAGTTTGTCCCCGGCCCTGGTTGGTCGTGCGGGTGGCAGCCACTCGATGTGTCCCTTTCGCGTCGATGTTTCCCTCTCTCTCTCTTCCTCTCTCTCCCTCCCACTCTGTCTGTACAAAAAATGGAAAAATGTCCTTGAATGAGGATAAAAAAAAAAAGAAGGCCCTCCTGTCCCCTGACCACTCCTGGGTCTGTTCCCACTCTGGTTTTGCCCTGGGCTGGCACCCATGGCCTCCAAAAGGAGTGTTGGGGGCTGCTTGCTTTTGGCTGGAGTGGGACAGTCGTGTTTTCCAGGAGTGTTGGGACCCCCCTATTTCCCACCTCGTGCTGGCGCCGAGCCTGTGGGAGCCCTGGGCTGCAGCTGGGTTTTGAGGGTGTGGATCTGGCCAAGTGGGTAAAGGCTGAGGCTGGTCAGGGTTGAGCCCCTGCCTATCTGCTTCCCAGGATGAGTGCCACATGAAGCCAGGCCTGGTGACTCATGGATCAGGGCAGACTGTTGGGAAACACGGGGCAGAGGGCAGGCCTGGCCCCAGCTGGCCAGCCCCACTGTCTGGCCCCCCAGGGGTGGTGGCCTGTGTGTCTCTCTCTTCAGGGACAGACAGGTGGCAAAATTCCCAATTCTGGGCCAGGCTGCCTTGTGCTTTTTTTTTTTGGTACATGCCCCTAGCGGGAACTGAACCCGGGACTCTCTGGTCCGCAGGTCCATGCTCAACCACTGAGCCAAACTGGCCAGGGGCCAGGCTGCCTTGTGGACACTGGGATTTCTTCAAGGTGGATGGGATGCCACAAGTTGGTGTGCCTTGGGGCACTGGGCATGGGTGTGCCAAGCCCAGGAGTGCTGGCCCCTGACCCTTGCCCCTCTTGCCCTAGGTGAGGCCGGTGCCAACATCATCGAGGTGTCCAAGGAGGCCCGGAAGCGGTTCCTGGGCCCGCTGCACCCCTCTTTCAACCTGGTGAAGACCATCCGTGGCTGCCTGATGAAGACCCTGCCGGCCGACTGCCACGAGCGTGCCAGTGGGCGTCTGGGCATCTCCCTGACCCGTGTCTCGGACGGCGAGAATGTCATCATATACCACTTCAACTCCAAAGATGAGCTCATCCAGGTGGGCCCTGCAGGGTTGCACAGGGGCACAGTTGAACCCTGGAGCCCCTGCTTACCACCCTTCTCTGGCCTTGCCCCACAGGCCAATGTCTGCAGCACCTTCATCCCCGTGTACTGTGGCCTCATCCCTCCGACCCTCCAGGGTGTAGTAAGTACCCTGGTGACACCTCCGGGGTGACAAGAGATCACTACTGTGAGCTGTGGGACAAGGGTGGATGAGGAAGCCATCTGGGTGCCCCAGCGCCTCACTCCTGCCAGTGCCTGTTGCTTCACTTCCCCCAAAGTTACTCAAGAGCCAGGCCAGCCAGTGCCATGGCCATGCACACTTCTTGTAGCCACCCACCCCCTAGTGTCTGGCTATTTCTTAGTACCCGGGGGGGGGGGGGGGGCCTATGGCCAGTGCCCAGTGGGTAAAAGGCCCAAACGAAACAGCCACTGGGTGGGGCCAGAGGGGCAGCCAGCTCACCCTGCAGGCCCTTCACCATGTGACCATGTGTCCCTGCCTCAGCGCTATGTGGATGGTGGCATCTCAGACAACCTGCCACTCTATGAGCTCAAGAATACCATCACGGTGTCCCCCTTCTCGGGCGAGAGTGACATCTGCCCCCAGGACAGCTCCACAAACATCCATGAGCTCCGGGTGACCAACACCAGCATCCAGTTCAACCTGCGCAACCTTTACCGCCTCTCCAAGGCCCTGTTCCCGCCCGAGCCCTTGGTGAGCCTGCCCTGCTGCGGCCGGGCCACACCGCCCCTCATTGCCTGGCACTGGGGGAGAACGCCCACATGACCTCTCCCGAGGGGCAGGGTCGGGTGGGGACCCAGAGGAGCTCATCGCAAGGCTGGGGAAGAAGTCTGTGGTCTGCACGATCTGTCCACTGGGGGGCAGCCTCTCCAGCCTCTGTCCAGCCCGGATCTTGTCCTGGGTCCCGGATCCCTTAGCTGAGTGGTGAGGAGAGGTGGGGTCTGCAGAGACAGCAGGGACGCAGAGCAGAACTGGGCGTGTCTGACTCCCCTGCTCCAATGTACCCCCCTCAGGTGCTGCGGGAGATGTGCAAGCAGGGCTACCGGGACGGCCTGCGCTTCCTGCGGAGGAATGGTGTGTGGGGCCCGGCCGGCGTGTGGGGGAGGGGGCTCTGCACCACCGTCCCCTCCCGCTGTACTGACCAATGTTCGGTCCTCCCCACCCAGGTCTCCTGAACAAGCCCAACCCCCTGCTCACATTACCCCCTGCCAAGCCCTCTGTCCACCACGGTGAGGACGAGGAGAAAGCTGTGATGGCACGAGTGGAGAGCCACTTGCATCCTCCCGCGGGAGATCACATCCTGGAGCATCTGCCTGCACGGCTCAATGAGGGTGCGTGGGGGGTGCAGTGCTCAATGAGGGTGCGTGGGGGGTGCAGTGCTCAGTGAGGGTGCGTGGGGGGTGCACGGCTCAGTGAGGGTGCGTGGGGGGTGCACGGCTCAGTGAGTGCGTGGGGGGTGCACGGCTCAGTGAGGGTGCGTGGGGGGTGCACGGCTCAGTGAGGGTGCGTGGGGGGTGCAGTGCTCAATGAGGGTGCGTGGGGGGTGCACAGCTCAGTGAGGGTGCGTGGGGGGTGCACAGCTCAGTGAGGGTGCGTGGGGGGTGCACGGCTCAGTGAGGGTGCGTGGGGGGTGCAGTGCTCAGTGAGGGTGCATGGCTCAGTAAGGGTGCGTGGGGGGTGCAGTGCTCAGTGAGGGTGCGTGGGGGGTGCAGTGCTCAGTGAGGGTGCGTGGGGGGTGCAGTGCTCAGTGAGGGTGCGTGGGGGGTGCAGTGCTCAGTGAGGGTGCGTGGGGGGTGCAGTGCTCAGTGGGGGTGCGTGGGGGGTGCAGTGCTCAGTGAGGGTGTTGGAGGAGTGCCTGGTTCAATGAGGGCAGAAAAGCATGGGGGCGTGGAGCAGAGCAGGGCTGGCCCCACCTCCTCCACCAGCAGTCAACCTCCCTCCTGCACCCGGCCCACAGCCCTGCTGGAGGCTTGTGTGGAGCCCAAGGACTTGCTGACCACACTCTCCAACATGCTTCCTGTGCGCCTGGCGACAGCGATGATGGTGCCCTACACTCTGCCCCTGGAGAGCGCGGTGTCCTTCACCATCCGGTACAGGATGGGGGCAGGGGCAGGAGAGGCGCTCAGACCAAACTTCACCACCATCCCTGAGTGGTGGTCACCCCAGGGAAGAGGCAGGTGGTTGGGGGAGGGCGTGGCGATGTCAGGGTACAGACAGGGCCAAGGGTGAGGGTGTGGGCATGCCGGTGGGCCATGGCCCCTGAGGCCCTGCCTTTCCCCCTGCCTCAGCTTGCTGGAGTGGCTGCCCGACGTCCCGGAGGACATCCGGTGGATGAAAGAGCAGACAGGCAGTATCTGCCAGTACCTGGTGATGCGTGCCAAGAGGAAGCTGGGCAGCCACCTGCCCTCCAGGTGAGCCCCCTGACGGCTGTGTTCATCTGGGGGGCCACAACCTCACTTTAATGCCCCCGCACTAAGGCCCCCCTCCCGCCTGCAGGCTGTCGGAGCAGATGGAGCTGCGCCGTGCCCAGTCACTGCCGTCTGTGCCACTGTCCTATGCTGCCTACTGCGAGGCACTGCCCGGCTGGATGCGAAACAACCTCTCCCTGGCGGACGCGCTGGCCAAGTGGGAGGAGTGCCAGCGCCAGCTGCTGCTCGGCCTCTTCTGCACCAACGTGGCCTTCCCGCCCGATGCCCTGCGCATGCGCGCTCCTGCCAGTCCCAGCCCTGCGCCTCCGCAGCACCCGCCCCGCTCGCCCCCTTGCTGAGCCCCCTTGCTCCAGCCTTCCCAGCCCCCTGGGGTCCCAGTGCTGAGGGCCAGGCCTCCCAGCTTCCCTGCCCCATGAGGCGGGGCCCTGGGGCCAACTGAGATCCCCCCCCCATTCTTAGTGGAGCGAGGAGATGGGGGCTCTCACAGCTGGGAGAACGGGCTTTGCTGTCCACTCCTCCACAAACCAGTAGGCCAGGTGTGGAGAACCCCTCCCCTAGCCGCAGAGGGCCCCTCACTTGTGCCCTAATCTCCCCCTCCCAGGCCCGCCCTCGGGCAGGGCAGAGCAGGGGACCCAGGCGGTGGTCAGTGCAGTATTACTCCTGAGAACTTTGCACCTGCTCCTCCCTGCGCATTTTTCACGTTTTGCTGAAGAATGTGTGTGAAGAATTATTTATTTTCGCTGAAGCAGATGTAATAAATACCACAGCTCAGCCCCTGCGTCCTCCTTGTACGTGACCCCCTCCAGCTGACCAACGTCAGTACAGCTTCGGGTCAGGGCTTCCAGGGGTCCCTTCTCCTGGAGCCTGGCAGTCAGGCCGGGGGCTCGCCCCTAAAGGCTCCCGCAGGCCTCCTGGGCTGCGGCCCACTCATCTGGCTGGGACATACATTTGCCCCCCACTTTGCCCTGAGGCCTGCTGGCTGACTCTTGGGTAGTTTTCCAAGGGCCAGTGGAAATACTTGAGACCAAGATCCTTGCTGAATAAAAAAGAAATGTTTACAAAAGGTGGTGTCTGCACCTCCACCCTGTGGCGGTGACACGGTGACACGGGGGCGGGGGCTGCTTTCTGGGCTGTGGAGTGTGAGGTTCCCCAGGGAGCGCGGGCCGGCTCCACGGGGGCGTTTGGCCCTTGTCTTTGTGAGGTGCTGGGCCTCCCTTTGTCATTGTGAGCCTCACTGGCCAGGTGCACACATGTTCTTGGTCCCCTGTCCCCCTCCTCATCTACAGGGTGCCCAGTCTGCCAAAACAAGGAGGGGTCTAGAATATTAGGGTGAGGTCTGGGCTGAAGGGGGCTTGTTTCTGGAGACACATGGTTTCCTGAAAGTGTCCTCTGCCCTGGGCAGTTGGAGGGAATTCAACCAGCCCTCACTGGTGACCAAAAGGGCCCAGGGGGTGAGGGGTGCTGGAACAGAGCCTGTTATTGGGTTAACTTCCCAGAGCCCTTAGCCCTGCCCCATTCAGCCCCACCTGCCTCCACTCCCCGCCCCACCCCCACCCCCATGCTGTGGTGACGGTGGCAGCCCCCAGCCAACAATAACGGTTGGTAGTGGGGACTGCGGGACTGGGCGAGCCGGCTGGGCAGGTCCCTGGTGCTCCTGTGTGCCAGGGGCCGTCCCCCTCGGTCTCAAGGTCCTGTCCTATCGGCCCAACCTGTTCTAGTTCAGCAGGATCCCAGGCCCCTGGAGGAGCAGAGGCCTCCGGCCCCCAGCACTGCCAGGGCCCCACCGTGAGGCCAGGCCCTCCAGGTGGGTGCAGGGGCCCGGCTGGGGCTGGGAGACCCTGGGGAAGAGGATGGGGTTTTCTCCCCAGCAGGAAGGTCACACGCAGACTCCACCCAGCTGCCTCCCTCAGCCATGCCCTGAGGTGGACAGTCCTGGCTGAGCCCCAACAGGAGCGCTGGGGTGGGGGGGCTGCTGAGGTGAGGACCTCCTGTCCCCACTCCATCACTCATCCTCACATCTGCGCAGGCATTTGTGCTGTTGACTTAGATGTCACTTTCTAGTAGGTTACACGGGTATTGTTTAAAAATGGGGCTGTAGAGGCAAGAAAGGAAAGCCACCCCACTTCTAGAGCTAACCACGGAAAATATTTCGGTGTGTTTCCTGCCTGGCGTCTTCCTATACACACTTTTTGGCGCCTTAAATCGGGATCCTCGGGACAGTGCCCCCTTCCTCACTTTGGTCCTGGTCGGGAAGGGTCCCCAGGTGCCTGGGTCATTGTCACCCCACCTCGCAAGGGGTGTCCGCGGGGACAGAGAGGCGGCTGCCAGGTTGAGGACCTGCAGGGAGTGAGACAAGAGCCGGGCTGCCGGGGCCACCCCGAGAGGCGGGGACAGGGCGACAGCAGCGGCGGCGCCCCGCCCGGGGCCGGCCCACGCCGGGGTCTCGGTGCCTGCCGAGCAGCAGGAGCCGATCCGTCCCGCGTCCCCGCCGCGTCGCCCTTTCCGGGAGGAGGGGCAGGTGCGGCGACGGCGCAGCTCCCAGGTAGGCGCCTTGCAGGCCCCGCCGCTCTCCTGGTCCCGTAGGGGGTGCCGACCCCGGCGCGTCGCGGTCAGGGACTCCGGGCCCCCACGGGGCGGGGCGCGGGCGGCCCTTCCTCCCTGCTCCCCGCGTCCGGCCTCAACGCAGCTTCCGCTGGGATGGACCTCTGGCCTCGGGGAGTCCGCAGTCCGCCGGTGGGGTGGCGCACCGCCGGGTGAGGCGACGCGAAGGGTGGGAGATGTCTCTGGCCCCTGCACCCTGCTGTCGCCCTTCCTCAGACCTGTCCTCTTTGGAGACCATGTCTCAGCCCCCAGGAATAGGGGTGGGTTGAGAACCACTGTTCTGAACTAAGAGGGAAGGACGTCATCCCAGGTGTGAGGGGTCGCCATGCTGGGGTTGGCCCTGGGAGATCCGGGAACAGGGCGTTATGGGAAGACAGGTGGCCCTGAATAGGAAGCGAGGTGCCCCAGCACCGGGGAGGGAGGCCCGTGGAGGCTCCTGGCCATGGAGGGGGCTAGTCCGGAGGAGGGAAAAGCCTAGTGCTGGGGGAGGGTCTGTTAAGCCTAGAATCTAGGGTATTCCTGACAAGGGCATGGAAGGCACCCCGTTTCAGGCCAGGACCCTGCACCTGCACCCCAGAGGGCCTGGAGCCCGGTGGGTGGGAGGGGCTGTGGCAGGGAGGGAGGAGCTTATCCAGCCTGCCAGCTGGCTGGAAGGGAGGGCCGCTGAGGCCCAGACTCGGGGGTTGAGGATTAGGCAGGATTGGCTGAGTGCTCCCACTGGCTCAGCCCGTCAACCCCGTCTCCATGTCCTCAACTCTGGGACCTGTTCCGCTCCTCCCCCCAGTGACCACTCCCTCACCCGAGCTCTCTGCCCTCAGCTGCCAGAAGCCCCCACTCCTCTGTCCACCACGAGGTCTTCCAGAGATTCCTCCCCTCCCAATGAGACTGTCCCCTTTCCAGCCCAGTCCTCTCTGGAGGGCTCCCTTCGGGGCCCATCGCCTCCAGCTCCCTTGCAGTCCACAGGCCCCGAGTGTGTATCAGCCCACCCAGGACACCTTGCTCTTGCAGCACCACGCTCAGACTGCCTCCCGGGTGCCTCTCCTCTCCGGACCTGTGCAGTGCCTTCTCCCATCTTCTTCTGCTCAGGCCTGGCCCCACATGGCTCGTTTAGCCCTCAGCCATCCTGGCCCCTCTCTGCCTCTCGTTCGTTCCCTCCTATGAGCTCTGCTCAGCCCCTGACTCCTCCTTGGCTTTACAGCACCCAACGGCCAAGACCCCACTTTCATGGCCAGCCCTGGGGAGGCCCAGGAGGAGGAAGGGGAGAAAGAGGGGGGTTCTGTGGGGCCATGGGCAGCCATGTTGGCACAGGCCCAGGAGCTGTTTCTGCTGTGTGACAAGGAGGCCAAGGGTTTCATCACGCGGCACGACCTGCAGGTGAGTCCCCAGTCCCAAGGGGCTGCCCGGCCCAGGGCTGACCTTGCTACTCAGCCCTGCATGTTTGTCTGGCCAGGGCTTGCAGAAAGACCTGCTCCTCACACCGGAACAGTTAGAGGCTGTGTTCGAAAGTCTGGACCAGGCCCACACAGGTTTCCTCACGGCCCGAGAGTTCTGTCTCGGCCTGGGTGAGCCCTTCCCTTGTCCCCAACCCTGACTCCCACTCGGTGGCCCTCCCCTGGCACACGTGGGGACTCTGTGGGACCCACAACCCACACAGACTGCAACTGGAGATCCTCCATCACCTCCCTCCGGAATCCACACCCATATCAGTACAAACAGGAGCCATGGAAGGCCCCACAGAAAGCCCCCAGCTGCTGTGGCATGTGTGGAGATGACCCTCCTGCCCTCCACCCCCCTCCCGTGCCAAACCCAGGTGGGGCGGGGGCCAGCTGTGCATTTTGGCTTGAGCCCGGCTGTCACCTCCCATTCCCAGGCCAACAATCAAACCAGAATAAGGAAGAAAAACAGGAAACTGGGCTCAGAGAAAGGGCAGGATATGTGTGTGTTGGGGGGCGGGGGGGAGGCTGAGCCAGGGTGGTAACTCATAGTCCTGGTAATCTCTATCTCCCGTGCCCACAGGAAAGTTTGTGGGGGTGGAGTCGGCCCAGAGCACACTGCCCTCCCGGGCCTCTGAGGAAACCTTTGAGTCTGGCTGGTCCGAGGTGCAAGGCACGGGGGGCTCCCTGGAAGAAGAGGAAGAGGAGGAGAGATTCTTTGCTGTGCTGGAGCAGCTGGGGGTGGCCCGGGTTCTGAGCGAGTGAGTCTGTGCTGGTCCCACTCCCAATTCCCTCCTCTACATGCTGGCTGTTCACACTGCCCTCATGTCTGCTCTGGGCAGGGTCCCCAAGCTGGGTCTGACTCTGCGGTTCCCTGTCAGCTGCCAATACCCGGGAGGGGCCGGGTGTGATTTCCCACACAATTTGCATTTTAGGAGGCAGCAGTCAGGGTTGCTGGGAGGAGGGACGGCGCCAGGCACATAACTTCGTACATCCAGGCACAGCCTTGCGTACACATGACCCCTTGCTGCCAAGCAGCCGGCTGCGCACATGCATGACCCCCGCAGGGGCGAAAGCACCCGCAAGACGGAGACCCTGAATTCGGCAAATGCTCCTGGCTTGTCTGGGGCTGCAGAGGTCACCTTCGGGGAGGGTGCGGTGTTCCCACTTCGGCTTCAGCCCGTACGCGACCTTCCAGGCAGCGGGCGGTGCGAATGCTCTGGATCCGGCTGCAGCGCGAGCGGCCGGAGCTGCTGGGATACTTCGAGGACGTTCTGATGCGTGCGTCGGCCTGCCTGGAGGAGGCGTCCCGAGAACGAGACGGCCTGGAGCAGGCGCTGCGGCGGTGAGGGCTGGGGACAGGGAGGGGGTCTGGGAAGCGGTAGGGGCAGGGCTGGGCTGTAGTGCCGGCAGGTACCATGCAGCTGCCTCACCACCGACCCCCCGAAGGCGGGAGAGCGAGCACGAGAGAGAGGTGCGGTGCCTGTACGAGGAGACTGAGCAGCAGCTCCGAGAGCAGCGCCAGCGCCTAAGGAACCAGGTGGGCCCGCGGCCCCGCCCCGCCTCCGCCCCGCCCAATCCCAGACGCGCGCGTCTCCCTGGCTCCGCCTTCTCGGAATTGGTCCCACCCCCGGCCCCTGCAATCTCCGTGGTCCGCGGAGGCTCAGGTGCCCCCCGCGCGTCCCAGGGCCTCCCCCGGGAGGAGCGCAGAGGCCGTCTGGAGCTGGAGCTGCAGAGTCGCGAGCAGGAGTTGGAACGCGCCGGCCTGCGGCAGCGGGAGGTGAGCGGCCACCGGCCCACACTGCTGGGGAAGGGTGCAGACCAGCCCCGCGCACGTCTTCATCCCCACGGTCACCAAGCACCCCTGGTATCCTTGACGTCCCCTGTGCGTCGGTGTTCCTAGCCTTGGAATTGTTAGGAGTCAGAGGCACACCACCATCCCGAGGAAGAGGGGGTTCCTCTGCAGCCTCGTTTCTCCCACAACCCCCTAGTTGGAACAGCAGCTGCAGACCCGGGCCACAGAGCAGCTGGAGGCGCAGGCGCAGAACGCCCAGCTGTGGCTGGCCAACGAGGCCTTGCGGGCACAGCTGGAGGGGGCGCAGGAGCAGCTCCGCAGACTGGAGGGCGACGTGCAGGGCCGCCAGGAGCAAACCTTACGGTGCCCAGGGGGTGGGGCTGGGGCGGGCCCTCAGAGGCGTGTCCCGAGGAGGGGGTGGGACCGGCAGCCGTGGGGAAGAGGGGGTCGCGCTTGCGGCTCCGATCTGGGCCACTCCCATCCGAACCCCAAGTCTCAGCCTGCTCCCCAGGGTCTGCGTGGGGCAGGGTCCGCTAAGAGGGCCATGGAGGGCCCCAGGAGTCTCCCTGCATTTAGGTCACTACCTCCCCTCCGCAGAGACGTGGTCGCGGTCTCAAGGAACATGCAGAAAGAGAAACTCAGCCTCCTGCGGCAGCTGGAGCTCCTCAGGTTCGGTCAGGCTCAAGCCATGCCGCTAGCTCCCAAACATCCCTGGCCACTGCCCGGCTTACGACAAGGAAGTCCTTCCTAGTATCTGCCCTTTCTCCCTCATACTGCAGCCCCAGCCAGACACCTTTCTCCTGGTCTGAGGGAGAGTCAGAGCCCACACTCCCTGCCTTAAAATGCTGCCTTCTGAGACCTCTCAGACTCCTTGGACTCCCTTCCCCAGGGAGCTGAACACCAGGCTACGAGACGAGAGGGATGCCTGTGACACCAAGCAGCTGGGCAGTGGCCCAAGGAAGTCTCTGGCCTCAGCCTGCCTGCCGGGGCCCGCCTGCTGCTGCTGCTGCTGCTGCAGCAGCAACTGGGCTCGACCTCCCAGACGTGGCTCAGGCCACTTTCCCAGTGCCCACTGACCAGCCCCAAGAGACTCATGGGCGTGACCTGGAGAAGCTGCCCTTTGAAAGTGACTCATCATGGCTGGGGCTGCCCATCCAGGCTGTGGGCTCTACCCATTGGGCTGCCTGGCCTGCCTGACTGCAGACATGAAGGAACTAACAAGGGGAGGTCAGGCTCTCTTGAACCCCACTTCTGGTTCTCATCCTGTCCCCATCCCATCAAACCCATCTCTGTCCGGCAGAAAACCCTCCTCCTCCAAGTAAACTCCACTGACTGCACTGCAACCTCCTGGACCCCCTGTGTGTGTGTGTGGGAGCGCAGGCATCAGGTGTGCAGGGTATATGCACGACACAGGTCCACAGCCCTGAGGTGCTGGGGCTGTGTGTCCCTGTTTATACCTGTGGGTGTCCCTGCATCTCTGGTCAGACCCTAAGTCCTCACAGCCCATAAAAAACGCGAAGTCCCATGGACTGCTCTGTAGGGACAAGGAGATTGAGACCCATTGTCTCACCAGGGAGCATTGGGTGGGGTTTCCATCCCAATCCAGACTCAGTTGACCATCTCTGCCCCATGCCAGAATTCACACAGCTCTGGGTGAACCACCAGAGTCAAGCAGTCCTGCATGGAGCTTCCTGGGGTAGGCCTGGAGCCACCTCTCATGCCCAGGGGCACTGCCTGGGGAGCGGAGAGCTGCCAGTCAGCCAAGGCTGGGCTGGGAGGAGTGCTGCCCACTGTCCCTGGAGAGCTGCCCCAACTGATGGGGCGACTCAGACCCCACCTGCGGCTGGGGATGAGCCTAGTTGGGGAGTCTCCCCTCCTTACCCTGTCTACCCCTCCTCTCAGCTTCCCAGTCTAGTGGGTAAGCAGGACTTTCTCCCTCGAGTCTTTGACCACTGCCAGGCCCAGATGCCCTCCAGACGGGAGTATCTCACAGGGACCCCAGCCCCCCCGCCCCAGGCCAGCGTCTGCTGACCCTGCAGCCCCTGGGTGGTCCCTGGATTGGGAGGAGAGAATTGGGAATTGGGCCTGGAGGACGAGTTATTGGACAGAGTCCAAGGCCTTGGCTGGGCTAGCAGCCTCCCCCAACTCCTTCGCCCCTAGCCCAGCTCCTCCGTGTTCTGCGGGTGTAGGCTGGACTGGGGAGGCCCCGGGACTGCAGCTCCCTCGGCCTGCACAGCCCGGTAGGGACTCTGAGTTGCCTGCGTAGGGCTGGTATCCCGCGCGCTCGCACGAAGTAAATAGACCTGCCGGGCGTGGGCGGGGCCTGCCACCTTTGGGCGGGGCCCGGGTGTCCGGGTTTGTGGGCTGTGGGCTGGGCCTGCGGACCGGGGCGTGGTTTGCGGACTGTGGGCGGGGCCTGCGGACCGGGGCGTGGTTTGGGGGCTGTGGGCGGGGCCCGGGGCCCGGGGCGGGGCTTGTAAGGCACGGGCGGGGCCTGCGGACCGGGGCGGGGTTTGCGGACGATGGGCGGGGCCCGGGAGCCGGGGCGGGTTCGAAGGCGGGCCGGTGCACCTCCCTCGCGGGCCTCCCCAGGGCCGTGCATTCGCGGCGTCGGGAGCCGCCGTCCCCGCCCGACTTGGATTTGTGGCCGGTGAGTGCGCCGCCTGGCCAGGCCGGCCAGGGGGAGCCGAGTGTCCCGAGGTCCTGCGCGGCGCGGCCTCGGAGGCCGGGCCGCAGGCTCCGGAGGCCTTTTCCGGAGGGAGTCGGAGACCAGGAGGCTGGGCGGGCGGAGGGTACGCAGGGCGAGGGCGGAGTGCCTCCGGGTCTTCAGACCGGCCTGGCGGTCCCTTCGGGCCAAGGGCCCCCCTGAGCATCGCTCTCATTGTTCCTGGACGCGGGTCCCCTGCCCTCCGCCTGCAGATCCGCCCACCACCGGTGCAAGTGGGTGGGCGGGCGGCGCCGGTGACTTCATCGCGGTGACGCGGATTCCTCGCTGGGCCTGGCTGGAGTCCCTGGTACCCCTCCTTAGGGCGCGGGCCTCCGAGGGCCCAGTTGAGTTGCAGGGGACTGGGGTGGGGCAGCTCTGTTCCCGGCCGCAGGAACTATTTCTGGCCGGCCTTTCCCTGGGGGTTCACATCCGCCAGGTTCTCCGGGAAAAGGGGGGCCGTGTGCGGCTGCGGGGGCTGGATCTGCGTCTGGAATCGGCCTCTCTAGAAGGCCTGGGACCACAGCAGGCCCAGGGGCACGTCTGCCGAGGGTGGGGTCTCCACACCTCCAGCTGCGTGGTAGGGTCTGCGCCTTTATTTCTTCCCGGGAAGCTGCTTGGCAGGGCAAGGAGCCCTGACGCTCTGGGGCTAAGTCCTAGGGTGGAGTGCTTGGAGGAGGCGTGAGGTTCCTGGCAGGATCGGACTGTCCAGAAATGTCCTCCACTCTGCCCCTCCCTGGCTCAGACCAAAATACAGGGCCAGGCTGCTCCCTTGCTGCTGCTGGGAGTGCCGCTGCCTGGCCTGGAGGCCCGGCTCAGGTCCACTGCCTGGGGCAGCCAGTCACCGGAGGGGCGGCAGGATCCTGTCCGTGCACCGTGGGTGAGACCTGTGACCTGTCTCTGCCCTTCTAGTGGAGCCTCCTGGGGATCTTCTGTCTACTGTCTAGCTGTCTTAGAGGAGCCACGCCTGCCAGCCAGGTGCGTGCTGGGTGGGGCAGTGGAAGCCCAGTTGTCTGGTGATGCTGTGTCTGGAAAAGTGGCCCCAGGCACTGCCTTCTTCGTCCCCTGCCCTCCCCTCCCCTCCCCAGAGCAGGCTGGCTGTCCCTGACTGGGCTGCCCCCGAGGAGGACAGTCTGTAGCTGCACTGCTCCCTGGGGTTAGTGTGACTGTCCCCTTTCCAGTAACAAGGGGACCCTAGGTCTGGGGGGTATGTGTGCCCACCTGTACCCTCCACAGCTCCACTCTTGCTGGGAGGAAGGAAGGTCTGCCCTTTAACAGTAGCCCCAGGAGCTTCCCTAAAGCCACATGGCCAGTAAGGGGCAGGCCAGTCTGGCTCTGAGTGGCCTCCTCCCCTCTAGCAGCCAGTAGGTTCCTGCCAGCCTGTGACATGGGGCCTGGGGAATGCTGGGGTGGGGGTTGGGGGGGCGGGCCTGCATGAGCTCATCACAAGGTGTTTGCTGGGGCTTCCTACCCTGGCTGCCAGTGCCCGTGAGTCAGCCGGTGATGGCTGGGGGTCCTCTGTGCTCCCTGTGCCGTGGGATCTGGTCCGGGAAGCCAGGCCCTCAGCCTCCCAGGGCTGTGGGCCCACGCATCTGCGCTGGTGGCAGTGGGGTGGGGGCTCCTGAGCTACCCTCCTAGGACATGACCTGGTTCCCTTGGACACTCTCCCAGGGCCTTTCCCCAGGGCCAGTGGTTGCTTGGGCCTTGGTATCCACTCCTTTTGTCCCCACTGGTGTCTGGCTGTTCTCCCAGTCAGGTCCTGGTGTTGGGGGCTATCTGACCTCCCCCTGCCTCCCAACCCCAGGATGGGCGAGTTCAACGAGAAGAAGTCAACATGCGGCACCGTTTGCCTCAAGTACCTGCTCTTCACCTTCAACTGCTGCTTCTGGGTGAGGAGCTGGTACCTGCCTTCCCCTGACCCGTCTTCTCCACATGTCATCCCATCCCTAGTCCTTGAAAGGAGTCCTGGTTTTGGGCTCACATATGGTAACTGGCCGGTGTGCCCTGCCCACAGCTGGCTGGTCTGGCCGTCATGGCCGTGGGTATCTGGACCCTGGCCCTGAAGAGTGACTACATCAGCCTGCTGGCCTCAGGCACCTACCTAGCCACAGCCTACATCCTGGTGGTGGCCGGCATTGTCGTCATGGTGACTGGTATCCTGGGCTGCTGTGCCACCTTCAAGGAGCGGCGGAACCTGCTGCGCCTGGTTAGCAGGGCTGGCACTGGGGGCAGGGGTACCTGGGTGGGGGCTCCCCACTCGGCTGTCTGGGGCTGGCTCTGGGGCCAAGACTGGGGAAGAAGGGACAGATGGGGGTCGAGTTGCCGCTGCAGGACAGTCTCTGCTGTGCTCACCCGGGGCGGGGGCCCTTCCACTGCCCAGCCCCTCTGTGAGCCTCCAGGGAGGGGAAGCCCTCCTTTGCTGTCGGGAGCCCTCGTTCTGTGGCCACTTGGGAGCTGAGGTGGGGACGCTGTTGAGTGTAGACACTAGGGATTCTCGTGGAAGGGGTGTCTGGTCCCTGCTCACTCGTCCTCCCCTCGCCCAGTACTTCATCCTGCTTCTCATCATCTTCCTGCTGGAGATCCTTGCTGGCATCCTTGCCTACGTCTACTACCAGCAGGTGAGGAGCCGGGGCAGGCCACGTGGGGACATGCACACACACACACACACACAGATACCCCCTAACTCCAGAGCTGACCATTGTGCCATCAGGCCCTGGGGATGAAGGCTGGGTCGTAGGGGTAGGGTACACTGTAGGGGTTCATGGAGGAAAGGTGTTCCTAGGATCTGGAGCTCTCTCCATGCCCCTCCCCCTCCCCATGGCTACCGGGGTGACTCTCCGAGCCCACCCGACCCCCACCCCAGCCAGTGTTTCAGCCTGGCCCTTTCTCCCCTGGGAGCCCTCCCCATACCTGTCCCAGCACCTGCCCCCTTGGAGGGGCTTACACGGTGGCTGAAGTTATTACCACCTTGCCCCCCAGCTGAACACGGAGCTCAAGGAGAACCTGAAGGACACCATGACCAAGCAGTACCACCAGCCAGGCCACGAGGGTGTGACCAGAGCTGTGGACAAGCTGCAACAGGAGGTGGGTGGGTGGCGCAGGGAGGGGCCTTTCTGGGACCTCTGAAGGCGGCCGCAGAGGGGGTGGGCAGGGACTCAGCCCCCCGCGTTCTCCTCCAGTTCCACTGCTGTGGCAGCAACAACTCCCAGGACTGGCAGGACAGTGAGTGGATCCACTCCAGGGAAGCAGATGGCCGCCTGGTCCCTGACAGCTGCTGCAAGACCGTGGTGACCCACTGTGGTCGGCGGGACCATGCCTCCAACATCTACAAGGTGGAGGTAGGTGTGCAGGGCCTGGGCTCCCTGTGAGGGATGGGGTGCTGGTGTGGTCACACCACACCCAGGAGGGGCCTGTGGCTGTGGCAGAGGGGGCTGGAGGACTTGCCTGCCTTCAGTGCCCCCACGCCCCCTCTGCCAGGGCGGCTGCATCACCAAGCTGGAGACCTTCATCCAGGAGCACCTGAGGGTCATCGGGGCCGTGGGCATTGGCATCGCCTGTGTACAGGTGCGGGCCTTGGGCAGGGTGGGCGCTGGCGGGGGCAGGGACACAAAGTGCTGGTAGCTGTGGCCCACTCACGCCAGCTTCATGCCTAGGTGTTTGGCATGATCTTCACGTGCTGCCTGTACAAGAGCCTGAAGCTGGAGCACTACTGACCCTGCCCACGCCGGCCCGGGGCAGGTGCTGCAGCTTCTCGTCGAGTGACTGCTGAGACTACTGATGGCCAGGGAGCTAGGGCCCTGGACGCCTCTCCCACCCCTCTTCCCCTCTCCCCCTCTGCCAGGGAGGTGGTGTGTCCCCACCACTGTGCCATCACCATGCCCTCTGGGGCCCCTCCCCCCAGAGAGAGCTTCAAGTGCCTTTTGCTACACACCTAAGTCCCGAGGCGGGTGCCCTGCAGTCAGGGAGGGGCAGCACTGCTGCCCACACGGGGGTCCTGGTCTGGCTGGTGGGGTGGGGGGATTGTGTTCTGCCAATAAAGCACCCCCCTCCCGCAGGCCACCTCCCTTGGGGTGGGTCATGGCACCTCAGGGTGCTCCCTGATGCCTGTGCTTAGTTGGAGGGGTTAGTTGGGTGGGGAGTGGGCAGAAATGGGCCTGGTTGGCCTACTGGAGGGTGCTCCCAGTCCCTTGGACACACCCCAGATGGTGGTCAGCGCAGGTGAGGAGCTCCATGTGCTCCCCACCAGGCCAGTGCCCTGTCCCCAGGGTCCCTGCCGCCCTGCTCTGCTGAGCCCGCTCTCTCCACTGCTCACTGTTACTCCAAAGGTCACGTTCACTGTTGTCCCCCTCCCCCCAGGGCAGGGGTCCGGGGAGGTTTCACTCACTGCTGTATTACAAACGCCGAGAACTGCCCCTGCCACCCGCAGGAGCGCAATAAACGTTTGTGGGACAGACAGGTGAACCTACTATGTCACCGAGGCGGTCCTGGTCCTGAGCCACTTCTAGCAAGTGGCAGACCCACCCACGCACTGCCAGCCGAAGGAGAGCAGGGGGCCGAGTCCTGGGGGCCCAGGGCAGCGAGGCACGAGCCCAGAGCTGACAGGACTTGAGGGGCAACGGCAGGAACAGCTGAGTGTGGGCCTCAAGGCAGAACCTCACACATTCTAGGAAGATGGTGGTGCAGCTGTGACCCAGGTGGGAGATGTGAGGTCTGGAGTCTGGCAGGATGTGTGCTGTTAATGAGAGCCAGGCTTGGCCACTGTGCCCCTCCACCTGGGTGCCTGCCCAGCTCCTGTCCCCAAGGCTCAAACTGTCAGCATCCTGGGCAGACCCTATCTTGGACATCCGGGGATCAGGGCCATCTGGGCAGCAGGGCTGGAGAAGGCTGCCTCTTCCTCCAAGTTGCACTTCTGCACCCTGCAGGCCAGAGGGCGCCAGGGCCCTACTGACCCTGCCAGGTGACCACAGCTCTTCCCTGGCCCACAGGACCAAAGGCTAATGCCCAGGGTACTGGAGCTCAGCCAGCCCTGACACCAGCGGAGCTTCCTCAGGGCCACCTGGGACCTGCTGTGAGGGTCTCAGGCCTGGCTGTGGAGGCCAGACGCTGCCCCTGCCCTCTGCAGGAACCTGTGCAGGGGGAGGGGCCTACTGAGCTTGGGCGGAGCCTGGAAGGTCCTGACAGCAGGACCCTCAGGATGGGCAGCTGTGACCATAGCAGGCACTCTACTCAGGGCCCAGAAAACCTAGTTCTTTAAATCCTGGGAGAGAGGGTGTGGGGACCTCTGCTCAACCTAAAGAGCACCTAGGACATGGGGGTGGGGACTCAGTGCCCCGGTGTTCTTGCTGCCTATCTTTGTGGGGCTGTGGGAACACCCCACTCCGAAGGAAGACACTTCAGGCTGAGGGGCTCCCATGGGGGTGGCTCTCCCTCCTGCGGGGCAGTGAGGGCCCCACATTCAACCCCATGAGCCTCAGGCATGAACAAAACACAGGTACATGGGTGGCGGTGGGTCCCATAAAGCCAGACCTCCTTATGATTCTGCAAAGACCTTTACTGGATGATTCCAAAGCAGAAGATGAAGGTCCACACAGCTGTGGGCAGGCACTGCTTCCGGCTACCCACACTTCTGCGAAAGAGACTCTGGCCAGATACTGCCATGGTGCACATGGTCACTTCTCCAGGGGCACGTAGTTCAGCAGCTTCTCGATCAGGTCCACGTGGGCCAGCAGCATGCGGCGGCAGCAGTAGCGCTTCAGTCCCAGTGCGTCCAAGGCATCCCTGCGGGCAGGAGAGGGCAGGCTGAGGCCCGTTCATCCCAGCCTCATTGGGCTGCTGTGCAATCTCCCCTCAGCTCTGCCCCACGTCAGGGAGGGAGATGTCTCTCCAGGGAGCCACCTCACATATTTCCCAAACCCATCAGAGCCTCCGCTCCCTTTCCCTGGGACCCAGCCCATTCACCCTCGAGGCCTCCAGAAAATTCTCACACATTGGCCCCAATGTAGAGACGGAAGCTTGGGAACCAGAAGACCAGGCTGAGAGGTCCCTGCTTGTGGCACTGCAGGGAGGGGTCTTGTGCAGCCCACCCGCTGTTCCCACACTCTGGTCACCCTAGCAGCCTCTGGCCCAGTGAAAACAGTCGGCCCATGCATATCTTCTCTGTTCATCCCTGCACCGAGACACCGAGAGCCTTGGCATGCTGGCACGCCCCAGGGGTTCAAACGTGATTAAGACGAGGTCCAAGGGTGAGAACAGAGTGGCACAGGCTCAGGCAGGCTTGATGGTGAGGAGCAAGCACAGAAAATAGACACCGCAAAAGCCTCAAGACGCCCTGGCTCGCTTGGCTCAGTGGTTAGAGCGTCAGCCTGCAGACTAAAGGGTCCCAAATTCGACTGATACCCAGTCAAGGGCACAAACCTAGGTTGCAGGTTTGATCCCCAGCCCTGGTCAGGGTGCGTGTGGGAGGCAACCAATGTATGTGAGAGACACACTGATATTTCTCTCTCTCTCCCCTTCCACATTTTCTGAAAATCAATGGAAAAAATACTCTCTAGTGAGAAGGAAAAAAAAAGCGTCAGGATGACAGCTACGTGGTCATGAAGCTGTCCTACGTCCGAAAAGACAAGTGGGCTTGCAGGACACGGGGGTGGGGCCAACGGCAAAGACGAGAGGTTAGGGAGAGGTTAGGAGAGGAGGCTGAGGGCTCACAGGCGGGGGAAACGCGCCGCGACTGGTCAGAGGACACCTAGAACCCCCAACACCAAAGGTGGAGGCCCAACCCCCCGCCTCTCCCCAAACTGCGGGGGGTGCGGGGCAACACTCTCCCAAGAGCACCGCTGGAAGGGGCTCGGACCGAAAGCCCACGCAGGGTCACCTGGAATCGGAGGTGCGAGCCGCACGCGCCTGCTCGGCCGACCAGGACCACTGCGCCCCTCCCCCCCGCCCCGCAGGCCGGCACCCTCACCCCTCCCCGCAGGCCGGCACCCTCACACCCCTCCCCGCAGGCCGGCACCCTCACCTCCGCCCCGCAGGCCGGCACCCTCACACCCCTCCCCGCAGGCCGGCACCCTCACCCCTCCCCGCAGGTCGGCACCCTCACCTCCGCCCCGCAGGCCGGCACCCTCACCCCTCCCCGCAGGCCGGCACCCTCACCCCCTCCCCGCAGGCCGGCACCCTCACCCCTCCCCGCAGGCCGGCACCCTCACCCCCTCCCCGCAGGCCGGCACCCTCACCCCTCCCCGCAGGCCGGCACCCTCACCCCTCCCCGCAGGCCGGCACCCTCACCCCTCCCCGCAGGCCGGCACCCTCACCCCCCCGCCCCGCAGGCCGGCACCCTCACCCCTCCCCGCAGGCCGGCACCCCCACCCCCCCTCCCGGCCCGTCTCCACGCCCGGCCCAGGCCCGCGGGGCGGCCCGGGACGCTGCCCACCCCCAGGAGGCCCGCGCGGCCCGGAGCCTCACCCCTCGGTGTACTCGGCCTGCAGCAGCCCCAGGTAGGCCTCCCACTTGTTGCCGACGATCTTGCCGCACGTGAAGCAGCGCACGGGGATGATCATGGCCGCAGCAGCTCAGCGACTGCGCTCCGGGCCCGCGGCGCTCCGGCTTCAGTCACCGCCCCGCCCCGGGCGCATCCATGGCGCGGGGGTGGCCGCCCCGCTCGGCTGCCCCCCGCCCGCTCTGCCCGCCCCCACGCCGTGGACGTTCGCCTCCCGTGGTAGCGAGCTTCCTCCGCACGTGCGGGGGGTCCCGGGCCCGCGCGGTCACGGCAGCAGCGGCGGACGCCCCCTGTTCGCAGCGTTGGTACGTCCCGGCCTACGGCGCCCGAGCAGGGCCGTAAGAGCTCAGCGGCGCGGTTCGCGTTTCTCGTGTCCGCATGACTGACAGCTGCGCGGCGGGCGGACGGCGCGCTCAGGTACCGCGTCCGCCCCGGGGATGCGGCCGGAGTCCCGCCGCCCGCGGTGCCCGAGCCGGGACCAGACCCAGGCCCGGGCCGAGAGAACTGGCGCGGAGTTCGAGCCCCGAGCGCTTAGCCCCGAGCCGAGCCGCAGCAACAAGTGGCGGGGCGACCCCGCGGCGGGGCGGAGGGGCTGGCCCGCGGCCACGGGCGGTCTCCCCGCAGTCCCTCCTGGCCCGGCCGGCAAGGGGGTCGCCTGCCCGGAGCCCCTGCCCGCAGGTGCCCGGGGCTGTCTGCGGCTGAGGTCTGGGGTCCCCTCGGGTGCCGCCCGGCCCGCGCGCCCGCACCGCGTCGGCCCCGGCCGGGCAGTTACCTGCGGCCGGCAGCGGTCGGCCGAGTGGCGCGCTCAGCGGCGGCTCCTCCCCGCCCGCGCCGCGTCAGTCCGCTTCGGCCCGCGTCCCTCCTCCCTTCTCCCCGGGGAAGGGGCTGGGAGCGAGGGGCCGGGCCGGGTCTGCATCCGCCCCTGGACCGGCTGTGCTGGGTCCCCGCGATCTGGGGACGTCGGACCTCACTTCGGAGGACCGGAGCAGGGCGGAGAGGGTGGTCAGGGAGGGCGTCGCGGAAGAGGCGCCTTTTGAGTTGAACCTTGAGGAACACGGGATTTCGCTAGGGGCGAGCCTGAGTGTGTGAACGAGGGCAGGGCCTGGCAAAGGGAACTCTTGGGTGGAGGCCTGGAAATGGTACCTGCAGGGTAGCTCAAGGAGACAGGTTTGGGCCAGGGCCAGGGTAGGTGATGGAGCCAGAGGGGATGGGGCAGGACCCATGGAAGATTTGAAGGGAGGGGAGACTGTGTCTGGAAATGGGATGGGGGGGCCCCATGATCCTGGCGCTGGGGCTGGGGCTAGACTTGGTGCAGGGAAGGCTCCCTGCAGGAGGTGAGCTTTGGGCTGTGGGAGCTGGGTTCTGCAAAGTGGCACCTGTGGCTTAGGGTGTGGGCAGGCTCACTGGCCTGGGGCATCTGGATCTTCTGTTGGGACCCAGGTGTTGGACCCACGCTGTCAGACCTTAGTTGGGGAGCAGGAAGATTGAGGGTCCTCTGGGTCCTGGGTAGAGCTGGCCAGAGCTACTGCCTGCCTGGAGTTTGTGCCTCCACTTTTCCTGGGCCCTGGACAGCTTCCCCAATGGCATTTGCCATCCCCCACCCTGCCACGTGCAGAGCCACGAGCTAAAGCCACTTCCCTTCCCTGACACCCTCTACCTCCCTCCCACTGACTGGACGCACATCCTGTCCCTGGCCAGATGGGCAGGATAGGGGGCCTTGAGTCACGGTGGCCTGGGGTCAGACTCAGGCTCAGCTACAGATGCTGCCACAGCTGCAGAGGCTGCGGAGGTGAGAGGGAGACCGGGAGGGCATCTGGGATGTCAGCGGGGCGGACCTTGGGAGGGTTGGGAGCAGAAGGCTTCCTGGAGCAGGGGCTCAGGGCCTGTCCCACCAGTGCTCCTGCCCAGAGCAGTTGTTTACTCTGCTGAGGCAGGGGAGCTGCCTCCCGCCCCATCCCGACCAGAGCCAAGTTGACATTCCTGGAATTCTGAGAACTGTATGTAGATTTGGGGGCCCAGGCAGGTCTTCTTCCTGAGCTCCTCCCTCCAGCTCCCTGATTTCCCAGGAGAGGGTATGGCGAGCAGAGTGGCTGCCCCAACACACATGTGCCCAGAGGCCCCTTGGGGCACTCAGTCCGCCCAGTTCAACACTGCCCAGGCTGGACCACAGGACCCTGGGGAGCTTCAGAGGTCAGCCCCCCGCCCCCCCACGGTGGCCGTGGTGTGTGTGTGTGTGTGTGTGTGTGTGTGTGTAAGTGTACGCCCTGGTGGGGGGAGCAGGCTGAGGAGAGAGCCCGGCTCTCTTCAGTGTGGCCAGAGCCCAGGGCACTGGTGGGATGGGACAGGACTCTGCCTGCCTGCTGGGGGAGCTGGGGGCCCTTGCTCATGCCTCAGTGTGGAGTGTCAGCACAGATGTGGCCCAGGCCTCCGGGGAGGCCTGAGATGGAGGTGCAGGTTTCCCAAGAACGGGTGTCCTGCCCCAGCAATGGGGGGCATGGGGAGGGAGAGCTATGCTCACATGTGGTCTGGAACTCATGAGCCGTGTTTCCTGCCAGAAAGGGTCACTTCAGAGCAGGCAGGGGACCCGGGGAATCAGAAATGGAAGTTTTAGCTGCTGACTGGCCCTGAGCATTGTCCTGGAAACAGGCCCCACCCACTGGCCCTTGGTCACAGCGCCAGTTCCTCCAGGGTTGGAACCAGAAGCTGAGCAGAGGGAGGTCCTGACCGCGGCTTCCCTCGCTTGGTAGAAGTGTGCTCACACAGGACGTGCCCAGTGGGGAGTGTCCGTGAACAGACATGCTTGCACCCCTCTCCAGTCAGATGGGGTCACCCTCCTGGGCCCCGGGGACTGGCGATTCCTGAGCTCAGGTGTGCTTGAGCCTGGACTGCCCCTACCTAGTCACCAGCTGGGCACACCTAGGCCCGTGGCCTTGGAGAGCATCACTGTCTGCCAGCCTAGCCCGGCAGCCTGGGCCTGATGTGGGCTCCCTGAGGGTACTGCTCTGCCAGGTGGTACAGGGGCATTCACTGACGTAGGGTGGGCATACACTGGGCACCTGAGGCGCGGTGCTCCCAGGGCCTCGGTAGGTGAGAAGGCACCCCCCCTAGGGTCCTAATTGTGTCCCCTCTACCCTACATCCTTGTGGCCTCCTATAGAGGAAGACCTGAGGGTGGGGTGGGGGGAGGATAGGGAATGGGGAGGGCCCTGAGCTTGGGTTGGCCTGGGTGGGCCCAGGAGGAGAATGGAGACTCTTGGTGGCCCTTGCAGGGGGACCCCTCCCTTGGAGCGGCTGTCTTTCAGCCCCTGAGGCTCCGGTTTGTGTCTGGGAGATGGCCCTGCCTGGGCCCCTGGACCCTGAGTGTGGAGGGGGTCCAGCCTGGTGTTCGCATGCCCCTCCCCCAGGCTGGGGACCTGGGTGGGCGCTGGGCCTGCAGGGCCGAAGCAGCAGCAGGAAGCAACACCACAGGCCTGTTTGTGTTGGCGGAGCCTCCCAGCTCCTCAAAGCCGCCCCAGAGCTGCCTGGCCTGCCCGCCACCCTGAGCTGCCCCTGCTGGGCTGTGTGCTCCAGCCAGACTGCTGCTGCCCCTCCACTGGGGCTCAGGGTGGGCCCCTGGCCGGCAGTCGCCCTCTGTCGCCCCAGGCCTCCAAGTCCACGGTGGGCACGCTCTGTCTGTGCGTTCGGACAGGTCCGTTTTGAGTGGCCCTTGGGATAGCCAGGTAGGTGCCCGTGGCATCTGTGTGGCTCACACTGCCCTAGGCCCCTAGCTGCCCCCCACCATGGGGCCCAGCCCCAGCTGGCAGGCTGGTGTCTGTCTTGGGCTCTCACTCAGCCCAATCCCTGCTGCCTGCCCTGTGCCCCCTGTTCTGGGGGACACAGGCCTGCAGGTCCCTGCGCTCAAAAGGAAGCCCAGAGTGGGAAGTGGGCAAGGAGGCCTCGCGGAGGAGGACGCTGGGCCGGGGTGAGGGAGGGAGCCAGTCCTGGTCTTGCATTCATGCCCGACTGCAGGGTTGTGTCTGGGGTGCCCAGGGTGGGGTGAGGGCTGGAAGGGCTGAAGGTCTTTCACAGAGGGTTGGGGGGCTGCCTTGGATGGGGGCTGGGAGTGGGGCCCGGCCGTCATCTCCTCCTGGTGTTGGCCACGTCCCGATATGTGGGGGTCTAGGAGGGTGGTAGGGCCCCCTGTAAGGTCTGCCAGGAGGCACGCCCCATGCCTGGCGGCGGGGGCTTGCAGACCCAGGCTCCGGCCTGTGCAGGTGGTAAGAGAGACGCAGGTTCTAGCTTCTGATATGTTGCTGTGGGCTTAAGGCCCCGCAGCCCTGGGGAGGGGGTTCATCAAAGAGAGTGGGAAGGGCGGATTCCCCGTTGCTTTCGATTCTTTACTGCGCTTGACCCTCCTCCAAGGACAGTTCATCTCCAGGCACAGCAATTGCCGTTGGCTGGGGTGGGAGGTCCCAAGCCCTTGGCCCCGGCACATCCGCTCCTCACTGTGGAGGGTGCTGTTCATACCCCCTGTGAGGTTGACGGAGGGGCCTCAGGTTGCTTGCAGGGAGGAGCTGGGACTGACCTTCGAGGAGCCTGTCCAGCCCAGATGGGACTGGCAGTGGGCACCTGCCAGGGTGGCCTTCCCAGCCTTTGCAGCCCCTCATGTCCTCAGGCTGCTTGGAAGGCCACCTGCCCCCATCCCCAGGCTGATGGAGCCGCTGGTCTGAGGGGGAGGGGTGGGGGGTGTGCTGGGGTGCCCTCTCCCCATGCTGCCTGGCTGGCGGGGAGGACAGAACCCCTGGAAGTGCTGGGGGTAGACGAAGGGCCTCAGGAATCTGTGGGGAAAGCATGAGGTTGGTGGCATTTGGAGCCAAGGAGGGGGTGGGGTGCAGGGCATCTCGGGGGAGTGGACAACAGGCTGGTCTCGAGGGCCTGGGACCTTGGGGGACACGTCATTACGAGCCAAGCCTGTGTGTGAGTCCATGCGTCTGGATACACGTGTGCTCTGCATGTGTGTCCCCTGGCACACGCACTGTCTGTGCCCGTGTGTGCTAGCCTGCTTTCTTGCCTGGGCGTCTCAGGAGGCCAAGTGACCAGAGGTTGGGGAAAGCAGCCCCCCTGTTTGGGGCTGTTGGTCAGCCTCTCCCCCTCCCCTGGAAGGACCTGGTCCAAGTAGAGGCTATTCCTCATCTCCTTGGGCCGGCCTGGTCTCTGAGAGCCCCGATGTGGGTGCGAACCAGATGCGGCCTTCACGCTGTCTGTCTCCCCTCCACAGAGCTCCGTCTGCCTTGGTGGTGTTGACTGCTCGCCCTCCGGCTAGCTCGCCTTCAGGGACTCTGCGCACCGCCTGACTCCTTCCTGTGGCAAGCTCAGGTACATGTCGGCCTGGCCAGGCAGTGGGGGCAGACCTGGCTGCCTCCTAGGCTCACCTGTGCCTGGTCCGGGGTCCCTGCTGCGGACGCTCTCCTGGGCCGGGGCCAGGCTGTGTTACCTGACCCTGCCTCCTGAGTTCGCTTGTTGGGGCCCCACCTGTTGGAGGAAGGGGACTCCTGTGGGGGAGGGGCTGGACTTTGGGGACAGGGTCACTGGGAGAACCCCCACCCGGCCACAGTCTTGATGCACCTGTGTCCACATTCCACCTGACCCTAGGTTGAATTTTCTGGTTTCTTTTTCTTTTTTTTAAATTTTTATTCCTCACCTGAGGATATTTTCTCATTTATCATGAGATAGAGGGGGAAGCAGGGGTAGAGAGACAGAAATGTCAACGTGATAGAGCCATACTGACTGGCTGCCTCCCGCACAACCTGACCAGGGCCAGGGCCGAGCTGCAACCGAGGTTCGTGCCCTTGACGGGAATTGAACCCGTGACTCCTTGGTCCACAGGCCGACGCTCTAGCCCCTGAGCCAAACCGGCCAGGGTGAGTTTTCTGGTTTCATCTATCAGACGGACCTGCCTACCTGGACTGACGGGCACTGATTTTGTGGATGGGAGTGGGGGGGTGGCAGGACTTTGGGGGATACTGGGACAGCAGTGGCTGAGTGAGATGGAACTGGGGGCATCCAGGCTGCTGGGCCCAGTGTGGGAACCCAAGCCTGAGTCCCAGCGTGATGAAGGTGTGGAGAGGTGAGCCCCACGGGAGCCCGGCCACTACCCAGCCCCGGCCACCGGGACCCCATTCTTGTCCTTGGAGGCCCTGCCCTGGGACCAGGCCCATCCCCCTCACCTCTGGCCCCAGTGTCTTCAGGGAAGACAAAGGTGAGGAGCCAGGCCTGAGTTTTTCCGACTCTGGGCTGCAGGGGCCCAGTGTGGGAGTGGCCGACTGTGACCCCAGCACGGGGGTCGGTGTCTGTTAGGGTCTGTGTGGTCAGTCTTGGCTTCTTGGGTGGTCAGGAGGCCCTCTTGGTCAGCTCTGGCCCCTCCCCCAGCCCTCCTGGCCCACGACTGTGTACCGAGCACACTCTCACACGCTGGCGTGTGCAAGGACCCCCGCGATCTTAGCTTGGACACGTAGGCTGGTTGAGTTAGACCAAGGGGAGGGTGGCCAGAGGCCACTAGGGCTCCCTGGGACCTCCAGGGGTCACTGGAGGCCACTTGCTCCCTAAGCAGAGATGTGGACAGTGGTGTCTGCAGGGCCCTGGTTGGGGCGCTCCACTGCCTGCTTCTCCCCTGGGCCCTGGTGCCTGGTCACTGTCGTGTCCTTTTCCTGGGGCCCAGACATGCCAAAGAACACTCGGGGAGACAAGGTCGAGGGCCATGGGAAGCCCCAGGGGGGCCAGCAGTGTGGGCTGGGGCTCTCCTGTCCCCTCCCCACCAGGGCCAGCCCCCACACTGCCCAGGGCCTTGAGCTGCAGTTCTCCACAGAGCCCCGGGGATGCAGCAGAGGGCTGGTCCTAGGTCTGGGTGGGGAGCCCAGATGTCCAGATGGTCCTGCTCAGCTGTAGTCCCCCACCTGCCACCCCATACCACTCAATGTCTCAGACTGTCACCCCTTCCCCTCTGTCTTCCTCTCCTCTTATCCCCTGTCCCCCCTCCCTTCCAGTCCCCCCGCCTCCTCCCTCCCACTCCTCTCCCCTCTGAGCTCTGCTGCTCAGCTCTCCGGGACCCTAAGGGAGGCCTTTCCAGGACTGTCCCATGGGGAGGTGGACATGGCCAGTGGGCTTCCGTGGTGACCAGGTAGGCCTTGGCCACAGTCTCAACCTCAGGGTGCAGGGCACATCTCTCTCCAAGGGGGCCACCCTCTCCAAGGCTAGGCTCTCCTGCCTGAGGTCCAAGGGAGGGGGGTGCGGGCCTGGCAGGGAGTGGCATTGGGGGCACATGCTCCCCGACTCCACAGGGCCCAGAGACGTCGCGGTCCCTACCAGTGGTGTGGGCATCTGTCCCATCTGGGCTTGTGGGTGTGTCTGCACATTCCCTGTGCACAGGACACGTGTGCAGGTCACTTTGGGTGTATGCCAGCCTGGCTTGGGTACGGACGTTTCTGGGGTCTGACTCCCAGCCTGGGCTGGTGCAAAAAGCAATGTGGGGCCCTTTGTTAAAAAAGTATCAAGAATTTCAGTGGTGCAGCAGGGCTTCCAACCCGCCAGCCCACCCTGGGTGCTGCCAGGGGTTGATATCTAGGCCAGGAGTGGGCTGCCCACCTTCCATGGAGCCTGTCTTTGGGTCTCCAGTGGTTACTCCTGAGCTGGTGTTTACGTCTGAACACTTCCCTGACCTGCCTTGCAGTGACCCAGCCTGCCCTCCCGGCACCCAGGGCTCCCCGGAGCACCCTCCCAGCTTCCCCTCTCTTGCCCGGCTCCTATCAGGGGCTTGTCTTTTAAATCGAAGCCCAACCTCCCCAACTACCGTCTCCCTCAGGTTGGGTGCCCCAGGCTGACCCCTGTCTCCATAGACGTCCCTCCCCACTCAAGCTATGAACTGCAGGAGCTCTGGGGTCCCGGTGCTGCCCCCTGCCAGCCCAGCAGGAGGTGGGGTTGCTGCTCGCAGAGTGCGAACCCCAAGGACTGGTGGGCTCCACTCCCCGGCGCCACGCTGTACCTCGCTTTGTTCCCTGGGCCGGGCCAAGGCCAGAGCCGCCCCCAAGTCGCCACCGGACTGAGACTGGGCCAGTTTTATTTGCATAGCGCTGCACAGGTCGGGGGTGGTGGGAGGTGTCCGAGCGCGGCCAGGCCCCGGGTCGCGTGCAGGGCGCCCTCGGGGAAAGGCCGGGGCGTCGTTAGGGGCTGAGACACGCCTGGGGCTGGCCCCCCGCTCAGCGCCCAGCTCCGCCCAACTGGTCCCCGGCCCACCCGAGCACCTTCCTCCCGCGAGGGGCGGGGCAGGGGCGTGGCCCCGGGGCTGGGATTGGCGGGCGCGGCCGAGCGGTGGGATTTGCCTGGCGGCTCGCGGGAGGGGAGGGGTCGCGGAGGCGGGGCGGGTGCAGATTGGCGGGTGCGCGCGGGGCGGGGCTGCGGAGCGGGCGCGGGGCTGCGGCGGGCAGGTGTCCGCACCGCCGCGGGGCTGAGCCGGGCGGCTCGCGGGGCCGGGGGCCGGGGGCGCGCGGGCTGGGCGGCCCGCCGGCGGGATGCGGCGCTCAGGGGCGGCGGGCGCGGGGCGCTGAGCCGCGGCGGCCCGGGCGCGATGCGCCGCTCCAGCACGGACGAGTCCACGTACCGGCGCAGCCCGTCGCCGGAGGGCAAGGAGCCGGGCCCCGCGCGCGGCGGCCCCTTCCGGCGCTACAGCAGCCTGTACGGGCGCGGGGACGGCGGGCGCGCGGGCGGCCCCTTCTTCGGGCTGCACGCCAGCCCGGGTCCCAAGGCGGCCCAGGCGCGCTGCCCGCCGCCCAAGGGCACCAAGTACGTGGTCTTCTACCTGGACCTGTCCTTCATCTTCCTCCTAGAGCTGAAGCGCTGCGGCATGGCGCGCGGCTGCCTGCAGGGCGTCAAGTACCTCATGTTCGCCTTCAACCTGCTCTTCTGGGTGAGTGGGGCGCTGGGGCGCTGGGCCCCGGGGTCCCGGGCCGGGCCGGGGAGAGCCCCAAGTGCTGCGCCTGCTGGAATGGGGGTGGGACGCGTGGGTCGCAGATGCGGGGGACCCCGGGTCGCTGCTCTGGCCGATGATGGGGTTCCCCTAGGAGAGAGAGGAGGCAGAGTCCTTTACCCCCTGAGCAGTTGCCCCGTGTCCTCTCCCCCCTTCCTGAGATGGGATGTACCCCACATGTGGGTGTCCAGGAGGGCTGCCTGGGGCACTGAGACACACCTGCCAGGGGTCCCAGTCCTGGTCTGTGTCCTGGGGCTGGGCCTCTGCTCTGTCCCCTTCTCTCCCTCCCTGCAGCCTGAGTAGTTCTTTCTTTACCTTTGCACCCCCCGCCCAGTGGGCCGACCCCCCAGGACAGGGCCCTGCCTGCTGAAGGGCTCTCGGGCCGAGGTAGCCCCCTAGTCTCCAGAGGGGCTGTGCAAGGGACAGGGAGGTGTGTGCCTTGTGAGCCCTCGGGCTGGGTCCGGGCAGGACCGTGGGGCGAGGTGGGCCCCGGTGAGTACATGTGGGTGTCTGGCCTTCTGCCGCCGCCCCGCCAGCAGGCTGTGTGTGGGGGCTTCCATAACTTTGCTGAGTGGGCTGGGTTTGCTCACACAGGAGGTGCCTGTGTCCAGTGGCAGAAGTGCTTGGGGTTCTCGGTGGCCCCTTCCCTCAGACGGGGCAGAGCTGCCACCCAGGCTCATACCGCAGGGACAGCGCTGGGTTGTGGCCGAGGCCGGTGCCAGCACCTGACCAGGTCGGTGCCAGCCTGGCCAGGCCTAGGCTCCACCGGCTGGGCTGGGGGAGGCTTGTTGGAGAAAGGATGCCAAGGTCACTCCCTGCTCTGTCATTCATTCCTGAGCCAACCCTTCCACAACTGAGCGTAAGGAGGTGTGGCTTCAGCTCTGCCAGGCTGTGGACTCCAGCAGGAGGCTCATTTGCATGGGGTCCGGTTAAGGCCAGATGCCTGGAAACCCAAGTCTACCTTTTTGTAGTCCCTTCTGCCCTGGGCCCTGGCTTTTCCTCTTCTCTCCATTTCCGGGGGGTGGTCAGGGGTCCCTGGGAGGGGCAGCTAGCCTGGGCCAAGTGGGGAGTGGGACCCGGAGGCTCCTGCTTCCAGAGAGGGTCACCCCAAAACTTTGCTCTCTGCAAGGGGCTTCTGGGAGGGGGAGGCCCAGGCCCGGAGGGGAGCACTCTGGAGGCTGGGGGGCTGCAGAGAGGTGGGTGCAGCTGCCACTCTGAGCGGGCATGGGGAGGGGTGGGGGACATTGACCAGCTGCAGTGGGCATGAACATGGTTGGTGCTAATGGCTGCAGGTGACAGTGTGACCAGAGCTGGCAGCCAGAGGTGTCACCGTGGTGGGCAGTGTAGGTTGTGCAGTGGGGGCAGGGCAGCCCTGCCATCCTGGTGGCTCCTAGAGGAGCGAGTGCTGGGGGCCCTGGGAAGGGTGGGGCAGGGGTCCAGGGTGCAGGTACAGATGGGGAAGGTGAGGGGTTCCCAGCGTGCCTGGGAGAGGTTGAGGGGAGGCGGGGGTGAGGGGCCCACCTCGTGCACCTGCTCGGAGGTTGTGGTGCACTGACTTCTCCAGCTTCCTCGCACCCTGGTGTTGGCTGTCCTCTACCCAACCCCTTCTGGAACCCCTTTCCTTCAGGATTCACCCCAGTTCTCCCAGAGGCTGACCCCACAAGCCCCCCGACCCCTGGGCTCATAGGCACCTGCCCCCCTGTCCCCCTGAAGCAGAGCCATCCCCACCTCGCCTTGTGTAGGGCTGTGCCCCTGGTCCTGGGGGCCCCTGGCGAGACCACAGTGCTCGTGAGGGTGGTGCAGGGCCCAGCTCCAGAGATAAGTGGCTGATTTGTGGCCCTGTTGGATGGGGGCTCTGGGTGGGGTCTGGAGGACAGGGCTGAGGCCTCCAGCCATCTGAGGGGGTAGGAAAGTCTTGTCACCCGTCTGACCTGGGGCTCATGTGCCCACTCATCCCAGGGGAAACAGGCCCGCCTGTTGTCATCAGCGCTTGGAGCCAGACGCCTGGGGCTGGGAGCCCGAAAGCCGAGGCACAGAGGGGCTGGTGACTGACCCCAGGCCCGCCTACCCTCCTGCAGCAGACGGGCCTCACTGGGCAGGGACAGCCCCTTTGGGGACAGTCGCCCTCCTCTGAGGTGTGCAGTGGTGGTGGGCAGCCTAGGGTCAGGGTCCCTGAGACAGGGCCAGGGTTGTGTTCTGGGGACCCAGTCTTGGTGGTGAGGGCCTCGTGCAGGGCCTGGAGTGGGTGCAGGGTACCACGTGATGCCCAGCTGGGGTTGGGGGGACTGCAGCCCCTGGGGAGCCACTGGGTTAGGCCCCTGACAGACGGATGGGGACCCTGGGCTGGGCATGTCGATAGGCTCTGGTGGCAGCACCCACAGCTCCGTCCCCAGGCAGAGCCCCCCCCCCCCCTTGCGGCGGGCATGGCTGGGCTTTTCTGAATAAAGCAAGGCTGGGACCTAAGACTGGGGTAGTCGTGTGCCCGATGGGTCGGGGTGGCAGCAGTTTGTCAGGCTCCAGGGAGCTCTGTACTCAGAGGGGCTCCGTGGGCTCCGAGGGTCTCTCGAGTCCAGCCCGCCGGCAGGGCGAGGAGGGTGAGGAGGGCGAGAGGGCAGAGGCAGCCCGCCAGACCTCTGTGTGGGTCTGGACATGAATCCGAGGAAGAGCAGGCTGCAGGCTGGGTGGGGCTGGTCTGGGACAGAGCCATGTGGCGGGGCTGCTGAGGGGCCTTAGGGGTCAGGCGGTTGTGCGGAGGGTCGGTTCCAGGTCCCAGCAGCAGCTCCCTTCCTTGGCCGTGGTCCCGGTCTCTGGTCAGCGGGACAATGCTGGACTGTGTTTCCTCCGTGGTACCCTGTGGCTCAAGCCTGGGAGGTACTGCCTCACTCCCCACTCCCAAGCAGCCCTGCTGGGGTCCTCATCTGTCCCCCACTTGCCCCTCATTCCCCCCTCCCTGGATACTGGTCAGTAAGGCCACCCCCCAGATGGGCAGGGCCAGGGGTCTCCGAGCCTTGGGAGTACCGGGGGCTCTCAGGGTTGGCAGTGAGAAAACAGGGCTGGGGGGGACTGGGGGCTCCCTGATGTTTAAGGAAATTCACTCCAGGTGGCTGGCGTGGCTCAGTGGACTGGTGTCGTCCCGTGGACTGAGAGGTCCCGATTCAGTTCCCGGTGGGAGAACGTGCCCGGAGTTCGGGCTCGATTCCCCGGTGGGGGGCGTGAAGGACACAGCCGACCGATGTTTCTCTCTCACATCGATGTTTCTATCTCTCTCTCCCTTCCTCTCTCTAAGAAATCAATGAAAACAAAAAATTTATAAAATTAATTCCAGCCAATTGTGTAGATTAAAAATTTTTTTTGCCCTGGCCGGTTTGGCTCGGCGGTTGGAGCATCGGCCCGTGGACCAGAGAGTCCTGGGTTAGGTTTCCGCTAGGGGCACATACCAAAAAAAAAGAACTTTTTTTTTGTTTATTGATTTTAGAGAGATGGATAGAAACATCGATGAGCGAGAACATCGATTAGCCACCTCCTGCATGCCCCCCACTGGGGATCAGGCCCACAACCTGGGCACGTGCCCTGACCGGGAATCGAACCGGTGACCTCCCGGTGTGTGGGTCAACGCTAACTCCTGAACCACACTGGCCGGGCAGCCAATGGTATAGATTTGAAGTGAACAGTGTGCAGTTGTCACTCCAGTAACAACATTGAGCCAAGGTGGGGGAATCCCAGCCCCTTTACTCAGTCCCCCGGCCCCACCTTAGGCGGCGGCAGACCCGATTTTCAGCACAGTGAACACATTTCGCCATCCTTGAACTGTGTATAGATGGTGCCGTCCACCATGCCCAGCCCCCACCCCGAGTCAGTGCTGCCTGGCAGCTGAGGGGCTTCTGGGCACAGACTTAGCCCCTGCAGGCACCCAGCCCTCCACCCCATTCCAAGGACATGGCCCACTGCCCGGCCATCTGCCACGCTGAACTGTGTGGCCAGAGGGGCATTGGCAGAGGGCCTGCTGGCACCTACCCCACCGTAGGCCTGGAGGTGGTGGCATCACCAACCGTGCCCCAGGCCAGCCTGAAGAAGACCCAGAGAAGGGGAGCGACAGCAGGAGGGGTTGCAGCCGGGGACAGGTGGAGGCAGGGTGCGTGCCCCAGGTGCGTGGGGGAGAGGGAGGCCTCAGTTGATGGCGGGGCTAGGGTGGGGGACCCTCTCCTGCTCCTGCGTCCACCTGGGCTTCTGCCTGCCTGGGGGGTGGGTATGCATGGGGCTGGGGAGGTGCAGAGTGGGCATCGGTAAGCTTGGAGGGGTCCTGGATCCTCAGCTGCACCATCTTGGCCACTCTGCCCAGGGAGGGACTGGCGCTCCGGCCTGCGGGGACCTCAGCCCCATTAGTCCTGCGTCTGATGTTCTGTGTCTGGGTGTAACGGGCCCATTTTCTCCTGCACTTGGAGGCTGTGATTTTCCTGCCTGAATGTTTTAAAAGCTTCAGACGCAGAAACATTTCAGGATCATGGGATGTCACTGAGCACGTGCACTTGGTGGGTGTGTCTGTGATGGTGGCCCCGAGGGTGTCCACATGGGCAGCCCGGAGGCCCTGGGGGTGACGGCAGCGCCGTGCGTCAGCCACCTGTGAGGCCTGTGGAGCGTTGTCAGGGACGCTGCCCGTGAGGGGCGCCTGTGACCATGTGGCCGTGTCTGCATCACAGGGTGTGTGACGGCCTGGGTGACGGGCAGCGGGGTCTCTCCTCAGGGTGGAGTTGTTTTTTTTTATCCTCACCCGAGGACATTTTTCCATTTTTTGTTCAGATAGAGTGGGAGGGAGAGAGAGAGAGAGAAACATTGACATGAAAGCGACACATCGAGTGGCTGCCACCCGCATGACTAACCAGGACCGGGGACAAACTGCAACCGAGGTACGTGCCCTTAGCGGGAACTGAACCCAGGTCTCTCTGGACCGCAGGCCGCCACTCTAACCGCTGTGCCAAACCGTCCAGGGTGGGTGGAGTGTTAATTAAGGAAATGCGAGTCCACCAGGGCTGGCTGTGGGCCCTGGGTGGCCCTCCGTGCACCTCCCACAGGCCCCAGCAGGCAGCCGACGAATCCCCACCACCTGGAAGGCAGACCACAGGCAGTCTGGGTTTTACTTATTTATTTTAGTACGTTAAAATAATTTTTTTCTTTATTGATTTTAGAGAGAGAAGAAGGGAGAGGGAGGGAGAGAGATAAAAACATCGATGAGACAGAACATTGATTGGCCGCCTCCTGCACGCCCCCTACTGGGGATCAAGCCCACAACCCGGGCATGTGCCCTGACCGGGAATTGAACTGGGACCTCTCAGTCCAGGGGACGACGCTCAATCCCCTGAGCCACACGGGCCGGTGGCAGTTTGTGTTTTAAATAACAGCTCCAGCCCTGGGCGGTTTGGCTCAGCGGTTAGAGCGTCGGCCTGCGGTCCGGAGAGACCCGGGTTCGGTTCCCGCTAAGGGCACGTACCTCGGTTGCAGTTTGTCCCCGGCCCTGGTTGGTCGTGCGGGTGGCAGCCACTCGATGTGTCCCTTTCACGTCAATGTTTCTTTTTCTCTCTTCCTCTGTCTCCTTCCCACTCTGCCTGAACAAAAAATGGAAAAATGTCCTCGGGTGAGGATAAAAAAAAAAAAGTAACAGCTCCAGCACCTCCTCTCTGCTCAGGGACCTTCCCCAAGGGGCAGCCCACCCGCCGTGGCTGGGCCTGGGTCTCAGCCCTGAATTGTGACCCTGTGATACCCAGAGCTGTGACCTGGTGAGGGGCCAGGGGTCAGTGGACCCCAGCGGGTCACAGTGTCCTCTGTCCAGAGAGGGCCTGACACCCAGTGTCCTCCACAGAGAGGCGGCCCGCCCTCCCTGCCCGGGTCCCGCCCCTGCCCAGTGTGGGTCTGTGTGGCGTTATTTCTGGGCACAGTGCCCCAGTGGGGTTCCTTGGAGATCCCACGAGATCCAGAGGCCATGGTGGTGAGGCGCCGTGGGCATCCCGACCGGCATGGGGTGAAGGAGGGGCGCAGCCCGGCAGGCAGGCGGGAGAAGTGAATGTCGCCGCTCACCCTGCCCCGTCTGTGCCCCTGATGCCAGAAGTGGGGCCCCCCAAAGGCAGGCTCAGGGCGCGCTGGGCACTGGTGGCCCGGCCCCACCCCTCCAGGGCCTCGCCTGCGGTCAGCACCACGGACAGCCCCACCCCTGGCTGGTGGGGCCTGCCTCCATCCCACCCTGCAGGTGGGGGGCACAGCCTCCCTACACACACACAGCCTGCCCCACCCTGGGGTTGTGCCCAAACCCAGCTCTGAAGTGTGTGCGTGCCTAGGGTGCTTGTGTTGGGTGTGTGCCAGGCTGTGAGGGACCCGCTGCTGAGTGGGGGTAGGGGGCACAGATGCCAGGTGATAGAGGGTCCTGGATGGCCCCCCGGACTCCTGGCCTCGAGCTGGTCACGGCACCAAGTTTGATCAGGAGACACACTGAGCTGGACACTGTGCAGAGACCTTGCAGGTTCTGATCCTGGCTGTGGCAGGGGCACTTGTCACACATGGTGGCCCTTCTGGGAACCCCCAGGGCTCGGTGGTCAGTGCTGGGGCCGGTCAGCCTCTGCACCAGGGTCCCTCTGACCTGGTACCTAGAAGCACAGGGCCCGGGCACTTCCTGCCCCTGGTTGGTTCCCCCGTTGGCCGCTCCGCTGCCACCCTCCTGCGGGAGGGGCGCAGCCAGGCGCTGTGTCCCCAGAGCAGGGATGGAGGAGCCAGCTGGCCACTGGGCACAGGTTCCCAGGCCCCGCCCTGAGGCAGCATTGTCAGAAAAGGTGTTCATGGATTGTAGACAGTCCTTGTTTTCGGGGCGAGGTGTGGTTTTCCCTGGGCTGACTGGCCCCCCATAGGCGGGTAGACATTCCACGTGGGGCCCTCTTGCTCAGCCTGGACAAGGCCCCGAGGGACCCCAGACACCGCAGGAGGCCTGGGCGAGCGGCACCCCGCACCTGTAATCATGGTCTCCTGCCAGCCAGCGGGGTTAATGCACTGGGTACCCTCGAGGGAGTTCTGGAGACAAGCCCAGCCGCCTTGCCACCCCACCCTGGGCAAGGTGACTCTGGGGGGCAGGGTCTCAGGGCCCACAGGGCCTGCCTGAGTTGTGGGGTCTCTGTCAGGGTCCAGGCTCCAGGCCTGGGGAGCAGGGTGGGGATGTGTGGTCACCTCCTTAGGGCTGGCTGGGCAGGCCGCATTTGTCTGGGAAATGGGGTACGAGTCTGGCTTGGGAGGCTTCTGTGGGGGGGATGTGGGGCTCTTGGTGGCCTTGGGCAAGTAGTACTGTGTCCCTTGGAGTCTGGTGGCCCCGCCTGTCCTGGGTGTGCAGGGTGAGCACTCTGAGGGGTAGGGTGTTGTGCCCGGGACTGCCCTGCGGGCCCACCCATGGGGGCCAAGGCCAGACTGCCAGGAAGCTCCTGGGCCCTGGTGGGGTGCAGGGCCCCACGCCTGTCCATTCCTAGCCTGGCCTTCCCCAGAGCCATCAGCTGTCGGCTGATGTCTGGTCAGCATTTGTGGGGGCTGCCGGCACAGCCTCTGTGTCTTCCTGAGCCGGCCCAGAGCCCAAGGCCTCAGTGTCTGGGGTGGCGGCTGGAGCCACAGCCCTCTGGCCGGCCCTGGTCTCCCCTGCTCCCCAGGCTGGGCGTCCTCGTTAGCAGGCTAGGCCAAGAGCTCTCTCTGGGTCGTCACTGCCTGGCCTCTCCCCCTTCTTCCTTTTATGTTAATTGATTTTTGTAGTAATGAGCAATTGTGAATTCAGTAAGCGCCAGTGGTTGAGGGCGGGGGTGGCGGGGGCGGTGGGGCCGGGGAACGGGCTCTCTATGCTGGCCAGCACTCTGGGGACCCCCGGGGACAGCTGAGGACGCCCAGAGGGCTCACAAGACGGCCGCCACATGGGGCCTGGTGTTGGAAGCCAGATTTCAGGAGGAGCGAGTGTGTAGGGTCCTGCTGGGGTCTCTAAGGGGGTCTCCCTGGGCTGTTCAGATCCGGAGTGGCCTTGGGGTTGGACCCATCACCAAGGCGACAGGGACGGGTGAGGTGCAGGCTGCATTCTGGGGGTGCTTCATGAGGGTGGCGTTCAGGGGATGCCCTGGGACCCCTTCTCCATTATGATAGTGTCTGCAGACCACCTCCCACACCCCAGCATGACCGAGGCGTGGGGTCCTGCAGACCCTGTGGCCATGGGTCGGGGTGTTGGGACAGGACTGGGAGGGTGCACAGCCCCGGGTCAGCAGGTGGGCGAGGGTGCAGGGGGGTTTGCCCTGGACACCCGCTGGCTGCTGCCTAACCGCCCCCCGCCCCCGGCCCAGCTGGGAGGCTGCGGCATCCTGGGCGTGGGCATCTGGCTGGCCGCCACGCAGGGGAACTTCGCCACCTTGTCGTCCTCCTTCCCGTCCCTGTCGGCCGCCAACCTGCTCATCGTCACGGGCACCTTCGTCATGGCCATCGGCTTCGTGGGGTGCATCGGGGCCATCAAGGAGAACACGTGCCTCCTGCTCACCGTGAGTGGGGGCAGGGGGCTCCGGGGTCCCGCACATGGGCGCCGCCTGCGGGTGGTGGGTGTCCGGGGCGGGGGCTGCTGTCAGGGACAGTGCGGAGCTCGTGGGGGCCTCCCTGGACAGGACAGGGACGCGTGTGCACGCATGTCCACCGCCACACCGGTGTGCACGTGCGTGAGGCAGGGCTGCTGCTGCTTCCAGAAACCCCTTTCCTAACTCCCCCCCCGCTCCTGTCCCAGGCCCCCGGCCCTGGGACCCTTTGTTAGACGCTCCCAGCCTGGCCTTGGCCTTGGCGATGGGTTTAAAGGCAGGACGTGTTCATCGTCCTGTCCTCGGGAATGTTGATCCCAGAAGATTCAGAAGGGAGCGGCCCGGCCCTTGGAAGGTGGAGGGCTCCGGGGTTTGGGGTGATCGGGCATGGAGGGTTGGGCAGGGAGGCTGAGGCCCGTGTCCGGCTCCCCCCCCCCGCAGTTCTTTGTGCTGCTGCTGCTGGTGTTCCTGCTGGAGGCCACCATCGCCATCCTCTTCTTTGCCTACACGGACAAGGTACGGCCCCTCTGCCCACCCAGCTCCGGGTGGGGGGGCTCCATGCCAGTGGGGGCCACAGCAGGGTTGGTGTGCCCGCAAACGCTGGCTGTCTGCGGCCCCTTCGTCCGACCCCGGGCCCTCCCGGCAGGTTTGTGGCCTGCTCAGGGGAGCTCCGGGCTCCTGCTGCCCTGCGCTGTGTGCAGTCGACTGGGAGAGACTCCCACCTCCCGGTGTTTGTTCAGTTGTTCGTTTGTTCACTGACGTCAGTAAGGGCTCGTTTACTCGTTTGGCCCTGGGGTTATAACCCGAGACTGTGCTATTTCTTGCTCGTCTACTTTGCTGCGGGGGCTCTCTGGGCTGGCTCCTGGCTTCTAGGCATGCCTTCCATGCACTTTTTTGGGGAACACTTTTTGTTTTCTGGCACCAGAAGATGCCCCAGGCCCGTCCTGGGCATTCCCTGCCTAGCAGGGACCGGCCATTTCTCCCAGGAGCCCTGGTCCTTTCCCGGGGGAGGGAAGGTCTCAGGGAGCGAGCTGAGGGTGCTCGGTGCTCCTTGCGCTGGGGTGTGGGAGCCGCAAGGCCCTGGCGAGAGCGCGGCCGTGCCGGAGCGGGTGTGCGGACAGCCTGGGGCACCTGTCCTCAGTGTCTGTGCGCTGGCCGAGTCCCTGCAGCTGTGACTGACCCAGTGCCCAGACCACAGGGCCAGGCGGATGGCGAGGCAGAGGCCTGGGTCTCCAGGGGAGGGAACAGGGCAGGCATGGGGATCTGCACGGGAGGCCTGGCCGGCCGGGGGGCCCTGCTGACCCACTGCACCTGCAGATCGACAGGTATGCACAGCAAGATCTGAAGAAGGGTCTGCACCTGTACGGCACCCCTGGCAACGTGGGCCTCACCAACGCCTGGAGCATCATCCAGACCGATGTGAGGAGGGGCAGGAGGGGTGGGGCGCGGCCAGGCCTGTGGGCAGAGGGCGTGGTGCGTGCCCCCAGCCAGGTCCTAGCCGGTTGCTCCCACAGTTCCGCTGCTGTGGCGTCTCCAACTACACGGACTGGTTCGAAGTCTACAACGCCACACGTGTGCCCGACTCCTGCTGCCTGGAGTTTAGCGAGAGCTGCGGGCTGCACGCACCTGGCACCTGGTGGAAGGCGGTGAGCCCGCGCCTGACCCGCCCGCCCGCCCGCTGGGCCCCGGGCCTGGGGGTGGAGGGTCAGCCTTGCCTGCCTGCCGGGGTGGATGCCGGCCCATGACACCCGCGGGCTCTTCCTGCAGCCGTGTTACGAGACGGTGAAGGTGTGGCTCCAGGAGAACCTGCTGGCCGTGGGCATCTTCGGGCTGTGCACGGCGCTGGTGCAGGTATGCGGGCGGGGCGGGGCCGCCCTGCCAGGGATAGACGGGCTGCCCTGGGCTCCGGAGCGAAGCCTCCGCTTCTAGTGGTCGGGGCACAGCCTGGACACCTCAGCCCAGGGCAGCCCAGCCGGTGGTGGGTGGTGGTCACAGGACTGCCCAGTGGAGAGTGAGGGTGGGCAGCCCCGCGCTGACTGGCAGGTCCAGCTGGGGGGGCCTCTGCTCCCCTGGCCCCCATGGAGTCCTGAGCATCAGGAGCTGAGCTGAGTCAGTAAACTTGGTCACTGGGGCAGCCACCGTTCCTGGGGTTCGTAGACAAGTGGGGGTGGGAGCAGAGCAGGTGGGCATGCAGCAGTGGATGAATGGGCAAGGGGCAGGGTGCTGGGCCCCTGGCAAGTGCGGGGGGGGGGGGGGGCTGTGGCCCAAGGCCAGGCCATGCCCAGGGGAGGTGGGTCTGGGGCTGAGCCCTAGGAGTCCCCGAGGTGCCCCATGTGGTGGGCAGGCCCTGCCCCGAGGCAGAGGGGGTATGGCTGCCATGGACCTGAATTGCCAAGGATGGGGAGCCACCCCCAGAGAAGGTGTCGGCCCTGGGGTGGGGTCCAGGGGTGTCTGCAGGCAGGATGCTCTGGGTTCGTGGCTCGGTGGAGCGGTCTGCCCAGCCCCTTCGTGTCCCTGCAGATCCTGGGCCTGACCTTCGCCATGACCATGTACTGCCAGGTGGTGAAGGCCGACACCTACTGTTCCTAGCCCGCCCGCTCCTGCCGCTGTGCTTCCTGCCAGCAGAGGCCGCCCTTGGGGAGCCTGGTCCCACTGCAGCCTCTGCGCCTGGCCTGGGGGGCGGGGGGCAGAGCCCAGGACCCGGCCAGGCTGCTGAGCTCCCTGGTAGAGGGCCGCTGAGCGCTGGCCACGCGGGGGCGGGGGGGCTTCTGACGCCCTTTAATTCTCACCCTTGTGTCCTCCAGAGCAGCGCTTTCCCGAGACCCCGTGCAGGGCAGGGGTTGGCCACACGGGCTGGGTGGGGTGAGGGACCCCCCTCTGGCCCTGGTGCTTGGGCGGGGCTGGAGCCGTCGTCCACATTCCACAGGGGCCAGGGCTCGCTCTGGTGCATCTAATAAAGTGTGTGGGCAGTAGCCCGTGTTGGTTCCTGCCCCGACCCCACGGGGGTCTCACGCGTGGGCCCACGCGCGGCCATGGGCTCCTCCCCAGTGGGGCTGGTGCCTGGAGGGAGGTTCCAGGACCCAGGCCGGACAGAGGGGCGTGTTCACTTCAGTACAGCTGCAAACACTCCATTAAGTCAGCTCCAAGAGCCCTGCCGGCCTGGGTCAGTGGTTAGAGCATCAGCCCAAAGACCAAAGGGTCTTGGGTTCGAGTCCCAGCCAAGGGCACGTACCTAGGTTGCAGGTTCGATCCCCAGTCCCAGTTGTGGTTGTGTGGGAGGCAACCCATCAATATTTCTGTCTTCCTCTCCCTCCTGCCCTCCTTTCCACTGTCTCAAAATCAACGGAAATCCTCTGGAGGACTGAGGATTCTCACGCACACGTGCGTGCACACACATGTGCACACACACGAGCATGCACATGAGAACATGCACACATGTGCACACACATGAGAATGCACACACACAAACATGCATGTGCGCGCACACACAGGCGCACACTCGCTCCACCAAGTGGCACAGAGGCTCCAGGAACCACTGTCTCCCTGCTCAGCCCACGTGTCTCCATCCCTCCCCTCCCCGTGCCCCCTCCCCTGACACGGGGTGTCCTCTGCAAGTGGGTTCAGCTCCTTGCTCCCAGCTACCTGAGCCTGTCCTGGGAGCTGCGCCCTGAGAGTCACTCCCAGTGACTGCAGGCGGAGTGGGCTGTGGAGCCGCCGCCAGGGGAGCCCGCTCTCGGAGGCCAGGCGTCGTGCGCACAGGGCTGCGCGGTGAGGGCCTCGAGCTGTGGGGCGTTCGACGCCCCCAGACCCCAGTCATCACCCCACTTCCAGCCTCATTCCTGCCTGCTCCGTGGTCCTGTCGCTGTTCTCGCGGGGCAGGCCCACCTGGGGATGCCGGGCGAGCGTGAAGGCCCTGCCCCAGTTCCGCCGAGCCCCATGCCCTCCTCCCTTCGTGGGAGTCGGCACGCCGGGCGCAGAGGACCGGAAGTGAGAGCAGGCACACTCCCAGCAAAGCTGCCTCCATTCAGCACCACCTGCACCCAGTGCCCTGTGCCCACCCCCAGGAGCGTCTCAGCTTCCTGGGGGACCCTGACCTCTCCCCACTGGTTTGCTCGCCTGTGTGGCCTTGCAGACACGGACCTGTCACTCACAGCCTCCTTCGTGGCCCTGCAGACGCCGTGTCCAGCCCTGACCCGATCCTCCGTGGCCCTGAGCTGACCAGGGTCCCCTGGGACACAGGCCCGTCCTCCAGCGCAGGTCCCAGCTGCGGCGGCCGGCGCCTCCGCGTAGTTCCCAGCTCCTCTTTCTCCCCATGTGGGGTCCCTGGGGGTCTGGCCCCAAGACACAGCTCCCCACCCCTGCGCTGGTCCCCGTCTTCCAAATCCCAAGCCAAGGAGCCTCCCCCACACACCCAGCACCCCGAATCCCACTTTGGCCCCCACTCCTGTAGACTTACAAGTGCACCAGACCCAGTGCCCCCCCCCCCCCCCCCGCGAGGCCTGAGCGCCGGGCTGGCCCTGCCCACAGCCAGGGTGCTGGCGTGCAGCCAAGGGCCAGGGGACAAGCTGGCTCGGGGAGCGGTGTGCTGTGCCGGTCAGCGCCCCCCCCCCCCCCCCGAGACAGGCGCACACCCACCCACAGCGGCTGGCATGGACTTCCCACACATGGAGAGCGGGGTCCTTTCCCAGGGCAGGTCCCTCAGCGGCTTCATGGAGGGGATGGGGGCCCAGCCAGACCTTGAACCCAAGGGCACTGACCCCCTTTCATGCCCACAGTGACAGAGGGGAACACGGCCCCAGCCCCTTGGCTCCTCACAATCCAAGTGTTTCATCCTGGGAGCGCGGCTGCGCCCCTGGGAGCCAGAACTGGCCAGTGTGCTGTCGTTCCAGTGACCAGAGCCCAAGGGCTCCGGGGGTCCTGTTGCCGCTGCGGAGTCCAGGGCCCAGGTCCTCTGGGGCAGGTCGTGGCTCCAAGCCACTTTCTGCAGGCCACACCCTTGCCATGGACGCGGTGGGCCGCTGGCAGCCTGGCAGGCTCTCCTGCGGACACTGCTGAGGAGGGAGGTCCCAGGACCAGTCTGTCCCCACCCAAGGACGGCACCAGACAAGGCCAGGAAGACAGAAAAGTCTGTATTTCACACGCCACGAGCCACTCCGCCGTGGAACCACGTCCGCCGTGGAGCTGGGCCTAGAGCAGGTCGTAGAAGTAGTCCAGGCCCTGGCCCAGCTCCCAGATGGACAGCCCGACGCCCAGCTCCCTGGCCAGCTCCAGCCGCACCTGCACAGACTGCGGGCAGAGAGAAGCGGCCTCAGCCTCTCGGCCCCAGGGCAGCCCAGCGGCCCCGCCCCCTGAGACCACCCAGCCTGAGCCCCTTGGCTCCAGAGGTAAAGTCAGCCTGGCTGAGGGAGGGGTTGCTGGGGAGGGCTGGGTCCACACGCACCTTCAGCGTCGGGTAGAAGATGATGTGCCTCCCACCTCGGCTTCTGCAAAAGACAGTGGGACGCCTGCCTCCTGCCCTGGTTCTCCCTCCCACCTCCCCGGCCCGGGTCTGACTTCTGGGCCAGGCCCTACCTGTCCCTCCCACCTCCCCGGCCCAGGTCTGACTTCTGGGCCAGGCCAGGTGGGGCCAGACCCTCCGCCCAGGGCCTCGGCCTCACTCACTTCTTATACTGGAAAAAGTGCTCCGCGGCCCGGCTGTCCCACACGATCCGTGGCCGGTGCTCCTTCAGCGTCTGGATGTACCTGGGGAGGCCGGGGCGTGGGTGTGAGCACCCTCCCATGCCGGCCTGCACCCAGCCACCGGGAGGCCTCGCCCAGGACAACTGAGCACTGGACGGGGTGCAGTGGCTGTCCCAGCAGGGCAGGGCCGCCCAGAGGAAGAGGGCAGTGGGGACCCGGGGAAGGAGACAAGAGGAGCCCAGCCCTTCCAGAATGTAATGCCAGAGGCTCACAGGGCTCGGGCCACGTGGTGGGGGGCTCACAGGTTTGTGGCCGTGCCCATTACCCTGCTCTGTGCGCCTGTGTCTGCAGAGTGAATCACTATCAATCAGCGATGTCCCTAGGTGCACCTGGATGGGGGGACGTCCCTCCTGACCCCCCACAGCCCTGCACACGCTCCACGCAGACCCCTCATTCTGGTCAGAGGTGCAGACCCCAGGGAAGGCGCTGGGGTGGGCCAGCCGTGCCGTAGGGCAGATTTGTCATGATGGAGCTGGTCACAAGGGACCCTCACAGGAGCAGCAGGTGGGGCTGGGTCAGGGGTGTGCAGAGGGGAGCCCTCCCTGGGCCCCAGGGCTCCCCACACAGCGAGCACCAGGACCCACCAGATCTGGAGGACGACCTCCCTCCACGGTGCAGGGCACGGCCCAGCCTTGGGCGCAGAGAGGAAGGGGCTGGGGAGGGTCTAAGCCAGGCAGGGAGAGCCCCTCAGGTCTACCCTCACCCACCCTGGTCCACCTCTGGGGCCACCACCCAACCACGCGCCCTAGACGCAGATGGGACCCTGGCCTGTTCTGACGGCCCGGACCTCACTGCCTGCCTGCCACAGCCTGCTCTCGGGGGCCCTCAGACCCTCTGCAGGCCGGAGTGGGCGCCGGCCCCCTTGCCCTTGGACAGGAGAGTGCAGCCTCGTCAGCACTGCCGGGCTCGGGCTCGGTTATTTATTCTGGCCCCAAGGGAGGCACTGCTGGGCCGGAAGCATCTGCTCCTGCCCAGGCGAGGCTGGGGTGCAGCCCTGGGAGGGCAGCTGGTCCCTGACATGCAGCTCGGCCACCCCTGGGCCCCGCGACCCACCCTCCACCCAGCTGCTTCCCTCAGACCCACTGAAGCCGGTGCCCCTCGGCCCCCTCCCTGTCAGTGGGGGCACATGTGGGAGGGGACAGGACACAGCCTCTGTCACTGGCTGGGGGCCAGCCAGAACCCTCAAGCACCTGAGGGGCTCTGGGGCCCCCTCTACACACACGTGCAGATGCCCCCGGGGTCAGAGCTCCTTCCCACGGCCCCTGGTCCGAGCCCGGAACGGCTGGGCTGGTGCATGGGGCCGTGTGGTGCCCTCAGTCCTCTGCCCACACGAGCGGGCGGGACCCCCACAGCTCCACAGTGAGCACGGCTGCTGGGCCCGTGGCTGGAGAGCGGGTTCCGGCCCCTCGCCCTCAGCTGGTGCTAGAGATGGACTGTCCCCGATCCCCGCGCCAGAGTCAGGCCCGCAGACTGACTGGCGTGACCAAAGTAACCGTGAGGCCACTAGGGTGGGTCCTCGGCCGATGTGACAAGTCCTTAGAAGCAGAGCTCTGGACGCAGACACACAGAGGAAGGACGCTGCGGGGACATGGAGAGGACGGCCGTGCACATGCCAAGGAGAGGGGCGGGGAGGAGCCAGCCCTGAGACACCTGGGCCCGGACCTCCAGCCTCCAGGGCGGGACAGTAAAGGCCTGTGGTTCCAGCACCATTGGTGGTGTTTGTGCAGTGGCCTGAGCTAAGACGGTGGTCCCTCAAGGCCAACACCCCTGCAGGCCTTGTGGGGACAGAGCCGGAATGGGGGGAGGGGACCTTCCGGAAGAGCTGGGGTGGGGGAGGGGCCGTGCACAGGAGCAGAGCAGCCGACCAGAAGGTGGACAGTACACACAGGGCTCTGAGCAGAGATCCCCAAGAACAGAGCCGCAGAGCACCCAGACCGGTCTCTGGATGCTTCACTGACAGCACCCAGTCGTGAGAAAAGTGTGGCTCACATGGCTCCCAGGGAACGGACGGTCACCTGGAACCCAGGCTCGGCACCTCCCGTGCAGCAAAACGCACACTGGCGCCTGACCCAGAGCGCAGGCCTGCAGAGCGCCGTGGCCGGACCCCGGGAAGGAGCCACGGCTGACGGGACCCAGAGCGACCGACGCGTGCAGAGTTCACCGGTGACAAGAGAAGGAAAGACCCAAACCAGCCCCGGGGCCCATGGTGGACGGGACGTGGCAGGAAACGGTCACTGACCGTGAAGACGCAACAGAACCCGGAAGGGGCATGGAGGGAGAGGGGTCCCAGGAAGCGCTGTGCGCCAGGGGCCTGGGACAACCCACTGAGCTGACAGTACACCTGAGGGCCTGAAGGCGAGAGGGACAGGGAGCTACCTGAGGAACTGGCCAAAACCTCTGCAAATCTGACAGAATGTAAACTCCCACAGAGCCAAGTGCAGGAAGAAGACCCCACGCAGGCCCCTTCCAGGCCACATGGCAGGAGCTGGGCAGCCCGCACAGGGCAGGGCTCCGCCCCACCCACCCCATGGACACGCAGCAGGAGCTGACATGGTGACAGCTCAGGAGGACTGGGGACGTCGACCACCGAGTTCCAGACCCAGCAGCCAGATCTTCCCCAAAAGAAGCAGAACAAAGCTGAACAGAATTCAACACCGACAGAGCCTCACAGCCTCACAGAGAGAAACAAACAGGACAGAGACAGAGCCTCCAGAGGGAGCTTGGGGTCCCACCCGCGCCAGCCCCATGTGCCATCTGCAGTGAAGGTTGCCCACCCGCCTGCTGACGGGGGGCACCAGGGGTGTCCCAGCTTGGGCGGTGCCGGCCTGGCCCCCCACCCCGAGGATCAGTGGTCAGACCCTGCCAGGGCTTCTCCCCTGCCCTGCCCATCACCCCCGGGAGACATGCCGACTGATGGAGGAGGGCCTGGGGCACCGCTCACCTGGTCCCGATGACGGGCTCTCGGGCGTCCCTGGAGGCCGAGTAGTCCATGCCGTAGAAGTTGAGCCCCAGGAGGATCTTGCTCCGCCACTTGGACTTGGGGTCCAGGAGCTGGACACAGGCCCGCACCCAGGACAGCGGCGCATTGGGGCCAGGCCTGCAAGGCGAGGGAGGAGGGGTTTCCGTGGCAGGCAGAGGCCCGGCCATCCACTGTGGGCCTCCAAGCTGGGCAGTGGTCTGCGCACAGCGGGGAGGAGGGCGCAGCCTCCCTGCTGGACATGCTGCCCGAGCCTCTTCGCCTGGGCCACCAGGGGCGGAGCCCACAGCTCAGGTTGAGGCCGAGGTGGACAGGCAGCAGCAGGCAGTGGTGTGACACTGTCTCCTTGGCAACGTGGCGGGCCCAGTGTCAGTGGCCACCACGCCCTGGAGGTGCGGCTGGACACCCTGGGGGGTATTCCCATGGGGGCTGTCCGCTGCCATCTGTCACATGACCCCAAGATAAAAAGGCTGCCAAATGCAGGGCCAACTTGGGCTTCGGAGCACAGGCCGGCCCTCTGCATCCCTGGACCCGGCAGCCGCCAGCAGTGTGGTCCAGGTCAGGCCAGCGACTGTGCCCCAAGCCAGAGCTCACGGGCCCGGCGCCCACTCACTGCTGTGCGGTGGGGTAGTCGTAGGTCATGAGGCTGAATCCATCCAGCACGGGGCCCAGCTGCTCCAGCTCCTTGTGTGTGAACATGCCCAGCTGGTCCGTCCTGCAGGCGACAAGCACAGCCTGCTGGCCCCCAGCCGGCCCCCAGCCCACACCTGGGCCCTACGAAGACAGAGCGGCTGGTTGTCGGGCCTCCCAGCCCTGCCCCCCTCCCCTCCACTCCGGGACCCCAGCTCACTCCCTGGAAAACCCAGTGCTCGGTTACGGTTACGAGGGACAGCCTGCAGCTTGGTCCGGGCCACACGCCAGGAGCAGGGTAGGCTGTGAGGTCCGCTGGGTCACCTCTAGGGCCTTGTCCACCCCCAAGACCCCCAACCAGTGACAGACGGGAAGCCGGCCCACACCTGCTCCCCACATGCCCTGTCACCCAGGCCCCCCCACCAGCTGTCACCTGCCTCCCTAGCCCTCTGCTCAGCATGAGCCCACCTGCCGCACAGAGAGATCTACGAGGACTGTTGGCCTGCAGGCCCCTCGGCTCCAGCCTGGCCTCTAACTCGCTGCACACACTGCCACCCGCAAGCTGGCCCACACCCACAGGTGGCTCGTGCCCCTGCCCCTCACCAGCCCCAGGGGAGTGAGAATGGGCTTCTGTGCAGAGGGACAACCCAGAAAGACCTTCCTGACCATGGGGTGCCCGCCTGCCAAGAACCACAGGAAGCCCAGGGGTGGCAGAGGGAACCGGGAGAGGGAGCCGCCCACATCGAGATGGACCTCCACTCTGAGGACGCCTGACACGGCACTGGCAGCAGGGGTGGCCGTGGGCTGGGCTGGGCAGGTCCTGTGCCGGGGGTCAGCCCCCAGGGACCCAGGAGCTGCAGCGCAGGCTGGGCTCTGATCGAACCAGCTCCCTGCTGCGGGCTGGCGTCTCCAGCGCTGCGTGAAACTGAGCAAACCCTCTGTGTGCACGGGGGTGGGGTGGGGCAGTGGTGGCTCCAGGGAGCGGCTGTGACCTTGGGAGCGGGCTCAAGGTCAGCACTGTTGGGAGGGCCCCAGACACAGCACAGCAGACTGGCCCCGTCCCCGCAGGCACCTCTGCACTCAGACCCTCCCAGAGCAGACTGTGAGGTGGACCCAGCTCCAGCTTCAGATGCGATGCAGCAATCAGGAGCCGCTCCCAGGGCACTGCTCACCTGGCCGCCCAGAGGCATGCTGCCAGCACGCACCTGGCTGCCGGGAGGGGGGTGGGGGTGGGGGGTTTGGTCCCCGGTCCCTCCCTCTGGTACCCCCAGGCCACCCCCCCAGCTCACACATCCACTTACTGCCTAGGTACCAAGAACTGGTCAGAGAGGGTGCCAGGGAAAGGGCCCTCCAAGCCCAAAGGTCGGTCCCTCCAGGGGTGCCCACCCAGTCCCCCTCTGCACACCCCGTAAGTCTGCTCTCTGCCCCAGCCAGAAGCAGTGAGGCTGCAGGTAAGCGAACAGCCCACCCGGGGAGGGGCTGCAGGCAGGGTCCCAGCTCTGAGCACAGCTCGGGCAGACCCCCAGCCTGAGGAGCTGCCCCGAAACCATCCGAGAGAGTGGAGACACAGGGGACAGGCGCTGGGGTCTGCAGCCAAGCCCGCGCCATGACTCAGGGTGTCTGCCGCCCAGCTGCCCCGCCCAGCTGCCCCGAGCAGCGGTTCCTCTTCCCTTCCCGGCCTGGCCCCGACCCCGGAAGCCACAGGACCCCAGGCCTAGATGGAGCCCCAGCTGCCAACCTCATCACACGTGTGTGCTATATACATGAACATACATGTAGTCGTGTGGAGGCAGCACACGGGGCCCAGCTGTGCTTGTTCCAGGCGAGCACCACCGGCCCCCTCCGGGAGGGTGCGGGCTGTGGACACAGGTCTGAAATCCGCCTGCGGAGTGCCCAGCCCCACTGCAGCCGCCCACCAAACGGGGACCTGGAAGTGTGGGGAGAGGAGCCAGGCAGGGGCCACTGTCCAGGCTGTGCAAAGGGCCCCAGGCCTCCGGTGACCAGCGGTGGGCACTGTGGGGCATGAGCACTAAGTGCAGGCAGCAGCCAGGCACGCTGTCCCCAGAGAACATGCCTGCTGTGAGGGCACTGTCTCAGATGCCTGCAGGCTCCTCGAGTCTCCACTGGGTCTCCGTGGACGTCAGCAGCCCAAGGTGCATCTAACCTGGTGCCCTCGGGAGCGCCAGGCCAGGCAGAGCCCCCAGTCAGTCCTGCCTGGGCCTCTGTGGCCCCTCTACCCGGCTGCCCTTGGCCTCGATGTCGTGCCTTGGTCAGGGTGGACATAACTGCTCTGCCTGGACCCTCCACTACCCCATCCGCTTCCGGAACAGCAGTCTGGAACTGGGGCACAGGAGCCCCAACACAGCCCTGAGCTCCCGAGGGCCCAGGAGCTCCAGGGCCTCACCAGGGAGTGAACGGAAGTGCGCCTGAGGCTTCCTTCCTCAAACCGAGACTCAACATGTCTGCACATGTGTCGGCAGGGACTCAGCCTTGGTCTCAACTGCTGACTTGGTCCCCAGGCCGTTTCCACACCTGTGTGGGCAGCAGCCACAGCATCGACCTGGGAGGGCCCCCAGCCCCGAGTGAGTGCAGCACTTACCCAGGGGTGACGGACGGTGGGATGACCAGAATGAGCAGCAGCCGGGCCTGGTGCAGCGCCTCGGCCATGTGGGTGAGCATGTGGACGAGGCCCCTGAGGAGACGTGCGAGGTCAGACCAGGAGACACCACCGAGACCAGGATCTGTGGGCTGGGCAGGGCCCCTCGCGGCTCTTCCTGCCCTGGAGGCACAGGGGCCCCAGCCCCGCAGGCACGGGCCGTGTGCTCCTCCCGGCGGCCCGGGCACCCTCGCAGCCTCCTGGGGTCGGCGAGGGCTGCCTGGAACCCAGGCTGCAGCAGCACAGCTCTCGCAGGCTCCATCCCTCCCCCAGTGGGCCCAGGGCTACCAGGGCTACCAGGGCGGCAGCGGACGGGAGCCTTTCAGAAGCACCTGCTGGCATGGGGTCCGCCCCCTGTGCCCACCCCACTCGGGGCAGAGGGGCCTGCCTGCTACACCTGCTCCTGGTACTTCTGCCTCTGAGCCTCAGGTAGGGGTCCCATCCCCCCTGCCCCTGGAAGACGGGGCCTTGTGGGCTCTGCTTTCAAGTGGGCAGAGGCCAGCCTACAGCTTCAGAACAGAGGGGACAGTGGGGCTCTGAGGATGACGCCCGGAGCCCCAGCCCGGTGCCCTCCTGGGGAGGGAGGCGAGGGGAGCAGGGTTCAGGCCGGGTAGATCCCTGCAGGCAGAAAGGAAGGGCAGCCTCGGTGGGGTGCTCAGCTTAGAGCTGCTCGACAGGCCAAGGTTGTGGGTTTGGTTCCTCTCAGTGCACATGCAAGAACCAACCAATGATCTACAGACGAGTGAAATGACAGACCAATGTTCTTCTTTCTCTAAAAAGCCAGTAAGTTAAAAACAAGTAAACAGTAAGAGGGAGAGGACAGCCAGGTCCAGAACTGGCTGCTGCTGGCTGAGGGCCTACGGGCTGCACCCCTCTGTGGAGCTGCGTTCCGATGCCCAGGCAGGGGCTTGGTCCCTCCTGTCCTCTGTGGGGCTGGCCCCATGTCCCCACGGGCCAGGGTGACTCTCCTCCACTCCTGCCTTGCCGGTCACTCTGGCCCAGGGGAGCATGGCCTGAGATCCTCACGGGACGGGTGGCCTGGGCAGCTGACTCCCTTCCCAGAGGACCCAAGGCTGTCCAACCGAAGGCCCTGGCCAGCCTCTCCTCTCGTCCCCAGACAGGCTCCACCTGCTCAGCAGCACCCCCTGCTGGTGAGCAAGCTGACTTCTGGCAGCGCTGGGGGTCCTCTGGAGTCTCCTCCCCCTTCACCATCAGAGAGCAGGTGGCAGGGCTCCTCCCTAGTGGGCTCTTCCCGACCCTCCCTCCCTCCCTCCCTCCGCAGTCTCCACCAGGACCCCTGGGGCCACTCACACATGCTTCTGGCTCAGCAGCTGGCTCCAGACCTCCACCACGAAGCCGTCCAAGTGCTGGCTCTGGAAGGACCGGGCAGTGAGGACAGTGACCAGGAGGGGAGGAGGGCAGGCGACGTGGAGCAGGTACCTGCGCCCACCCAGCAAGGTCACGCCCGAGGCTAGTGCCTCTCTGAGGGGCAGTGGGGGTCCCCTCAGAGCCCAGGGCTCTCTTGTGTGCTGTCCAATCATGTCCTCTTCACCCCCACCCCTGCAGGTCCGAGGGGCATCCCACCCATGAGGCCCAGCACTGGACCGCTGGGCAAGGCCCTAGGGAAGGCCCCGCCCTGAGGACCTCTGGAGAGAGGCGGCCCGTGGAGCAGGCCTCACCTTAGCGACCTGGACCATGGTCTTGCTGAGCTCCTCTATCTCGTCCTCACTGTCCCAGACGCTCCGGAAGTCCTCAGGGGTCCAGTCCTCAAATAGGAGCCGCGGCACTGGGGGGACAGGCCCACACACGCACGGTGACCCTCCTGCACTTGGCTCCACCAGGGTGGCCGTGGGCCTCCGGAGTAGAGTGACCACAGAGCCGGGCACCCAGCGCTCATCCCAGCAGCTCATGGCCTGGCGAGGGGGGTTTGGGGAAGGGTGGAGACGATGACACCTGTGTCCTCACACCCTGGTCCTGGCTGCCCAGACATGCCCTCCCGGCTCCTGCTAAACCACCTTCCGCCCATGGTGCCCCTTTATGGCCAAACGCAGCCTCTTCCAGGAACCCCTGTGGCTCCCTGCTCCCAGCCTGCCACCTGCTCCCAGCCCCCACGAACCCCACTGTGCTTAGGGACACTGTCCCTCCCTGCCAGCTGTGAGCTCCGGGACGGGGCTGGGCAGGGTTGGCCTCAGGGCTGCTCTGCCCCCACCCCCTGCACTCACCTATACGCAGGCCTTTGGACTGCTTCCTGACAGCTCGCATCCACCCTGCAGGCATGAAAAGGACAGTCAATTCGGGTACACAGCCCCCAGCGGCCCCAAGAAGTGTGTTCAGCCGCACAATGGGGGAGCGAAGGGGAGGCTGAGGGAGAGAACGCGGGGCCTTTCTCCCCTGCAGAGCAGCCTGGGCCGGGCAGCTCAGACCCTGGGGCTGCTACTTGGAGCTGAGGGGTGTCTGGAGGGCCACGCCCCAATGCTGACCCCCGGATTCAGGGAGCTGCTCTGGGTCTTGAGTCTCTATAGCTGGCTGACACGTGTCCTCTATGAAAACGGAGTGGGGACAGCCACGTAAACTCGGGCGCAGTCCCACAAATGCGCTGTCAGGACACTGGGCCCTCGCTCCTCCCCGACCTGCCTCATCCAGTTCTGTGACGGCCACGCGGGGAGTGAGTCCGACAGCACCCGGGAGGCCGAGTGCGTCCTCAGGGACTGTCAGCTCCTGGGGAGGTCTCTCCCTGCCGTCTCCTGGTCAGCGGCGCCGGGACGGCCCAGCTCAGTCCCTGGCTGAACAGAGAGGGCCGCTCTGCCTGGGGCTCTGCCTGAGGAGGGCGACGCTGACGGCACCTCCCGGCTCCTTTCAGACTCGGTTTCAGAGCAGCTGACCCGCCTCCCAGACACCCCTCCTGGACCTCATGGGGAACCACCAAGGGGGATGGGGTGCAGGCCAATCCCGTCAGTCCTCACACTCACACACTCAGACACCCCCACACTCACACTCCCACAGACTCAGTCATACTGAGACTCCCACTCTGACTCCCACTCACACACACTCAGTTGCACACACTCAGATTCCCATACACTCCCACACATACGCACTCACACACATACTGAGACTCACACACAGACACACCCCCTCATACAGACTCCCATACACTCAGACACACACACTCAGACACACACACACACTCAGACTCCCATACACTCCCACACACATACTGAGACTCACACACAGACACACCCCCTCATACAGGCTCCCATACACTCAGACACATACACGCAGACTCACACACTGAGACTCCCACACAGACACACACCCTCATACAGACTCCCATACACTCACACACATACTCATACAGACTCCCACTCACTCAGACTTCCACACACACACACACACACAGACTCACACACATACTGAGACTCGCACATACACTCATACAGACTCCCACACTCACACACATTCTCAGGCTCACGCTCACACTATGAAACACGCCCGCTCTCTCTCACACCCCCACTGGGCCCGGGAATGAGCAGACGAGCAGCACGTGAGAACCTTGGTCCACGTCGTGGAGGCCTGTGACCTCGAACATCTCGCGGCCACGCCTCTTCAGCTGCAGCCACACGGGCGAGATCTGCGTGAACTTGCCCCCGAAGACTTTGGCGATGTCATAACCATGGCTGTTCCACTGGCAGAGGACAGAGGGCTCAGGAGCTGCCTGTGGACCAGGCGCCGCAGGCCCAGCCAGGTGCACAGCCCCCGAGGACCCATGCGACTCCCGCTGCCCCCACGGCAACAGTGGCCTGGGGAGACGACAGAGGGGACCCCAGCCACCACCCTGCCCTTGGGACAACCCGTCCACACCAGGGCCCAGCTTACCGGAGTGACGTAGCCCAGGACGTCGCCAGCAAAGTTCCTTTCCCGGGCCTTTGCCGAGCAGTAGCTGCGATGCTCAAGAACCACATCCTCAGCTCTGGGGTCCGTCACCACCAGACCTCGGTCTTGGACGGGCTTCTCTGAAAACTGCGTCTGGGACGAAAGGAGCAGGGAGGTGCCGTCAGCGTCCGCCCTCCTCAGGCAGGAGAGCCCCGGGCAGAGCGGCCCTCTCCATTCAGCCAGGGACTGTGCTGGGCCGTCTCGGTGCCACTGACCAGGACACGGCAGGCAGAGGCCTCCCCGGGAGCTGACAGTCCCCGAGGACGAGGATGCGCTCGGCCTCCCGGGCATGCTGTCTGGCTCACTGACCTCAGGAGGGATGCTGGTGCTGACACAGGTCAGGGGACTGGCCCGGGGGCAGGCACACCCTCAGTTCCAGTGCCGGAGGCCGAGACCATCAGCCAGAGCGCGGGGCCAGGCCCCCCAGCCACGTGGGCAGGAGCCCCAGAGGAAGAGGCACAATGGGCCAGGCCCCACCCTTACCTTCTCCAGCAGTGTCTTGGAGGCGGCCTTTTTGGCATCTGACTTTGACAGGGTGGTGTGGACAGAGCCACAGGCCAGAGCAAGCCAGAGCACACGGAAGAGCGCCGTCATGGCAGGCATGTCACAGGGTCCGACCTCAGGGTCCAGGCGGCTGCAGAGAGAGCAGAGCATGTGGAGACCACCAGCAGTGTGGGGCATCCCTTCTACTGACCCGGGTCCTTGACACTGGGCTGGGCATCGTTGGCCCCAGGACACAGCCCTGCCCTGGACCAGCCCCAGTGGCTGGAGTCCGGCTTCCAGCACTGCTGGGCCCTGGCTTCCCTCACAACCAGAGGGTCTTCCCTGCTTCCGGGCCACACTGACCGCTGCCAGCCATCTAGGAGAATGTTGGCTCTTCCTCCCCATCAACCCAGCCAGAGGGCTTTCCAGCCAGTAACAGAGCCATGGAACTGTGCGTCCTGTTCACATCAGCTCGGAGTGGGGAGGCTTCTCCAGCTACGTGAGCAACGGTGGAAATTACATAAGAAAACGTCAACAGAGCTTAGTATATGAGAACACGGAACTTTCATTTGGGAAACAGAAAGCCAATGTAAAGAAATAAAAAGCCAGCCCTGGCCAGTTTTGCTCAGCAGTTAGAATATCGGCCCGTGGACTAAAGAGTTGCGGGTTTGATTCTGGTCAGGGGTACGTACCTCAGTTGTGGCTTGTTCCCGGCCCTGGTCAGGGTCATGCGGGAGGCAACCAGTGGATGTGTCCCTCTCACATTGATATTTCTCTCTCCCCCCTACTCTACTGAAGATAAATGGAAAAATACCCTTGAGTGAAGATAAAAAAACAAACAAAAAACCGAGCCAGAATAAAAGTTCTCAACATCCTTGGCAGTGAATTTCTATCCACTGTCTATGCATAACACGCAAACAACTTCTACAAATCAGAAAGATACCCCATTAAAAACTGCCCAAACTAAGTAAGGGATGTAGACAGGAGTAATAGACACCCTGAGCCCCTGATGTGGCCCCTCGGCTTCTGCAGAAACCAGAGGAATGGACACTGGGTGTTTGCAAGGACTACACTGAGTAGGTCCCTGGGCAGCACCGCCCCCACCCCCAACCAAGCCATTTCTAGGAGCTCAAGCTGGAGAAGCCTTTCTGGGTGACGCTTCCCAACACGTTTCCTGTCTTCAGATTCCACCCTGGAAACTTCCCCACCCACTTGGAAGACACAGGAGGACGTTTGTGGCACAGAACAGCCTGCAGCTCCTCCTGCTGGGACAGGGACAGGCATGTGCCGGATGTACCCGCTGGCACAAATGTTAGGAAATGCACTCAGACAGCACGGTCCTGGCTTTATTCAAAGCTCCCGTGTTCACCCATAGACAACAGCATGGGACGGGGTTACTGAACAAGGCATGAGCCGGCTGTCTGACCCGCGGGTCATGCCAGGTCCTCCCTGGCTTTACCTGCACTGGACTTTGACTAGCTGCGCAGTCACGTGCCCTTGCCCCCCCCCCCCCCCCCGATTTCACCCTCTTGGTTTTCCTTTAGGGCAGCTGAGCACAGGCAGCCCAGCCTGGCTGTCGTCCCTGACCAGGCTTTAGGATGTGTACGCGTGGCCCGGCCAGTGTGGCTAAGGTGGTTGGAGCGCTGTCTCCTACACGCAAAGCTCATGGGTTTTATTCCTGGGCAGGACATACGCCCTGGTTGTGGGTTTGATTTGGTTGGGGTGTGCATGGGAGGTAGCTGATCTGTTTCACTCTCTCCCCACAATTAATAAAAAGTACGTCTTCAGGTGAGGATTAAAAAAAAGACGTGCAGGTGTAAAGGGCATGTCAGCCGAGTGGGCCCTCCTATGTGCTCCCTCCTGCCCAGCCCAGGGCCCTGTCCTCTGACCAGTGGGTGGGCACACGCATTCCTGGCCAGGCAGGTTGTGCCCTGTCAGGTGCAGGAACAGCCAAATGCTCCAAACCCCTTTGTCTGCTTGTTTTCAGAGTTGCATAGGTCACCCCAGGCAGTGTCCATGCACCTGATACACCCAGAGCACACTTGCAGAACAGGGCCCTGGAGCGAGCAGCCTGGGATACAAAAGGCCTGACTCCCTGACTTCTGGGAAGAGAAGAGACATGGAGCGGCCCCGAGGGCAGCACTGGGGGGTGGGGGGCAGGACCCACTCGTCACCCTCAGCCCCTTCCCCTCCCCACCAACCCCTCCATGGTGACACTTTCTAGCATCAGCAAGGACTGCAGCCTCTGCACCCTCTCCAGCCCAGCCCAGCATCTAGCTGCCACAGTGGTGAGCCTGGACTCCTTGGGCACAGCCCCAGGTCTGGGAAGGGCCCTGAGTGGGAGAGGCTCTGGCCATGGCAAGGGCAGGCTGCCCAGAATTACCCATCACTAGTCAGACAGAGACTGCAGCTGCCATGCTGTGAGGGGCCAGCTCCTGGCAGCCCAGCCACCATGAGGCTGGAGGGACCGGAACACAGTGCTTACACATGCCACAGAGCTGAGACGAGGGTCATGCACACAGGAGGGACCTGCTAGCAGGAGCCACATGGAGCAGTGGGAGGGGGAGCCCACTCTGCCAAGCACCAGCTTTGGCCCCAGGCCCTCAGGACCCCTCCATGACCACAGGCTCTCTTTGACTCCAGGGTAGAGGTGTGGGTCGCTGAGGATGGGAAGGAATGAGACACAAAGCAGATGTTCCCACAGCAGTAACCTGGGAACTTGAGGGTGCCCTTCCCATCCACCAGCCATGGCCTGCTGCCCCTCTGGCTATTCTGCACATGGGTGGACAGAGACCCCTCTGCCTGACTATTGACCTGTGATGGGGAAGGATGAGAGGAAAGGGTGGAGCCAATGTGGAGGAAGACAGGCCCTGCTGGATTCTGTACGGGGGTGGGGTGGGGGGGAGGACCAGACTGAGCTGGAGGCCTGGCCGGGCACTGTGACAGGCCGCCTGTGCCCAGGGGGCTAGCTCAGGGCTGAGGCGGTGGCACCAGGCAGAAGCACTTGGGAGTGTTGGGCTGATTCCTAAAGCAGAGAACTTTCCAGACCCACTGCCTGGCTCTGGGGACCTAACGTGTGAGCTGTCTGGTGTGTGGGGTGCTCCAGCTGGGCGAGGCCCTGTCTGGGCATATTCATGGCTCCCCACTGGGCACTGCAGGGAGATGTGCACCAGGCCTCTCTACCCAAGGCATGGTGCTCCTGCCAGTCGACTGCTGGGCCCCCACACACCAATGACCTTTGCGTGGAATGGCCCTGGCCAGGGGGTGTGCCACGTAGTAACCACTGCTACTCCATGCTTGTGATCACCCAGAGAAGTCGTCAGGGACCCAAACCGAAGAGCTGCTGGAGGAGAGACCAGAGACCTGCTTTCGCTGGGGGCCCACCCTCAGAGGCTCAAAGCCCCCGGCAGGACTGTTCCAGCCCTGGGACCAAAGGACAGTGAGTCCCTGCGGTGACGGTCAAGTGTGTTTCACTGGAAACCACGCAGGAGGGCTGCCACAGCCCGGCTCCCGCGCACACTAAGTGTGGGCACGTGCTGCACGTATACAGTGAAGGCGCTGACCAGAGCTCCTGCTGTGACACCCTCCGATTGTTTCTCTTCTACGTCACTTTCGAGACACTGGTTTTCACCGGTGACGTTGGTCTCACTCTTCCGTGATGTGCAATTTGAGAAATGCGGAGCGACGTGCCCCGAGTGTCTGTCACGGACACCCGGCTGGACCCTTAGCCGACCTGGTCTTTAACGGAACGGCAAGTGTGCCGGTCACTCCTTGCAGGCCTGGCCCGTGGGCGCAAGTTCTGGGGCCAACCGCGTCCCCGCGCCGAGGCGCGCGCTCCTGGAAGTGCCGGCGGCCGGAGGCGGGCGCAGCCCCCGGTGACATCTGCGGACCGCGCTGCGTCGGCGGCGTGGGTTCGCCCCAGTTCCGCACGCTCGGCGCCTTCGGTCGGTCGTCAGGCCCTCACGGAGGCGGCGGGCGGAGGTGGCCACGCGCTACACCGACGCCAGGGCGACGGGCACAAGGGCGCCAGAGGTCCGGTTCTGCCACCGACCACGGTTCCCCGACCCCTCTGGGCTCAGCTCTGGTGACCTGGGAAGCGAGGGGCGGCGAGTCATCCTCGGGCGGGGAAAGTCTCCCCGTTCGGGACTAGGGCGGAGCGAGGCGGGGTCCGGCCGGTGCACCCCAACCAGCACGGGGCGGCTTCCCCGGGGCTCAGCGCCGGCGCCGCTCTCCCGGCCTCGGCGCCGGCCCACAGCCACCGGCCACGCGGCGCCGTGCTCTCCACTCAGGATGCTGCCCGCGCACGCTCGTCCACAGGGCCCACGCGCGCGCCGCCGGTCTCACGCACTGCGCCTCGGCCGCACGCTGCCCGCTGCCCGCCGCCCACGTCGCCCGCAGACACCCGGCTCGTCCTCGCCCGCTCCACACCGCTCGCCCTCGCGCCCACATCGCGGAAGGAACCGAGGCCGTGCGGGGCGGAGGGGCAGGCGTCGGGACGCGGGGCGCGGGGCGCGGGCACTGCCCCGGCCGGCCGCCGCGGGGCTCACCTTCCTGTCCCGGAGGCCGGCCGGACCACCCTCCACACGGCCGGAAGACGCCCGCCAGCACCGCCGGAAGTCCCGCCCCAGGACGCCCGCGCGCGCCGTCGCCGTGCCACGCCAGTTCCGCGCCGCCGCCGCCGCCGCCACGCACGGCACGCTGGGGCGGGGCCTAGGGGCGGGGCCGAGGGGAGGAACCTGGTTCGGGGCGGGGCCTAGCGACGGGCCGAAGGGGAGGTGCCCGAGCGGGGGGCGGGGCCTCTCTACGAGACGGGGGCGGGGCCAAGGACCACCAAGGGGCGGGGCCGAGGAGAATCCAGGCCCGAACGTGGCCGGGACCCGAGGGCCGGAGGACAGAGAAGATGGACGGCGCGCGGATCCCGCGTCCTCCGTGGGGTAGTGAGCGCCCCCGAGCCGGGTGTTCCGCGGATCCTGGGCTCTCCGGGGAACCTGACAGCCTTGGCACATGGGGTCAGGGTTCCCAGCGTCTCGCGGGTCCCTCGTGGGCATCGCGGCGTGTCCGGGAGGCGGTCCCTTCGCCCTTCCGGCGCACGCGCTCCCTGGAAGCCCGTGCTCCTTGGGCGACGCCAGCGCTGCCGCCGCCTGTGACCGCCAGGGGGCGCCTGAGGCTGCAGAGCCTCAGCCTGGCGTGGGCGCGGGGCCGAGGGGACCGCGCAGGACCGACCTCACCGGCTTCCACGTTTTTCCCCAGGCTTCCCTCCTACCCCTTTGGTGACCTCCCCCAAGCCTAGCCCACCTCCGTCCTCCCCCACATCTCCCGGAGTGAGTGCATCTCAGCCCTCGGCTTCGGTCCCCTTCGTGGGCTAGTGGTGCCCACACGCTGTCTGGAGCAGAGACACGAAAAGCCCGTGTACCCGAGACCCAGGCTGCATCCGTGCTCGCCTCCAGGAACAGAGGCACCATCTTGCAGATGCAAACAGAACCTCTCCATCCCAGCCCCCAGCAAGAGGAGTCGTGGCCGCTGGGATGGTCTGAATGCATGCGTGGCCAGCAGTTTTAACCACTTCATGCGAGCGGGCAGATACCCCACCCATCCCTGGCCATTCCCAGCAGCTTCCTGCAGAAAACCGCACAGCTGGACCCCACCCTGGCCCTGCCCCACCAGCCCCAGGACCTCTGCTCTGCAGTTTCCCCATTTCTGCTGCTTGGGAGGCTTCTCCTTGAACTGAACTTTGTTCTCTCCCTCCCTCCTCATGTTTTCTTCTTCCTCTTCCCCATATTTCCTGCCAGTCTTCCCAGAGTGGTTGGGGCTGGTGTGTGTGCTGATGCATGTCATGTACCAACTGTCAGATGTCACTGGGCAGCTCTGTGTTCCTGGCACCCAGCTCCGCCCTGAGGCCTGACCATTGGGGTATTGACCCCAAGTCAGGCAGAGCTCTGGAGAGGGGCCTCAATAAGCTGTCAGATGCCCTGCCAGTTTTGCAGTCCTAGGAATGCCAAAGAGACCCTAGCAAAGTCACACACAGGTTTCTCATTGAGAAAGGCATTTAGTCACCTTAGGGTCCCATTGACTTCAGGGGTCTTTGGAGCTGAAGACCACTCAGGGTTCACTCTGGATCAGCACTGCAGACCCCAGCGCAGTGGGAAGGAGGGGCAGGGGGCCCGGTACCGGCTCCCTCGGCAGAGCCCCCGCTGGGCAGAATTCTGGGGGTCTTGACAAAGTTGTCAGCCTCCCAGGTGCCATGGCTGCCTCCAAGGGGCCCCCGCTTGAAAGATGACTTCTTCAAGTGGGTACACATCTTTCAACCACAGGAAGATTTAGGATGAGGCATAGAAAGGTCGAAGAAAACTAGAATCAAAGTGTTAGCATTGACCTGTTAAGTGGAACCTGAACACACTGTCATTTTATGTTTCTGGAACATTTAAGACAACTTGGAGTCACACTTAAACATGTAATCTACTGCCCTGGCGGGTTTGGCTCAGGGGTTGGAGTGTCAGCTCTAGGACCAAGGAGTCGTGGATTAGATTCTGGTCAAAGGCCCATATTCGGTTGCAGTTCATTCCCCGGCCCTGGTCGGGGTCGTTTGGGAGGCAACCAATCAATGTGTTTCTCTCACATGGATGTTTCTCTCTTTCTCTCTTCCTCCCTCCCACTCTATCTGAAGATAATTGGAAAAATATTCTCAGGTGAGGATTAAAAAAAGTAATCTACTGCGTGTGTGAGTTCCTCAAGCTCAGAAGGAAGTAAAAGATACCTAATTTATAAATTCAGTTTGAAATGTCGAAAATGCTTAATTTACTGAGTTTATAGATGGGACCAAATATTATGCAGAGGCCCCTTAAAAATTACTTTAAAGTCTGCTAGGTTTTTTTTTTTTTAAATCCTCACGCGAGGACATTTTTTCATTTTTTGTTCAGACAGAGTGGGAGGGAGAGAGAGGAAGAGAGAAACATCGACGTGAAAGGGACACATTGAGTGGCTGCCTCCCGCATGAACCAAGCAGGGCCGGGGACAAACTGCAACCAAGGTATGTGCCCTCAGCGAGAACCGAACCTGGGTCTCTCTGGGCCACAGGCCGATGCTCTAACCGCTGAGCCAAACTGGCCAGGGCTCTGCTTGGCTTTTATTATTATTATTTTTCTTTATTGATTTTAGAGGGAGAGAGAGATAGAAACATCGATGAGAGAGAACATCGACTGGCCGCCTCCTGCATGCCCCCCAATGGGCATTGGGCCTACAACCTGGGCATATGCCCTGACCAGGAATTGAACTAGTGCATGGGTCAATGCTCAACCACTGAGCCATACCTGCTGAGCTCTGCTAGGCTTTTAAAGGGAATGTCAGGGTTTGTAAAATTGAATTTAACAGGTTAAAAAATTAGGTTTTGAGTGTATAGCAGCAATAAGTCCTCGTTATTTAAATTTAACTTAAATCTGAGTATAAGGCCCCTGTTCAGGCCCTCTTGCTTGTGTGGGGTGCCCAGGCAGAGGTCCAGGCTCTGAGCTGTGAGCCCCAGTGTCGCCCCCCCCCCACACGGCTCTCCTTGTCCCTGCTTGTCTGCAGAGGGCACTAGAGGACAGACCAGGGCAGGGACAGGTCCCATGGAGCTATGGGGCTTGCAGAGACCAGCCCACCTGCTGCCAACTGAGCCCTCTGTGGTCTGAGGATACTGGCAGGGCTGGAGGGCCTCGCCCCAGGTGCACCTGGCCAGCCAAGGGTCCCCAGACTGAGGTTGCCTCTCCAAGACGGCCCCTGTGGTGTCCTTGAATTACTGTGGGGAGCCCATTATGCGGCTGACCCTGCAAGAGCAGTGGGGCTTCTATGGGCTGAACTTGGGGTTCCCTCCAGCTAGCTAGTGCTCCTGGCCTGGGGCGATGGTGGGGTCCCTGGCCTCGAAGGCCAGCCTGGGCCCTTCCTCATTTGCTGAGTTAGCATGAAGCAAGGCCCTTCCCGGCAGGGGAAACCATGACTTGTCCTGTTTTAACAGGGAGGCCTTGGCTGGGGGTTGCCCAAGGGCAGGGCCCAGGCCACTATCACTGATCATGTTCTATCACTGCTGGGCCCTGAAACATTCCCGTTTTGAGGCCGGAAGCCCAGGAAGAGAAACGCACAATCAGGATTTCCTGCTGCCGCTGAGCGCCCCCCGCCCGTGGATGGAGACGTCCTCCCTGGGTGCTGGGATAAGCAAAATCCAGAGCAAGGAGAGAGACACGTTCACACGCAGCGGAAGCTTCTGGATAGAGCTCCAGAGCCAGCACAGCGGACTTTCTGTCTGTGTGCCATGTGTGGTCCCCACCAGCCCATCTGGCCTTGGCTTCGTGTGCTATGGGTGGATGTCCGGTGGGCCGCCGGCAGGTGCTGAGTGCCAAGATGGACATCTGTGACAGGCAGCTGGCCATGCACAAGGCTGTGTGCTTCTTGGTATCAGTCCTGGGTCTTACACTTCTCATCATCCCACAACCAACCTTAAAACACCCTGTCTCAAGGGGGCGAGGTGGTATGTGTGTCCATGGGGTCAGACGGGCAGCAGTTCTCGGTGGTTGTTGTGGGGCGAAAGGTTGTCCGGGTCCTGAACCGCCAGCACCTGTGAAGGCCACCTTACGTGGCAACAGAGTCTCTGCAGATGTCATTAGGGACCCAGGGATGAGGTCACCTTGCATTTAGGGTGACTGAATCCAGTGACTGGAATCTTTTTTTTTTTTAATATATATTTTTATTGATTTTTTTTAGGGAGAGAGGGAAACATTGATATGAGAGAGAAACATCGATCAGCTGCCTCCTGCATACCCCGCAGTAGGGATCGAGTCCTCAATCCAAGCATGTGCTCTGACCGGGAATCCAACAGGGACCTGTCAGTCCATGGGAGGATGCTCAATCC